TGTGGATTGATCTGAAATGCTGAAGCCTGCTGCTCAAACATTCCAGTGATGTTTGAGTTGTTGCCAAACTATGCATAACTCCATGTCTAAAGCACGAGACTGGATACCAATGTGGGGCAATGAGGATGTATTGTTGCTAGACATGTTTTACTGTTTATCTTTGCTTTGACGGTTGTGAGATACAAGAACTTTGACTATGGTGAAATACTTAATCGAATTACATCGTCACCTGTTTCAATACTGCCCATCTTGTGAAACTTCTAGTCACACTCTGAATATGATTTTTAAACCTCCCATGGGGGGGGGGGAAGAGGAGGTTGTGGCTCAGTTGGTAGAGTCGGTCGCCCCCTAACTGGAATGTGTAGGTGTGACCTGCGGTGTAAAAGGGCTTTGAGTAGACTGAAGGCTATACAAGCTTGAGTCCATTTTCATTTACCGTGCCTTCCAGCTTGAGTTATATAAGACAAGTGTTTGATTATTTGCCTGTTTTTGTCATTAACTTAGCTAGGAATGAAAAATAATGACTCTGTTTGATAAAGCCTCGATCAGAAGTCTGAGGTGGACCTTACTGAAGACATGTTTTTTTTTTTTTTTTTTAAATAGCAGGCTAACTCCTGCACACTGACTTACTTGCCGACCTTTCAGTATGAAAACATAGCTAATGTATTTGTGAAGTTAAGACAGTGTCTCCTCTCTTTTTGAAGGAGACATAACTGTAACATTTAATCTCCATTAAAGAGATCAAATGACTTATTTGATCAAATGACAGTATTTACCTTTGACCTATTAACCATTTCCTTTGACCAGCGGCTCTCTCTCTCTTTCACACGCTGCAGCTTTTAGTTAAAAATAAAATTGAAGATCTGAAGTTTCTACTGAAACTATATACAGAAATATATTTCAGAACAATCATTAGGACTTGGAAATGGATTATCTAACTGTTTGTGTCTCATTTGGTTCAGGCATCTGTTAAAGGTTTTAAGCTGATTCAGACGAAGGAAGTGTCAATGCGACCTGAAGATGTGAAGAGAGTGTTTCAGAACAGTGCAGAGGATCTGGTGGAGTGGATCACCAAAGGTACGTCTCTATTTGTTTTTCAAAATGTGGGGTCTTTGTGGGGTTTTGTAGTTGTATTTGAGATCTTATCTGACAAAGTTGTGTCATAAGCCGTGTGCCTCTTGCAGCTTCAGCTTTGCATTACCAAGAGTATAAGCTGTGTGTGAAATAAGCTGTGTGGGTCTTAAAATATCATTACTGCACAAAGTTTGTCTAATCATTTCCAAGGATCATTTCTGGAAAAGAAACGTAGTTCCCTCTCAGACTTAAAGTAGCTGTTGCTTTTTATGATTTTTTGAAAGATTGGTCAACATGCTCGCATGATTTTTTTTTTTATGACACCATCGCTGACTAAAGCCTGTCCATGGTTCATCTGATACAAGAAATCTGGTGACTCAGGCGGCAGATTGGAAGCTGGAAACTCTGAGAATCCACATTGTGGCTACAAAGTGTGTGTTGAGGAAACAGGATTTTGCATTATGGGGGGAAAGGCAGATTATAAATCTCCCGTTTTTAAGCCTCAAATTTGGCTGAATCCAAATTTCCGGACTTAGCCGGACTACAGATTCGCGGACTTTGTTGGCACTTTCCCTGGAAATGTACAAGTGCTGAGGACTTTCCAAATCCACCGTTCACCTAGTTCTCAAGGAACCTTAAACCGACTTTAACTGACTTAATCACCCATGATTTATTGCATAACAAATGTGACATTGCAGTTTATCTGATTTCCCATTTGAACGTACTCTGAAGACAGGCTACACATGATATTCAACAGTATCATGATGCAGAAACAATCATCATGTTTTGAGTCTTCAGGCCGGTAAATTTGAGTCTAAGCAGTCTGCGGTCTTTTTATAAAGGTTCACGTCACATCATGTACAATTAAAGTCTGAGGGCTCAGCGCACAAGTCTGCATTTGACATTTACCCGTCAGTTTCCTGTTGTTTTTTTTCAGGCCATGACTGACACAAGACATAATTATTACATTGTACATATTCAGTATATTTATTTTTTCATGGGACTGAAAAACCCCTGCCAGTGTGTTACTGTCCAAGTGTCCATATTTGTAGTCCTTTCACTGCTGTAGCTCTTTCTCTCCCAGGTATCCACACCTTAAAGCATATCCTTCTTTTAACAATTGAACTCTAAACAGGACAAAAAATTACAAAATGAACATCATCTGTGTTAAAGAAGACTTCAGACTAAATATTGAGACCATGAACTCATGAGGAAATGTAAAAAGGAAATAAATCAAGGGAAAAGAAGGGGACTGCTTTCCAATCAGACTTCCCTTTGCCATCAGTGTAGTCGCCCCCTGCTGGCTGATTGAAAGAATGCTGCTTTAAGGCACTTCAGCATTGGCTTCACTATTGAAACAGGTTGACTCCACTTCTCATAGTCTATTGGAGAAACTCTTGTATTAACTGCACTGAACATGTGGCATTGGAGGGTTTTGGACAGTTGTACTGTAAGTATTTAAACTTTCATGTGTTCCCTCTGAAGGTCCGGTCATCGCCCTCGAGCTGAACGGTGACGGAGTCGTGGAGGCCTGCAAAAGCCTCGCTAACGACGTGTTCAGTGGAACTAAGGTAATGATGGTTTTGACTTTTCTAATTTCGCAGATCGATTTTCTTTTTACAGCCAAAACTCCCTTCTGGAAAATGTTATATCTTTTTTTTTTTTCAGGTTTATGTGTCTGATAACAAAAATACGTCCTCTCGAGACGTGGACAACTTCTTCAACTTTGCTGACATGCAGATGGGCTTGTGAAACTGCTTGTCACAAACTGAATATGATGTTTAATCCCCCCATACCTTCCAGCTGGGGTTATATAAGACAAACGTTTGATTATATGCCGGTTTTTGTTATCAAAACTTAGCTAGGAATGAAAAATAATAATTACTTTGTTTTGATAAAGCCTCGATAATAACAATTCAGTTCATCAACCATGAGTCTGCCGACTAGAATTCACCTCTGATCATCCAGAAACATTTGCTGTAAACCACTGAACAACCATTAGTTGCTATGAGTGCTGTGAATATTTATATTTCTATGAATGTATTCAGTTATTGATTGTGAATGTAGCTCTTTGCTGTAGAAGTCATTTTAATTTATAGCGTTTGTTCTCGTTGTTTGAAACGATCGTTTCAGCGGGGGGGAAAAGCACAAGAATGCCTGAGGGAAAATATTTTATATCAACTTAAATCATATTTTATTCATTGTCAGGATTGATCTGTGGATGTGATAAAGAACATATTCTGAAATGAAACAATGTGTATATTTGAAACATGCTGTGTAGACAATAACATCTTTATTGATACCTGTTAGGCCAAAGGTGAATCATTTAACAATGTTTTTCTGTGCTGCTGTCGTTCAGATAAACTGAGAACGTTGCTGTTTATGATGTAGGCAAATTATGTGACCATTTTTTTATTTTGTAACCTTTGTTTTATACTCTACTGAATGTTTTTGTATAGACATAAATTCATGTTGTTGAATATCATTTATAGTAAAAGTTTCATTACATACAGTCACGACTCTGTTCTGTCATTCTTATAAACACAAGACGTTTTTAAAAAAGAGTTCATAATTAATCAGGTTATTGTGGGGTCTTTAGTATCTGTCAGTGAGTTTAATAAGCTGCTTCATTCATCCATCGTTAACTTGTAAAGAGTTACTGCTTGTCCAGTGTGAAGCATTTAAACGAGCTCTACATTTCAGTAAATGAAAAGTTATGATTACTACTCATCAGGTTCAGAAATAGTTTTACCACCCGCTGACAGAAACACAAAGTATAAGGGAGAAGTTTTGTTTTTGGTAACAGAGGGACGTTCATTTTTCTGGAGAAGAATGAATCATACGTTTGTTAAAAATGTCTTCCTACGCAAACTTTGCAGCTTTCACTTCTGCTGTAAAACTTCAACCTACTTCATCTGCATTTTTATTATTAGGGTCTATATCAATGGACTTTTTCACATCTGTGTTAGGGCTTTTTTTTTTTTTTTTTTTTAATCTGTAGAAGCCCTTAGAGGCAGAAAAGCAAAAACATTACGATCAAATATTCAAGCTCTAATCTATATTGTTTTCTTTTCTGTTCAGGGCAAAAGAACGTGGTGAGAAATAATTTTGCCTGATTTTTATACGTTTTTATATCGATCTCGGAAAAACTTGTTTTTCCAGGATTATTTCTCTCAATAACTTTTTTTTTTTTTTTTTTACATTTTTTAACAGCTTACAGGTTTTTATTTTAAAGCAATCAGTGGGTTTGAATCATAGACTGTGAATTATCTTATATACAGTCTATGGCTTTATTGCACATTTTATCTTTAATTTGAATATGTGACTGAGTATTTAAAATGTATATTTTATTGACTGTAAATCTGTTCAATTTAATTTTTGATCAGTCACTTCATGCGTGAGTCAATAAGTCAGATCGAAATGTTGATCAGTCTTCACTAAGACAAAGATAAAATCCATTTTTTATTTAGATTAACTTTATTGATACATTATTCTTTGTACAGTGGCAAAATGTTTAGTTTACAGCCAATGAAAACAAATATTTTTTCTTAAATTTATTTGTATTTGGGTTGAAGTATCTTGTGAAACCCAACTAAGGACAAAAGTTAAAGTAAGTAAAAGCTGAAAACAGTAGCCTACAGTAAATCAGATGTCTGCTGTACTAGAACAATGATAGATTGCATCATATAATAAAAGTTTCAATAAGTATTCATACTAAAGAAGCTGAAATCCCATAATCAAAAAACAAACAAACTGATTAATCAACCATCACCGGCAGATTTGTGTGGTTGAAAAACTAGTCTATTAATTGCTGTACCCTTGTATTTTGTGTTACGCCGGTGGATACACCGAGCGCACCCACCGAGCGCACCCGGGCAGGCTGGAGGGAAAGCGGCGGGGTTTAGGACCCGGCGGAACGCGCGGTACAATAGAGCTGTTGTGCCGTGGTGGTGGACAGATTGCTGCCCTGGAGATTCCCACTGTGGTGGGATACAAAGCCCAACATTTTCCCTTTACATACCACCAAAGTCCCCGTTTTTAAAGGTGTGTACTGAAGGTGATTCCTGGACTGATTGGTGTCGGGAATAACGCGGACAGGAGGTAAGATGGGAGGAATGTGAACAATATGTTCAGTGTGCCAGGATTTACCCTGGATGGTTTATCCAGGCCACGGGGCCTGCTCCTGTCCTGCTTTCACACAAACTATTTTTGCTCATTAATGAAATGAAAGTTATCGACCGTGTGTTTGGTACTTCAAACTGAATAGTTTCCCCGCCTGAGCTGAATGAATATCGGTGTTAATGGCTGTAGGAAGTGACATCTTTGTATGGTGGTGGCGCCCATGTTTGATTTCTCCACAGTCTGCAGTGCAGCCTGCTACAGGCCTCGGTGTGTGTTGTGTGTGTGTGTGTTGTGTGTGTTGTGTGTGTGTGTGTGTGTGTGTGTGTCTGTGTGTCTGTGTGTGTTGTGTGTACGTGTGTTTGGCGCCAACCGGGCTCTTTGGGCAGGGCAGGCTCTCCAATGTTAAAGATTTTAATATTATAAAACCACCAAGTTCATTTATACTCCAGCCTGGTAACAGTTAACATATTTAGCATAACACAATAAATGAGTAAAAAAAAAAGTAAACAAAGACTACAACCACTATTAAGTCATTGTTTCCTGTTACAGGTCTGTTCTTATCACAGTGACGTCATTTCCGTACAGATTCACAACTTCTATATGCTGTACTGAATGTATGGAGACCATAGACTGTAAAGAGACATGGGGGGCTGACAGTGGGCTTTTACATGAACAAAATAATCATCTCTACCATTTAAATAGAATAATGTGCAACTTTTATTACTGACACTACTGGAGAGGAATTTATTAAACTCTACCTTTATCTGTAGAGGTTGTAGTTTGCTTTCTTGGCGCATAGAGTGTCACTGCCATTGCTGTCTCAATCTTTCAAAATGAATTGATAGTAATGATCCACAATTAAAAATCTTAGAGTAAATACTGATCCCCAAAGTCATCTTTAGACTGATGAATGTGTTTTTCCTTTTATATAATAATATATATCATTTTTGACTTAGATGTCCGAAACATGATCATATTTTTTTTTTACGTGTGCTAAACATGAATAACTAATTCAAATGTATTAAATGGATTTTTTATGTTGTCTCATTTCAATGGCAGACAGAACTTTAAACCCCAAAACGGCAGACTTTGTGATACCGGCAGCAAGTACTACATTGTTGTCCAAAAAGTCTATAAAGATCTGTATAGTGATGAACATAGTGATTTACAGTCCAGTTGTTGAACTACAACGCGTTTAAATAAGTTTTCCCAATATTTTGTTTACTGGTTCATAAAGGGGGCAATTATTTTTAAACACCCCTTAATTAAAAAAATCACATGGTTATAAAATCATAAACCACTGCATCCTTAATTCTAAATATAAAGTATTAATAGTAGTAGCAGCATATGCATTCATGGCAGAGTTGTTACATTACATCACATAAGATTACCTCTTAAAGCTGCTGTGAATGTATTTTCTGTCTGTGCTGATTTCTCTTTTCCTTCAGTGGATAGCGGCTGTAGATACCAAATAAAGCTAGCGTGGGCTGTAATTGAATGGCCCTGGTGTACAGAATAAAACAAATCATGTGATGGTTTGTACGGCCTGTTTTTCTGTATTCAGCAACACTGAACCCAAAGAACTTATCTGGAATAGGAAAACGTATCAGAGACTCTGAAGTCAATGATATTTAAATGTGGCGGAACAAATAAGCATACAAGAGTTGTATTAGTGTAAAACCGTAGTGTGCTCTACATGTCGGAAATGTAGCTAAACAAGTAGTACTTTTTAAACACTGAAGCACAGAAAGATGTTCCAGTGAATAAAGAGTCCACACGCAGATGATTTTCTAAAAATAACTTTAAAGACTTGATGTCAATAAGGCTAAACTAAGTTTTATTTTACTAAATGTTAAACATCACTAAAGTTTTTAACAGACTCTCACACTTTTCAGGATTGCAGCTTCAGATTCAAGCAGGCCAAACTTTTTGCATCACCTACTCGTTGTTTATTTAGGGGTCCCCAGTAACTGATTGCACAGACTGTGCTGCGTTCAGAGATGGAAACACTCGTGTCATTAACAGATGTCGGACAGTTTGAGTGCAGCTGCAGCGACTCTACTGTCTCAGTGGACACACGCTCTACTGTGTTTGTGAGAGTTTATTTCAAATGAAGCAGACAGTTTAGATTAAGTAAACTGGGAAAAGAGTTAAAGACACACTACTTTTCATTTCAATGTGTCTGTGTGTGTGTGCGGAGGGTTTTCATCCCATCTGTGCATTTTATATGTAAAAGTGTAATTCAGGTTTATTTAGATTTTATTTTACACACATGGAGAACTAAAGAAACATCCTGGAGTTATTGATAATGACAGAGTTACAGCATTACAATTCAGTGTTTGTCAGACGTGATTCTCTGAACACTCTCTGTGAGGTTGATTTCTATCTGATTATGGTATTTGTAGTTTTTCTCAGCAGTTAGCATCTATGTGTTTCACTCATCTGATGGCTCTGAGTTGAATCGGCCTCGTGCTTATACCTTCCTGCCTCTCCTGTCCTCATGGGGAATGTGAGGCATGTCCTGTTGGCTGAAGCAGCTTACTGTATGTGGAGCACGTTTGGGGTTTTGAGTCCCTCATCAGAAACCTTTAATAAGTCGTCCCAGTGGATCAGTGGGCTGAAAAGCAAACACAGTGAACCTGTGCAGTGTGTCCGCTCTGTTTTACTTCACATGAAACTGTCATAAAATAAACAAGTATTTTAGAAACATATGCAGCTATGATGAACTAAAGCTGAACACTGTCTGATAATGAATGTGTCGTAGAGAGAGAGAGAGAGAGAGAGAGAGAGAGAGAGAGAGAGAGAGAGAGAGAGAGAGAGAGAGAGAGAGAGAGAGAGAGAGAGAGAGAGAGAGAGAGAGAGAGAGAGAGAGAGAGAGAGAGAGAGAGAGAGAGAGAGAGAGAGAGAGAGAGAGAGAGAGAGAGAGAGAGAGAGAGAGAGAGAGAGAGAGAGAGAGAGAGAGAGGAGACATGTTGGGAGGAGATAGTGGGGGATGACATGCAGCAAAGGTCCGACGATGCCTCACTTCATTGGACACGGGTCATAACCACTTTGCTATCCGGCGCCCTGCGTAATATTCTTATTTAGGGTTTAGGATAAACCGGGCTGTGCATCTTCACTGGTCTAACAAGTCGACCCCATTACGATTATCCTGTCAACATGTCGATTGGATTCGATGTCACCATGCATCCTGAATATTCAACATTACTGCACATGCCTACTTTTTCATCAATGAAGACATGAGTTCAATAAATATGAACTCCTTTTTTATTAATTAGCAAATCAACGTCAACATGTATATGTCTTAACATTGTAAACCAGAATAAATAAATTATAGACGTCCAACCACGGCCAGAAAATCTACATGAAACTTCAGATCGCACCGATCGATTATGTTGGGTCGATGCTGAATTGTCCACATCAAGATATGTCATAGATATGATTTCTACCAACACCTCTGATGTCAATCTACTCTCAAGTTGTAGCGTACCCCTGCTTCTCAGATTCTTCTTTTACTTTCTCAGATTTTCTTGTCGTTTGACCTTAATTCTTTTTTTTTTTTTTGCAGGCAGAAAATTAAGCTGTGCAGAGTTTTTCAGAGGAATCCTTTAGCATGCTCTTCAGCTTGAAATTTATGGTAAGAACTTTCTTCTCTGTGTGCACGCAGTGTCAGGTGGTCCAGTGTAAAAAAAAATTTAAACGTGGAAGAAGTGCAATATTTTTCAACACCTCTTTTCCACACAGAACAAAAATATTGTTTGCAGTTTTTAATGTCCACTTTCTTGTCTTCCTCAGGATGTTACAGGATGAAACGTCTCAGGTCCTCGAGCAGCAGCGACAGTTCAGACAATGAGAGTGAGTCATCTGTCTAAAGGATTGGATAATCTTAACATGACTTTATTACTTTTTTCTGGGCTACTCTTTTACTCAAACCCTCTTTTCTTTGTTTTCTTAGGTCCCTCAACCTCCTTCTGCTCCTCCAACAAATATGGCGGCAAACCTGAAACCCCCGCCTCCAACCAGAAGAAACCGGCTGAAGTAAGTTCACATCCTTACTAGGACTTCAAAAAAGATTATTTGGGATTGAAACAGTTTTTTCATTTGATAGTTGATCATAGAAACTCTGATCCTTGTTGACCCAGTGCAGTTAAACTTGATGTTTACTTCCATCTCTCCCACAGGTGTTCAGAAAAGACCTGATCAGTGCCATGAAGCTGCCTGACTCCCATCATGTGTCTCCTGAGGACTACTACCTGCTGGCTGACACCTGGAAGATGGAGTGGGAAAAGGGGGTCCAGGTGCTGGCTAGTCCCGACACGATCCCTAAGCCGTCACTCAGGTAAGTCTGTTGTTTACACACAACACTTTGTACTTTGTTTGCAATCTTACTGCACTATTGAGTCACCTCGTTTTAAAAACACTTCTATTTTCTTTCAGTGACTCATTTGTTTTTGTGTCTCTGTGTTCAGGGTTGTTGTAGAGAAATCCAAGGAGGTGCTCTACAGTCATCAGAGAAAATACATCCAGTGCTCGAGCCAGGAGACGACAGATCCAGGATACGTCAACATCAAGGAGCTGGCCGAGGCCATGTGTCGCTACGATCTGGACGACATGGACCTCTACTGGCTGCATGCGCTCAACAGAGAGCGACTGTGCATGGGTGAGGAGGGGAATCAAACTATAATTGTGCTTCTTATTAACTGAAAACGTTTGATTTTTAAAGACTTGTGTCTTGAGCTAGAAATCTAAATGTTTAGACTGCAGACGCCCCGACAGTCTGCTGGGGTTTCTCTGACCTTTAAGGGTATTGTTTTTGTGTCTCTCCAGGGGAGGAGCCCATAGACGAGCTGACGATGGAGCGCACCATGGAGGCTCTGGAGAGTCAGTGCCATGACAACATGAATCATGCCATCGAGACGGTGGAGGGCCTAGGGATCGAGTACGACGAGGATGTCATCTGCGACGTGTGCCGCTCCCCCGACAGTGAAGAGGGGAACGACATGGTGTTCTGTGACAAGTGTAACATCTGTGTGCACCAGGTAGAAATGATCACAACTCTCATTAAATTATCTGATTTGTGTACGCCTGAGAAGCATCCTGGAATGAAAGAGAGACAGAAAAACTGACTTGACAAATCAAAGGTTAAATCTTTATGTTCTTCATTGTCTATAGAGGTTTGGACGATTTTACTAGAAAGAGAATAGAAGAGCTGAGTTTAAAGAATTGTCTCTTCTTCTCTAACAGGCCTGTTACGGGATTGTCAAAGTGCCTGTTGGAAACTGGCTGTGCAGGACGTGTGTCCTCGGCATCGACCCGCAGTGCCTCCTGTGTCCTCAGAAAGGGGGTGCCATGAAGGCAACACGAGCAGGCACGAAGTGGGCACATGTGAGCTGTGCACTGTGGATACCAGAGGTAAACAAACAAACTTCTTTTCTGCTCTTTAACTTTTCTTAGTGTTACACAACGAGCATTACAAAACCTTTCATCACACTGTACGTTTTCCCTTCCTTAAGGTGAGCATCGCCTGTCCAGAGAGGATGGAGCCCATCACCAAAGTGTCCCACATCCCGCCCAGCCGCTGGTCTCTTATCTGCAGTCTGTGTAAGCTGAAGACAGGAGCATGCATCCAGGTAAGAGTGGATCAATCAATCATTATTTGTATAGCGCCAATTCATAACAAGTGTTATCTCGAGACAAAAAAGCATATGGGCTAATATTCAGGCAGGATTTCTCCTTTGTATTCCTCGTGTTCCTGTTGTCCACACTTCCTTGCCGCTGAGGTGGAGGTCGGAGCAGGCCGTGCATGGATGAGGACGGTGGTGGTTGTGGGGACAACACAGTCTGATGGTGGTGGCTGGGTGTCAGGTGGTGTTTGGGACCACACAGAATCTGGATCTGTACCCTCACTGAATTAATCTATTTTATGATAATCAAGCATTGATCAGGTTTTATTTGTAATAATGGGATGATCCAACAAAAATGTTTCTCTTGTTTATTTAACATGCAGATATATAACAGTTGTTTTTATACATTTTGTATCTTTAACCATAGACTGTCTTATACATGGACGTAGTCTCAGTGACCCTCTTCAGAGTGTGATTCTGCAACAACTCGGTACACAGTAGAAGCACCGCCATAATTATGTCTTTGTAAATTAATAATGTACAAAGACAGTCTGTGGATTCACATTGCCTTACATCATTGGGGAAGTGAGAGATCACTCCGTCCCCCCCACTCCTCATTTGAAGGCGAAACATCACAGGGTATAAATATCCTGCCTTGAACGTGCTGCCTGAGTAAAACTAGTGACCTTACCCATTGGTTTCTGAAGACACATAAAGCAGAAAGATGGCAGTCGCCATGTTGGAATTGGAAATGCTGACCCAACTAACTTTCAGCTAATCAGGAAACAGGAAAAGACGTGGAGCTGAGGCAAGCCTTAAATTCTTTCTAGCAAACGACTACAACCCGTTGACCTCGACCTGTCAGTCACATCAACCACGCTCCTGATTATGCATAACACTTATCACTTTGAATATATTAATGCTAAGTAAAAAAATCTTCCATACAGTTCATATTAAATAAAGAATTTAGTTATTGAAACCAAAACAGGTTGTTTTTTTACCCAGAGTGTAAAGCCAACATAAGCAATGAGTAGTTCAACATGGACTCTACTGGGGATCCCTGTTTTTTTGGAGCTAGCCTCAAGTGGACTTCATTCTTCTTTACCTGAGAGGTCACTGCTGGGTTTTAAAGTAGATTTTAGAATTATAAGCTTTACAAATCTGTGAAAGTGATGAAGGACTGTGCAGAAGCAGGTCGTAAATAAAACACAGCAGGAGGGTTTGTTTAGTGTGCACAGAAACTTCAGAACATGTTTCGGGAAGATTAAGATAATCCTGTATGAATAAGTGAAACCATAAAAGGAACAGAGCCTGAAACAGAGAGTATTTTTCAGACCATGTGGTATCAAAAAGTATTGAAAATGTTGGTTTCCTGATGCAGCTCCATATTTTAGTGTACAGAGGTGAAATTGTTGTTGTTTCATCACACTGACAGGAAATTTAATGAAACACTAACTCACTGAAAAAATGATGTGAAACTCCACGACTCTTCTTCTACTTTTGTAATAAAGCCGCTAATCCACCATCACGACAGTAATCTAATTATTTCACCAATCCTGTTAACTGAAGCTGTGGAAAGTTCCGTCCTGCATCATTCTTAAATGCTGCTTTTATCTTCATTTTTTTATTGTCGCAGTAACTGGCTGATATTTCATTTAAATAACCTTCCCCATCTCTGTCACAGTGTTCGGTGAAGAATTGCACCACACCTTTCCATGTGACCTGCGCCTTCGAGCACAGCCTGGAGATGAAGACCATCCTGGACGAGGGCGATGAAGTGAAGTTCAAGTCTTACTGCCTGAAGCACAGTAAATCTAAGACTGGGGAGCCTGGCCTGAGTCCAGCTCGCTCTAAACCCCCCGCCGAGTCTGAGAAGGTGGGCCAGCGGGCTCAGAGGCTGCAGGAGCTGGAGGAGGAGTTTCACACTTTGATCCAGCCGGAGGACCTGGCCCCGGTCCTGGGACTCTCTGAGCGCCTGCTGGACTTCATCTATCAGTACTGGAAGCTGAAGAGGAAAGCCAACTTCAACAGAGCTCTGCTGCCCCCTAAAGCCGACGAGGAGAACATGATGCTGCAGCCACAGGAGGCCAGCATCCACACGCGCATGAGGATGTTCATGCACCTGAGGCAGGACCTGGAGAGGGTGAGTGCTTTTTTTCCCCACAGCCCTTTAATAAACCGGATTAATAAATCTTGGTATTGCTGGTGTTACCATCTTGCTCAGGGCTGGTAACAGAAGAGAGAGGCCACACAAAGAGATTCAGTCAAAATGATCTTCATTTTCAATATATGAACGAACTAATGTGAAACGTGAGTATGAAGAATCAGGCGTGTTTGAAATGTCTGTGTGAGTGAAAATGTGTGATGTTAGTGATGAGTGCAGCAAACCAAAAAAAGAAAAAGGCTCAGGTTGTTGTAGAAGGTCCAGCTGAGAGAGAATGAGGGTCTCTCTCAGACAGGCCCTTCTGAAGGCCCCACTCAGCTGAGCAGGTATCAGGACCCTCCCAGCTCCACCCACATGCCAACTCCAAGCAATACAAAGAGGGAGGGGATTTAACACTGGTTTCAGTATAAATCAATAACATCTTAATTGTTTTATTAATCTCATTTAATATTGCTTTCTGTCATTGTCTGATTTAGTCATAATTTAAACCCATGTCCTTGAAAACTCCCGCTGAGTAAATTAGTTTTTTAAAACAACACTACATGGACACATTTACTGAAAACCCCTCCATTGACTAAGATTTAGAAACAATCTATTTATTTGTGCAAGGAAGTTACTGAATATTCTGAGCGAAGCTAAAAAAATACAACATTATTTTCTTTTCTCTTTTTTTTTTTTTACTTTCCCCCCTTTTTTTTTTTTACATGGCGTCAGTGAATAAATCCGATCTCTACTCATCGATTTTTGTACTTCAGACTTACAGAAGTAGCAGAAGATGGGTTTAAAACAGAGAACTTTATTGAAGCCTATGAAATCCTGGAAGAGAACTTGCAACAGTCATTATTTTCCAGCAAGCAAGTTAAACATAAATGACTTCAGAACAACTGGTTTGGTGTCCTGGTTCAAACAAAGCCTGGGGAAAATCTGTGCCAAATCAATAAGTTGGAGGTTAAAGCTGCAGCACTCAAACCAAGCTGATGCTCTCTACACACACTGTTTTCTAATTAATGCCTCTAATGTTGACCACAAAGGACGAATGGAGTTGTTCTTAATTAAGAACATTTCAGTTCTAATTCTCTTTTTAGCTGTGTTTTAATTTGGATCAGTAAAAAAATAGATTACTTTTAGTTTGAATTTAAATAAATAAATGTCCTTTTTTTTATATACTTCTTTTGGTTATTATTGTAAAAAGTAACTGACCCTGTGTTATTCAGAGTTTAAAAACACATCTTAAAATGACGAGAATGTATCCATTTAGAGGCTAAATATATATATATATAAATATATATATGTATGTATGTATAAATATGTAATGTTTTTATAACATTCAGGAGCATCAAACCAGAGAGTCTCAGGCAGGAGTTGTGGAATTGGTTCAGTAAAAGAGAGCTTGACAGACACTGAACAATGAGTACTTGTTGTTTTTCATGGATTATGTTTTGATATTTGCAGGTGAGGAACTTGTGTTACATGGTGAGTCGGCGTGAGAAGCTGAAGGTGCTGCAGAGTAAAGCTCAGGAGCAGATGTTCAACCTGCACATGAAGCTCGTGAACCAGGAGATCGCTGCAGGTGAGACTTCTGACCTGCATCATTTTTTACCTGCAAGAGACAAAAAAAAATGTCATTCCATTCTTATTTGTTGTGGTATTTATATGGCTGCCCTCTTAGCGTCAATGAGGATTTATCATAAAAGAAATCATCCTGTCTTCTTGCATTATGTCGATGAAATATCAAGTTAGCACAGCAGGGTAACCTGACAGTAACGTTGTAGAAAGGAATTTTTTGTTTTTTGTGCTTTTTGGGTCGACACATGACATCAGGAGGGGCTATGAGCTGTGAAGCATTTAGCTAACTTGTAGGTGCTCAGCTTGTTTTGGTTCAAACTTCCATCAGTGTTGATTCTTGATTTTTTTGTTACTGGAAGCAAAATCATCCCAAGAGGTCTGAAACAAAAAAAGGCCCAGTGATTAAAACTTGTAAAATACAAAAAACAAAAAACAACGTCAGGTTAAAGTCTCCAAAATGCTCCTTGGCGGGGCCTGCGAGTCGTGCTGACGAAAATCCTCTCTCATATTAAAAGATACCGACTAAACCCAAGAGCAGCAAAGTAGTTTGCTGGTAATCTTAAGATGAACATTTGTCTAACAGGTAATGCTGATATAATGAAAAAGGAGGCAATGGTCTGGCAATGGCAAGTGAGTGTCCCGGGTTTTAGTCCGACCTGGGGCTCCTTGCTGCATGTCATTCCACACTCCCTCCTGATTTCCTACTTTATCTATTGTCCTGTCAAAATAAAAAGGCAAAAGCCCAAAAAATGTAAAAAGAAGCTGGAGTTGAATTTAATGTCTTATTAACAAAAAGGGAACCTGTAATTGAATCTCTGAACTGAACAATCACCTTCGATTCAACTGGTAAATATTCAAAGTTGTTTTTTTTTAATCTGACGGAGTCTGTCTGTCTGTGTTTGTCATTAGGCCTTCAGTCGTCTTTCCCAGTGGAGAGTATGCTGTTTCGTCCTCCTCCCAGGATCACTCTGAAGCTGAAAATGCCCAAATCCTCGGCTCTTGGAAATGGAAGCTCTAAGTCTGGAAACGGACCTCTCTGCCTGGACAATAGTTTGAATGTTACTGAGCACACAGGTGAGGGGCTCGGTCAGGGGAAGCCTCAGCTGCACGGCGGAGGGCGAAGAGATGACCGTTCAAACGGACGCCTGTCATCCTCAAGCGGCATGGCGGCACCTCTTAAACTCTCCGGTAAACCTTTATCCTTGCATGCAGCGCTGCACGGCCACTCGTCCAACAGCAACGGCAAACTGGAGCAGGATCGAGCGTGTGCAGTAAAAGCCAACGGCCTCTTGGAGAAGTTAGTGGCTCAGAAGGACAGCTCCTGCCAGACACCCAGTGACCAGGACGCTTCAAATCAGGCTTTGGACAAGAGCAGCTTCAGGAAATCTGCCATGGAGCACTTCGGCAGATCCTTCAAAGAGGCGACCATTAACCTGGTACGGACCACAGAGGACCTGCGGGCCTCTGACAAACTGTCCCGAAAGAGCTCAGCCAAGGAGAGAATATGGGCCAAACCTGTTTCTGAACAAAAAGTCAAAGGTAGTAGATCGTACCAGGACAGTGACGGGTACTGCCCCGACCTGGAGCTCAGCGACTCGGAGCCGGAGAGACACAGAGCTAAAGGGAGACACAGGCGACCGGTCGGGACGCCTCAGCAGGACGCTCCGAGGAAAGGAGTCAGCCGTGGGAAACAGTCGCTGGGATCCAGACACTCCGTGCAGAGGTGACAGCCTCCGCTCACTGCCGCCGTTTACTCCAAAGTGCCGGGCAGTGTCTCTCCATCAGGGACCAGACCAAGACGCAGAGCTGAAAAAGAAAGCGTAGCTCTGCTTTAAGAGGAAGAGATATGTCTGTTTGTCTGTCTGACTGACTTCTGAGATTATCATTCTTGCCTTTCATCACAGCCAGCATCACATTTTGTACACTACTTTTCTGAAACACTCCTCTCCCCCCTGCACACTGATTCAATCTGCCTTTTGACTAAACCTGCTGTACATAAGATGTGGGATGTAAATAATGTGTACCCAAGTCACAAATGTTCCACATTATCAACAAAAAGAAAAATTAAACGAAACCGACAGATGTGGTGATTTGTAGCCTCTGCTGCACCCGTTTCCTTCACATTCTCTGTTGCAGTTAAAACACCTGATGAACTGAATTTATGACAAGTCATGGAGCTATTGTTATGAACGCTAACCACCTTCTGTGTGTATCAATCATAGACTTTATATAAGAAGTGGATGTAGCCAACTATGTGTAACCAATTGGTTTGTGTTCTGCTGTATTTAAGCCTGACGTTGGATATAAAGTGAGGAGCAAAGTTAAAAAAAAACAACAAAGGCTTGGCTTTTCAGAAAATGTGATTTAGTGAAACTAATTTTGGCTCCATCCATAAAATCCAAATCCATAAACCTGCCCTGCAGCTTACCCTGCTTGATGGTCTATTGAACTCCAAACCGGATCAGAAGTGAACAAAAATGAACATCATGCTGTGTTAATGATTTGAATCACGATTAAGACCTTCCATGTATATGGAGTAAAAAAAAAAAATGGGGCACTTTCTGAAGAATTACATATAATAATTGCTTTGCTTAACTGATGTTGCCCCCTGCTGGCCATCAGAAAGAATGCAGGATTGAGGCACTTCCCTTTTTAAACCAAGATGATATGTCCACTTCTTGTATACAGTCTATGGTAGGAGAGCTGTTAGAAACTATTAGAGCTGAGGTTCAGCAGGTTACAGTTTAATCATAATGCTCCGAAGACAAAATAAATGTGAGAAGTGTTTCATTTTCACGTCTTAAAATGGGAAGCAGTGTGGTTATAAAAGTCTAATTACATTCACCAAGGTGATCTTTTAGGGTTGAACTCAATCTTCAGTGCATAAAAGCACGAGAACAGACTTGTCATTGGTTGCCTTCAACGGCCTCAGATCATCACATGATCAGCTTTCATTTTCACAAACTGAAAACTGACTAGACTTTGTTTTGATGATAAATGTCCTGCAGGCACAACTCAAACACCAGGTCTGGAGACTCTTTTTGATAAAGAGACCATTTCAGTTCTTTTACGGATATCTTACTTTGCAAAGTCAGGACTAATCTTAACCTCAAAAAGTTGAATTGTTTTTGTTTTATTGTTTACTTATCTAAAAACTTATCTAAAAAATTGTGTTAAATATCTAAAACAAAATAAAAGGAACAAAATCAGTATTTAAATAAAGGTGTTTGATCTAACACCGACTAAACTGACCGATCGTTTAAGGACAAGAAGTCTAAAAGTTCTGCCTTAGATCAATCGTAGTTTTTCTAGTGTCAGGGGTCTTCCTCTGTGAAAGGGTCCAAAAGAAAGTATGTCTCTGCACACCACATCCCCACTGTGCAGCAGTCATGAAAAACTTTATAAACTCATTTTTCTGCCTTTTTTAATTTCTCTCTCTTGCGGTCTGAAAGTATCCAACAACCCACCCTGCTGTGACTGAAGTGGATTGTACACTTCAAGAACAAACTTAAACACTACCACGTTCATTCACTTCTCTTTGTTTTCAATCAGACATTTCATTGCAGAAGCATTCTCATGTTTTTTTTTTATGTTTCTACTGTGGAAAATGTTTAAATAAAGTTTTTAAATTAAAAACTGCCGTCTGTGTGAAGATTATGTTACACCTCGTACTATAACAAGTATTTTTCTGCTCAGAAGTTTTTCAAAGTGGTTAATAAAAAAGGTTTATGTTCATAAAAAAGTTTACAGTCAGAAGGTGAGATAATAAATGTCTGATGATACTGAAGTGTGATTTGTGTTTTTAAGCCTTTCTTGTTTTTATTTGTAATGAGCTCGATGGCAGCAGTGTGTGCCTCACCTAAAGAAGTTTATAACATATCTGTAAAGTGTTGCAGACCGCCTGTATGTACGTGCATAATGCTCTTTATATAGCAGGGAAAGCAGCAGAAGTTTTATTTGTAACAACAATGAATGATGTTTGTTTTCAGACAAATCCAGTCAGTGAGCCACAGCAGCATGCACAACATGAAGACCATTTAGTGAACACTACTAAATTATATATTTTACATTTATTTGTAAAGGTTTGTTTAAGCTCTTCTGAGATGTTTTAATATATGAGCTACACAAATAAAATAAAAGTTTGCATTTTAAAACAGATTAAAAGAAGATTAGAAAAAATCAACAGTGTATACACGGTCACTTGTACTGCAAGTAAACCGCTTCATTCATTTATTTATCAATCTTATTTTTAACATAATATCCATTTATATACTTTAATATATTCAGCTGGTTATACTTAATGAAAGGAAAATAAAATATTTAGGAATTAAATGAATAAACTTAGCATATTGTGTGTAACGTATGAAAACAGTCAATATAATGTTTTCATAAAACTTTGACCACTTCTACTTCTACTTCTCATATTAGTAATAATGATAATGTTAGAATAAAATACCATAAATTCATTTTTAAAAGTTCATAAAATGATTATTTGAAAAGATGAAAAGGAAAATGGCACTGATAAGAATGTTTTTTTACAGAACAAATTAAAATCAATACAAATTATTTAATCAATGACCAGGCTGATGATAATAATGAGAGAAATAAATACTTATAAACTCTTTACGTGTAATCTATTCAGAGAATGTAATCAAGTACAAAGACAATAATTTACAAAATTGATTAACATGAATAAATTAACCCATAACATTTAACCTAACCTAAATATAACAGAAATATTTTAACTTCCGAAATAAATGCATAATTAAATACTAATAGAAAACACACTTAGTGCACATATGTGGTTAATCCTGTAGGTTTAACATGGAAGAAAGGGAAATGTAGCCCTGACTGATGTGATTAATTGAAGTCGATATAACTTCATTTAATTGTGTGTAATCTCATTAGAAGAGAGAGGCCGAGAGGTTAAAACTCTGCTCTCACTTTGATCCTCATCAGCAGTCAGTCTGTTATCGGCCCTCGTGCTCCTGAAGCAGATTGTGTCTGTGCTTAGTGCTGTTTCAGAGTTTATTGACCTGCTGAAGATGCTGAAAAAAAAGACAAACACACAACTCACCATGTTCTCTCCTGCAGAGTCCAAGTCAGTACAAAGGTCAGAGTTCAAACTATCTTTACCTGAGTGCAGCTTTGAGCTGAAGGTTCAGATATTCATGTGGAAGATTACCTGTCCGTCAAACTGGGACATGTTTTTATTATCATTATTATTTATTTACTTGCACAGTAAAAAAATACATTCACGCAAATAACAGAACAGACGATAATATACACAAGTGCAGGAAGAGCTAAGATGAGTCCTCCACCTTAATAATGTTCATTTAAAATAACACAAAAAGGATTGCTTCACTTCTGCATTGACATCATTCATCAGTTGAAGGCGGCTCTATGTTTTTAAAGTAGTCTATAATGTCATGATAAAAGAAATGACTACGAACAGCTCTGCAGCAGGTTGAACAGCGTCAGGTAAGCTAATGGGAAACACCGGCTGTGACGTCACAGTGTCAGGGCTTTTGGCAGGGCTGCGGTATGTTTTGGAGTTCCCATCAGAGACTTAACATGCGAGGTGTCTCTTTAAGAGGAGAGCCTCTCTGCATCTGCTGATCTGTCAGCCGGCGCGGTGCCGCCCTCCCCTCCCTCCCCTCCCTCCCTCCCTCCTCTCCCCGCGCACTCTGCTGCTGCACCGGTCGGACGGTGAACACAGAGACTTACCTGGGGCAGACAGCACATCATGCGTGCGTCCTCGATCCTTATGGATGATCAATGATTGGAGCTAAAATGCGCCGGGTCCTCTGTTCTCGTCATCCCGGGCTCTGCAGGTGTAAAAGATTAGCAGACTGCAGGGTTGGGAGACACGCTTTATCTCCGGATCACATCATACATGTTTCATGTACAGCTATGACATTTCCTTCCGCTCCGGCATGGATGAGTCCTCGTGGCTCGTGCCTGTAGTGTCAGTCCGTGGATTATTTCCTCTGTGTGGAGGTTTGACCGGTTCAGCGGGTTTGGTGGTTGGAGGGAGCAGCAGCAGCAGTCTGATCAAGTAAGTATGAGATAAACAGGACTACATTTCCCACTGTGCTGTGTGTGAACACAATGCTCAAGTTTTTTCTGCACATAATGAATCCAATCTAGTCCCCGTGTTACTCTGCAGCAGCATTATACTGTTAAATGTGTGTTCACTGGCGGGCTGCAGGCGCTGAAGCTCAGCATGTCCTCCTCGGTGGTTTTGTCCGGAGCGAGGAAGCTGAGTCTGGGAGAGCTGCCCATGGAGAGCTGGATGTGTCACCTGCCCTGTGCTCTGTGGGACATCCCGCTGTACCACCTGGCCATCCCAGGTAGGCTGCCTGCCATATGACAACACAATATATTGTTAGTTAACATTTCTTAGTGGGTATATTTGTGAGGGGTGTAACTACAGCACAACACAGTGTAAGACTATAGGAGCTGCCATGATAGTTCAAGTTCAAGTTCAACATCCTTTACTGAACGGTAACAACAGTTATTGCCAGAGCAAACATTATTTAAATACAGAAAAGTAAAAACAAACAAAAACTCACAAGCAAATAGACAAAAGCTCAAATAAAAAGAATAAAAACATCCTGACAAGTTTGACTCAGATACAAAGTTGTACCCTTAGCTGTTCAACACAACACATTTCATAAAACTCAACCTCATTTCTTAAAAACCATCCAAGGACAGAGACATCGCAGCAAAACAAAGACAACCCAGGCAAATAAAGACAATACAGTCGAGTGAAGAGAGCGCAACTAAATATGGGACAACCCAACTATTCCGACCATGCTGCCAAATTCAGACATTGCACTTAAAAACAGGCATCACAAAGTTTCCAACTACGCAGCCATGAACAAAAAAAAAAAGCAGCCAGAGACCTTTCACAGTTTTAATGTTTTGTTAAGTTGTACTTCATAAACAATAAGGTAAAATAATCGATATGTCTTTGTGATGATTTATATTTATTATCCCCCCCCCCCCCATCAGGCAGCCACAATGCAATAACCTACTGTCTGGACATGAATGACAGATCTCCTGTTGACCTCACTCAGCCAGACATGCTTCAAAAGCTGGACAAGTACATGAAGCCTCTGATTCGCCCTTTTGTGTACAAGTGGGCCATAACGCAGGTAATAAAAGAACACATATATTTATATTAAATACATCGATTTTATTTTAAGCCTTCAGATGCAAACTGTGCCTCCTGTGTCTTGCAGGAATTCACAATAAAGCAGCAGCTGGACTGTGGGATCAGATACTGTGACCTGAGGATCGCGCACAGGCCGAACGACAGCTCCACTGATCTGTACTTCTACCACGGTGTTTACACCTCGCTCACTGTCCAGGTGAAGTAAAGTCTCACTGGGCTGAAAGATCAATCACAAGCACACATTACCACACTCTTCTCTCTGTCATGGGATACTAAAGTTTCTGTCTCTGCTCGTTTACGATTTAACATTTTAATTAGATTCCTTTCTTTTCAAATTGCACTACAATGAAGTGTATCACATCCTTCTGTATCGTACTGTATCATATCATATTATATCATATTGTACTGTTTGGTATCATATTACATACATACATCATATCTTACTATATTTTACAGTAGTCTGTTAAACTCTACAGTTTTGTTCTGTTCTGTGTCCTTATGATTGAATCGACATTTTATTTTGAAATTTTCATATTGTACCAAACTTTTATTTTTATAATAATAACAATGTAACATGACAATGTAGAGTGGTGTTAAAAGAAGGCTTAGAAGAGTTATCTAAGCATTGTATCATAGCCTACACATCGTAACAAGCCTTTCATATCAAAGTCAGAATCTTACAATAAGGTTGTCATTTTTTAACATTGTTACAAAAGAGGCAAGAGTTGTGCCTGTAAAGGAAGGCTTTGATTCTTCTTCAAGACAAGAGTAGTAATGTTTATTATAGTCAAAACTTTTTTTAATTCTAATTGGATCAGACTTTGACAACAGCAAAAACACCAACATGTATTGAATTGAGTCATTGTCTTTTTCATATCTAAGAAAAAGGAGGTGTTACTTCTTATTTCATAGTGACAGAGTTTCACTTTTTACCATGTGTCTAATCATAACAAAATCAGCGTTATTTCCTTTAAATGTGAATCATTTTTCCAGAGATCTTTGCATAGAAAACAGACCTAAATCCATGAGAGAGTGGACATTAGGGGGGCTATTTGTAAGAAGTTCTGACATGTGATACTCAACATGTAAAACAGAACAGGCTGCAGAGTAAGCGTGACGATCTTTAAGGTGGCTTAAATGAGAAACGCGAGCGTCCTTCACCTCACCTTTGCTCCTGCAGAGTTGACAGGTGGTGAAGGAACAGACCCTGCAGGTTGTTACGCACCTCTGTCATACTAAAGATAGGCCTGAGTGTGAATGCCAAAAAATCAGGTCCTATACCAGATCACTGAACCATTTCATGTGTGTTCAAAGCTTTTAACACAAGGCTGTGAATTGTGCATTAAATGCAATAGAAGCAGACTAAACAGTAACCTATGTTTTTTTTTCCTGACAGACTGTGTTAACAGAGATCAGGGAGTGGCTGGATGCTCATCCCAGAGAGGTGCTCATCCTCTCCTTCAGCCACTTCCTCGGCCTAAACCAGGAGCTCCACATGCTGCTGCTCACAACCATCCGCAACACATTCACCTCCAAACTTTGTCCCAAAACGGTACGACATCTCCTCAGCTTTTACAGAAGTGCTTAAAGGATGTGGCTGTGTTTAATCTATATTGTTCTTCTTGTAAATAAACAGACTTAAGCTCCATGAATTGGTGCTAATAATAAGTATTGTTTCTGTAACCATACCCTAATTTACCTAATTTATCTATGTAATGGAGCTCCATTCTTAACCAAAAACAGCACTTCTATGAGCCACACTTAGTTCTGAGTGACATTTGCCTTCATTATTTCGGGCACACACTGTGTAGTTTGTTTTGACTCAATCCTTCACACACCATCCTGCTGCCCCAAATATTCACTAGAGCACCAAATGTAGACTAATGTGCAGCTAAAAATAGTCCCCTGACAAACGCACAGTTTTTCTCCTGTTGTGTTTGCTACCACCTCGAGTGTGAAGCTTTTGATACTGTTGTATTTAAAGGCTCATTTTTAGAGATCATAAAACGATCTCAGGGCTGACAGAATAGAGTTCAGTGAAAGTACAGAGAGCCGTGTGAAATGTGAACTTCCACAGTCAGTAGCAGAAGTGAAAAACCACATTGAGAACACACCACCACTCTGGAGGTTTTTACACAGCAGAGTTTATAAAAGGGATGTAAGAAATATGTATCTACTCTTAAAAAACCTCTAATGGTAAGACTTTACATGCAAAGATAGTTTTTGCTGACGTAGGCCAACTAACACCTCTTTGGTCCATTTAAAAATGTTATTCCTCAGAGTTCATTCTTAGGTCAGGTGTGCGTCATACCCGCAAAGTTTCATAAAATTATGTAAAAAGAAAATCTCTATACAGTGTCACCATAGTACATTCAACAATATTAGAAATTGTGACTACAGTATCATAATAGTGAAATTGGCAGATTATCTTGTGTTCAAAGCCCAATTTATAAATAAAGGACACTTCAGATGGAGGGCTTTTTGTTTTTATTGGAAAGGACAGCTGAAGAGAGATAGCAAACTTTGGGAGGAGAGAGTGGGGGAAGACATGCAGCAGGGCCGAGGTCGGATTTGAACCTACAGCCGCTGTGAGGAGGACAGTAGCTTCTGTACACGGGGTGCATGCCATACGTAGCTGTTAGGCTCTACGGCACCCCACGATGGGGAGCTTTTGTTATTTTAAAGGTTATGAATTAAACATAGTTACGATGTTGAATCTGTGCATGCAATAGTCATTGTACAAACATCGATACGTCAATATATCATCATCCTGACTCCTGTGATACAATTATCAAATTACTGTTGCCAAATATCGATACTTTAATTATAAAATAAGACAACAAAAGTTCACTGTTTCATTACTCCTCATGGTGGCGCTGTGAAGTGAACCTGAACAGATGTTAAATGGCCAAAGAAGATGATGACAACGGGTTAATGTCAGGCAGCTGGGAAAATAAATTAAAGAGATGAAGCGTGATAAGAGGGGAAATCTATTTGCCGTGAAAAAAATAAATCCTACACTCGACCTTTTTAGAGGCGTTTTGTAATCAGAAATCTGGATGTTTCTTTAAATGATTGTTTTACTGTTCATCAGTTATCTCAGAATCGCTATAGCGTGACATTATCGTTATCCTGAAAATGTATCACCTATTGTATTGTATTTTATTGTGAGTTACCTTGTGACTCCTAACACTAACTGCAAAGGAATAATTTGACAAAATACAATTTGTTAAAGCAACTTCTGTAGTGGGGTCAGTTTGTCCCAGAGTACGGATAGTAAACTGCTTTGTTTAATGATTACATTACAGTACATTACATTCAGTACAGAAACTATGAACAGCATGAGTTTGTCTTACATGGTGCTGTATTTTTTTTGTTTGACTTCAGGAAGTGCTAACTCTTCGAAACCTGTGGGCTTTAGGCTACACTGTGATCGTGTCCTATGAACACAACATGGCCAGCTCTCACAGCGACCTGTGGCCACATATTCCTTACTGGTGGGCAAATAAATGCAAAGCAGAGGCTCTTATTGAGGAGTTTGAACACAGGAAACAACATGGCAGACCAGGTAACGAGTCGATCATTCATGACGTTTTATTGCTTGTTAACTGACGCTGTGTCGAGGCGAATCCACACAAAGTTTTTAACATGTGTTTTCCTGCTCTAGGTGGCTTCTTTGTCACAGGAATAAATCTGACAGAGGACCTGAAATACATCTGCACACACCCCACAGAGTCCCTGAAGGACTTGGTGATGTCCACGTACCCGGCGCTGCTCGGCTGGGTCAAAGAGCAGACTCCCGGCTCCAGAGTCGGATCTCTAAACATCATCGCAGGGGACTTTATCACCGAGAGCCACTTCGTACCCACTGTTGTTGCACTGAATGAGAAACTACTGAAATGGTCGTCGTGACTTCTCCACATTTTTGCATTTAGAGACGAATGTGAACCATAGCATGATATACACACAAGCTTGTTTTTAAAGAAACATTCTACTTGAATTATTTATTAATGCACTCGTTGAAGGCTGTTAAATATACATTTCAGTCTTTAAGCTACTTGAATACAGATTATCTTGGTACTTTGATCTGCACTTGTCTGTTTACACTCAGTTGACTATTTATGCACTGTATCAGTTTTTCCACCAGTTAGCTTAGCTAAGCAGTTTTATGTTACGTTCTCCAAAGCAATAAAGATCCAACTAATCTTCCATTACAGTACACATTTAGAGGAGTAAGCACAAAGCGTTTATTCTACAAGCACATATGATGTAATGTAGGCCTCAAACTTTTATAATCCTGACAAGCAGGCAGCAAATAGTTTCACCTAGAACACATGTAATGTTCAAAAGAGAATGTAGAGAGGACTTGAGACATATGCAAAGTGCATGACCGTTTATTTGCATGAACCCAACCCTCAGCGATGAACTTATAGATCCTTTTAGCCAACAGGTTAGGCCTTGATTTAATAACATGCTGCACCGCTGTGCCTGTGGAGATGAGCTGTTCCAATAAACATGAGCCTTTTTAAGCAAATCTCTCACTTCTCCAGTCTTTCATCATCAACCAGTAGTACACAGTGAAGAAGAACATTTACTTGAGTTCTGTACTTCAGCACATTTTAAAAGTTTTTTTTTACTAGACTATATTTGAAACTTATGTACTTATGACTCTACTCCACTACATTTCTATGAATGTTCTCATTACTCTACTATTGCTCTGAAGTCAGCTGATGAATTGTCTTTGTTCTGAAATCTGATCCAAAAGACAATAAACTGTGGTTCTGTGTGTGGTTTATCTGAGTGGTGTTGCTGCACTTTGTATGTTGCACGTCTCCATGGTTGAACACAGAGCAAACATCATTCAGATCAGCCAGTTCATTGAGTGAAATACAGAGGTTGTCTACGGAAGAGGATAAGGGCCACTGGAAAAAAAAAAATTGGTTCTGATTTATTTATTTTTTATTCTGACTTTAATCTCAGAATAAAGTCAGAGTTAAAAAAAAATCTGAACCAAAATGTTTTTTTTCAGTGGCCCTTATCCTCTTCCGTAGGTTGTCACTGTCTTTTCTTTCTATATGTTTTAGTATATGTTGGGTGCTAACACTGCTGCAGAGAAGTGAACAAAAAAAGGAAAGGGAGTTTTAGCAGCACCAGGAATTAGAGTATAATGCTGCACAGTTACAGAGTTCAAGAGGCCTTTCACCGACTGAAATGGGGGTTTAAAAAACATGAATGTTGTCTCACTGTGGAAAGCCTGGCTGACATTTTCCCTGCTCATCAGGTATTATTGGTTGTTCCCATTAATGTCCTGTTTATTTTGGAGCGGCCAATCTGGAAGTCTGTAGCATGTGAGTTAGAGAATGTAAATAATGTTTTCTAAATAAACATGACAAAGTAGAATGTACAGCCATGTATTCTTGACTGCACTCACCCGATGTGAATACTAAAGTTTTTTTAAAAGCAAGTCCTCCAGGACTTCAGTTCAAGAAATCATTTGACTGAACTTTCAAATGTATTGGAGGAAGTTTTTCTCCAGGAGTATCTATAATTGACTCAAGTCATGAAGTTGTGTACTTTGTCCCCCACTGTCATCAACTAAGAGGTTTCCTCTAATCAAGAGTGTTTAAGTCTCTGCTCAACAGAGTTTGATTTTCAGATACACCAAGCAACTGTAGCTTCTTCTCATTTCTCAGTTTGTACACCCCCCCCCCCCTTTACCCTGCAATCACGCTGTGACTGAATTATGGGACATAATGATTTTCCTACTTTGACAAATTTGTATGAAGGACAATTCAAGTTAGACACATGAAGTCAGAGGAAATGTTGGTATCAGTCCCAGACTTGCAGAGTTAACAAACTGGACTTCTTATTTCGTGAATCAAGGAAAACTAAATGAAATAACTCGGCACCCAAAAACTTAATTTTTTTACTTCTTTTTAACAGGGTTTTACAATATGGTTTATACATTTGTTCATGTCTTTATACATTCAAAGCTTAAGCCTTTTCCCATCTAACGATGCATTTAAGATCCGGAAAGTTGGAAACAGAAATAAGAACAACACTTATTTGTGTACCTGTGCTGCTTTAACTGTCAAATAAAGGGCCAGGGCCAGGGTTAAAAAGCTTTTGTGTTAGCTTTGCAAAATGTGCTTTTTTCCAATGCTTTCTCTCACAATAGTTTCTTTTTTTAAATCATCACTCTGCTGCTCTGGGGTCAGTTCAGTTCATGCCATTTCAATAGCTGTAGCCAACGTGAGATTTTTGTAAAAGCCATAAAACCTTTCCCTTTATCGCTTTTTTAAATGTAAAAATAATCTTAACATTAAGAAAATGTCTTAAATCACCTGTTGTATTGAGTGACAGAGCGTGCTATGGGATCTTAACTTTTAATATGTGAAATCAAATCGATTTTGATCAATGAATCAAAAATATTCAAGTTTACAAATGACTTTTCAGGCAGGAATATGTCGCAGCTTTTAGTTTCCCGGAGGTTTTGAAGTTCTTCTTCATGGATGTATTTTTTTTCAAACTTTATTCATTTAACAAAGAGGCATTTAAACTGTTGAACATTTCACAAAGTACTCCAAGCAGAATATTTAGTTGACAAAATAAAAACCAAACTGACCAGAAAATAACAGTACATCAATATAACTTGAAAAAATTCAAAAATAAAATTAATTTAAGTACATCTAAGTAAAATACAATTTGTGGGGGATTTAATCCATATTAAATTCAAGTAATTTAGAGAGTCTCTCACTTCTTTTTAACAACTTTTCAAAGACTGAAAAAAGATTTTCATGTCATTTTGAAATGCTACAACATTTGAATAACTTAAAAATATCTACATTTGTGAAAATATAATTTACATATACTCAAAATATTATTAAACAGGAATTCATCCTCTTTGTTCTGCACAAACACAACAAACTTGAACATAAAACAGGTATCTCATGCTTATTTGTAACTGACCATTCATAGATTCTGTCCCAGCAACAACTTCCTGTTTTGATGCTCGCTCCGCCCCATAGCTCCGCCCCCATCCCGACGTCATGGCAACAACGCCAGAGGCTGTTTGACTGAAGCAGCATGTATGCTAGTCAAAAGTGTGAATGAAGTGTTTAGATATGGTTAAGATACAGTTATTTAGGAATAAATATATCCCATAGCCTCTATAAGTGTGTTTTAATATTAAATCGAACAAAAAACCCTCCTACCTGAGCTGAAGTCCTGCAGAGTTGGTGTCAGTCACAGCAGAAGAATCAGGAAATTCTAACTTTCATCACCATCCTCCCCTTCCCTCCCCTTTGTTCTCCTTCCTTGCAGTGAAGTTTGTGGTCGGTCATTTAAAGAAGTCAGATAAAGGAAGAGGTCAGGATCGATCATATATGATGACTCATTTGAAAGGGTTTCTTCTCACGTCGTTTGTTCAGTTTCAGTGACGGACGGAGCGACATGGAGCCGAGCTGCCAGGACTGGATGTCCGCTCTGCCGGAGGAGCTGTGGGACATTCCTCTGACAAACCTGGCCATACCAGGTAGGCTAAACAGATTCTCCTGTTTTATGTCACTGAGTTCAGAACATTACTCCTATAGGCTACACAGCAGATATGAACACTCATGAAGTTAAGTTATACTAGAATAACTTCTAGATGTCTATTCATCTAAATGATTAATAGTGTCTGTCATCATTTAAAACCTAAGCTTCTTCTTCCTGCTTGAATTAAGGATTTTCTTCTTTTGTTTGACATTTATCTTGAAGACAAAGACTTTGGACTGTTGGTTGGACAAAAACATACAAATTTAAAAAAGTTTTGGACATCATGATAAACATTTTCCTAAATATTTTGACGGGTCACTAATTGATCAGTTGATCTCTAGTGACAATATTTGATAATAATAATAATAATTATAATAAACCAAAATGATTTTATATGCAAATCTAAATTTGACAACCTCAGCAGAGCAGAGCCTCATACCCCTTGGGGGGCCTGGACCCCAGGTTGGGAACCCCTGGTCTAGGGGATTAAAACACTCTCAGATTAAAACTCCGATGAAAGCACATCTATAAAAATGTGTTTTTAAAAGAGATTAAAAAGAGGATAAAAAGCAGTAAGGTGGTATGGAGATAGCCCTTTTTATTCAAGAAGTCTCACTGGGATGAATGTTTAGATTTCACTCGTGATCTTCAAAAATATAACTCATCACTATATTAAAACAAGACCAGGTAGTCAAACCACTGAGCGGTTAGTCTATCACCAATACATGGAAATGAAGCCTCTGCTTTAGTTTTTCATAGGAGTGAATGTCTTTAGGTTTAATAGTTGCAGTAATAGAATAAATAGTCAGATCCTGTTTTAAGTAACAATAGTGATACCACAGTTTAAAAAAAAAGTCTTATGTGATCAAAAGTGCTGCATTCACCTTCATTTATTTAGAAAAATGATTAACATGAAAACAAACTTAAAGTACCAAAAACAATGCAGGATGACTCAACTCATCAAAATATGAGGATGATTATTTTGAATATGTTCATAACTTTGGTCTAGCTTGTAGTAAAGGTAGGTTTACTGTTAAAACTTTTTTATTCCACCGGCCTCAGTCTGTTAGTATGACTGTGTGGTGTGAGCAACAGCATCGACCTCTGAGAGTTTTAAATAATACAACTATAATAAGGCTTTACATGTTAATAATCCATCTCATAGAAACTATTTCAGTTCCTTAATGAATGGATACTTCTATTCAGTCCTACTCTAAAGTGCACCTCGTGTTTGTTTGTCTGATTATTTGTGTGTTTTTTGTAATATTGAAGGTGTTATGTTTAAAATGTCAGTAAAGACTTGTTTGAAAAAATGTGTTGGAATGAATCATCATTTATTAGTTTCTAATACTTTGCATCAGTATTTTAACTCTTGAACTCAGAAATGTAGAAAAACAAACTGTCTTACATTTGAATGGGGTTTGTAAAGACATCGTTCAAAGTTTCTGTGTTTTTTCCGACCATGTTTTTTTCCAGGGAGCCATGATGCCATGAGTTACTGTCTGGATATAAACTCCCCTTTGGTGCCCTCCGAGTCAGATGCTTTCAGACTCCTGGATGGACTTTTCTACTGCTTTACCAGGCCGGCCATCTTTAAATGGGCAACAACACAGGTATGCGTGATAGAAAACAGACTACAGGTGCAACTTATGGTCAGCATAGAGCAGGTGATCATGCAGATGTGTGAGGACCCCTTCTGGATTGTGAAGGTGTTTCTGTGTTTTTCCACATTACAGCCTTGGTTTAATTACCTTACTTACTACCTGCTAATGATAATTAATTACAGGATTTTTTTTCCATCATTATAATAAATGTTAAAGTTATTTGTGCCATCAAGACACTGAACTCTATGAAGAACTGAGTCTGATTATAATAAAGGTGCAATTATTAAATGCAATTCCCTGAGTATATATTTATGTATTTTTACTGTTGGTCTGTGTAAGTAATTGTTGTCCTTTTCTTGTTTTGTTTTATCCATCTACCTCTGAGAGCAGATTCACTGAGATTTTATTGTATATTTGTGAAATGACAAGAAAGTATTCTCTTCTATAAAATATCTATAACACAGGGTTATACTAATAAAAAATATTCTGGTTGATGTTTCATGAATCATTGCAGGATAAAAGCATGGAGGAGCAGCTGTCGATGGGGATTCGGTTCTTCGATCTACGCGTCGCACACAAACCCAAAGACTCCTCCAGCGACCTGTACTTCACACACGTCATTTACACACATCTAACAGTTCTGGTGATGCACAGCCTTTCTTCATTAAAGTTTCACTTTTGGATGTTATTGTTTATTCATAATAAGGTTGTCAAATTTCCGATAGTTTGATACCTTTCAATATCACTAAAACGATACAAGCTCTGTTATTCTGACGATCGATCGTATGGAAAAGTACCAAAGCTTTGAAATAAAGTACAGATCTGTGACCCAAAGTTAAGAGGTGATCTATTCTAAGTCACAGTTTGGCAAATACTGTTGTTTCTCAAGTCTTTTGGGTGACTCATAGGGAAGTTAAAGTTATGTTTATGTCTCAACAGACTTGGTGACACCGTCTACCATGTTGTGTAATTTAGACAGTTCAGGAGTTTGTTAGCAATTGTTTATTTGAAAAAAAAGCCAAATATTGAGTGCCTCGGACTTCTATCATTTCTGTGGAATCAAAAGCCGTATCAATATTGATTTTTACTAGTATTTTATCGCAGTTTAAAATTCAGGTTCAGGAAAACCCTAATTCATAAATTTTTTTATGTTTTACAGGAAACTCTGTCCTCTGTTGCCACCTGGCTGGAGTCCCACCCGAAGGAGATTGTCATCCTCGCCTGCAGCCACTTTGAAGGAATCGACGACAGACTCCATGAAGCGTTCATTTTCTCCCTGAAGAAGCTCTTTGGCTCAAAACTCTGCCCAAGGAAGGTGAGTTTTCTCCTCATACACAGCTGATTTACACAATAAAAAAACAGCACACTGTCTCACACAACCAGTGTTGTGTTTTCCCCAGGACTCTGTGCCGACCCTGAGGAGTCTGTGGGCGTCTGGTTATCAGGTCATCCTCTCCTATGAGTGCCAAACTGCAGCCAGACATTGTGAGCTGTGGCCTGCAATCCCCTACTGGTGGGCCAACAAGCGCACAGCACAGGGAGTGATCAGTTATCTGGACTGGAACAAAGAGATGGGACGACCAGGTGAGTTTAATTCACACTTTGGCACAATTTTGATCTGGCTTTCCTGGTGCTCGACTCAGTTTGATGTTTATTTTTTTTTACTCCCAGAAAGCTTCTTTGTCTCTGGTTTGAACCTGACAGCGGACAGATATTTCATCACCAAGAACCCCAAACAGTCTCTGAGGACGCTAACGTTCAGTAACTGGGACTGTTTGAGGAAATGGCTGGAGGAGCAGACGCCCGGATCAAACCCTGAGAGCCTCAACATCATCGCAGGAGACTTTGTGGGTCCTCTCCCCCTCTGCTCTCTGGTCATTAAATTGAACCAAAAACTTGTACAGAAGAAAGCCGTCAGATGAGAAAAACATAGTTATAGATACAAATGCACTAAGCGGACATGTATCCAAACATTTATTTACTTTGTTATCCTACAAAGAGGGATCATTTCCAGATAATTTCCAGCTGCAAAATCATGAAACAAACACAGAAATATGCCTAATTTACCTCAAAATTGTCAGCATGGCATGTCATGAAAATAATCCCATCATCACAAGAAGTTTGTAATTGTATATATTATAGTATTGTAATATCTGAACCAGTTCACTTCCATCGCTGGAACACCTGCTGCTGTGCCGTGATAACTCACTCATATCTGGCAAACAGAGGGGCGTCCAAAACGGCCTACCTTCACTGGTCTAAACAAATCCAGACCATTCAGGACCAGAATCTGAAGGAGGACATACTGGCTGCTGCAGAAGCCAGCACTTCAACACATCATTTGATCTGAATGTGTGATGATACTGTAAGGTCATTCTATGATTTAATTTAGTAGATATCTTTAATTCAGCATATTGTTCATTTTGTTCATTCTCTTCACATCCAGAGAAAAATAGGACAGTGGTTCTCAACTGGTCAAGCCTCAAGACCCACTACCAGCTCCTTCATGAAAAACCATGACCCCAAAATTCAGATATTTTTCAACCAATCACAATTATTTAATACAATTTTTTTGCAGTTTGGATCATCTTTATCTCGTAATAATGAGATCTTTATCTCGTTATAACAAGAAACCAGGCCAAAAAAAAAATCTCCACATGAATGCAATACGCTTCCGTAGAAAGCTCACATTTTTTTGTACCTCTCTCTTTTTCACCCTCTCTGTTGATTTTTGTGGCCATGTTTAACTGTATTGGACAGGGCAGCTGAAGAGTGACAGGAACTGTGGGGAGGAGAGAGTAGGAGATGACATGCAGCCGGATTCAAACCCACAGCGGCTGCGATGAGGAACAGAACACTAAATCCATACGTTTTGTATGTATTTGCTTTTCCAGTAAGACCAATTTGATGTAGATTTTTCTTTTATCTTGCTCAGCACCCCTGTGGTGCTGGATAACTCACTTGATGGAGAGTGACTCCTACATGTGTGAGGCTGTGTCATTGATGTAGTGGCCCAGGGTTCGACTCTTTTCCTGTCTGTCTTCAGCTGTCCTTTAAAAAAAACACCATGTAATTGAATAACATAGTTATACATTACAGATGCAGGTGATAACTAACAACCTGTCACTCCACTCCAGCTCCACCATATTGTCTAAATATGGTCACTTCTGGCTCCCTGAAACATAATATGGCAACAGACAAATCAAAGGTTCTTTATATATTTTCTTTATTATGAAAACATTCATCCACTTTAAAGTGCAGTTTATACATGTTTACCAGAATGTACATCCTTCTGTAGCGATCAAAACAGTCCTCTTTTTTAAGGTGTTTGTGGTTCAGTTTGCAGCAGCAGGAAGGATCACTCTCCTCTTCTCTCCACTAGCTTCACTTGAACAGTTTCTTGTAGCGTCCGTAAGCAGCGCGGCTGATGATGACTCTGATGACAGCTGAGCCTTCGTCTGCGTCCACCTGCACGTCCTGAACGGCTGCTTCTTTGTATAGCCAACTGTGGAAGGAAACACACACTCACTATGGATGCTCTCTTGTTCTAAATCTAAAAAGAGAGAGAGTGATTCAACAGTGCTTACCTTAACTGAGGAGTGCTGAGGTCCACTTTGAGATCTAAAATGTGTTTTCCTGTAGAGTTTACAATCTGATCTTCCACGGCTCTCTGCAGCTCATCCAGGCCTCGCTCCTCCAAGGCAGATATGGGCAACACACCGGGCTCTGTAATCTGATAGCTGAGGGGGACAACAGAAAATACTTTGATTTTCTTCTGAACACTAAAACCATTTCTCCACCTCTTTTTACACATATGGGTTAATACCAATATGGGTCTGCAACACCTGGGGAATCACTACAGAAGATCTATACTGAAAAACTGATTGGCCAACTATTTGTCATGGTTGGGACATTTTTTGTAAATGTTTGTTTATTAGCTAGTGTGGGTTTCATAAGTGTTGTGTGTTTCTTCTGGGGTGTTTTCAGTTTAGCTCTGGGTAGGATTTTGCTTGTTTTCAGTGCTTCTTCTTTTGCTGCAGAGGCTGGGAGGTGTGTTGCCAGAGGCAGAGTTACTCATTAGGTACAATCAATGGCTGCTGATATGTCCCTCTGGTCCTCTGGTCGCCCAAATTTTCTCAGCGCTTTGCCAGTGATCCAACCCTGTGATTTCCTGTTTCTACAGTGACACTTTCCACCGAGCTTCAATCAATCGATGGGCCTGAGTTTTTTTTGGTTTTTTTAAGAACAAAGCAAAAACTCTCTGATTCCAGTTTAATAAAAAAAGAATATTGTCTTATGTTTTTTTCTCCTCTATGACAGTAAACTAAATGTGTTTGTGTTGTGAGCAAAACAGGACTTTCAAAGATGTTCTAAATATCTTTTGGAAACATTGATTAACAAATTTCACCATTTTCAAGTTATCGATTAAATAGTTATGTTTAATCGTTTTTTATGTTTTTTTTTAATCATTTACAGATTTATTTACAATTGCAAGTTGTAGCCTATCACCTACTATCATGGCCTTAAGTGTATACATATGTTTGGGCTTTTTAGGCTTTTATTTAGAGATAGGACAGTGGATACAGTTAGGAATCGGAGAGAGAGAGTGTTGGCAATGACATGTGGGAAAGGAGCAACAGGTTGGATTTGAACACGGGCCGCCCGCTTGGAGGACTTTATCCTCCGTACATGGGGCGCTCGAACTAACCACCAGGCTACCGGCCTAGTATATTAAATGTAATTATTTTAAAACCTTTTTTAATTAAAATTGTATTTTTTTTACTGGTTTTGTGAAAGAAGGTTCTGAGTTAAGACATCACACACTTAAACTAACTTTTATACTGTTCAGCAGATTCTCATCCACTTTTTTTTGACAATGATCAACCTTATTTCCCCTTCACAGAATTAGGTATGTACACTTTAGTGAAACAAATGCGTTGTTGTAAAAGTTCTCTTTGATGCGGCTGCAAAAACTGTTATTTCAAAACATCAAGCTTTTTCAGATTTGATTTTCAGTCTTGCCTCTCTTGAATCTCCCCTGTACATAATAAATGTCTATATTTAAGCATAGCTTATGGTCAAAGTGCAGCAGAGTCCAGGCTGCTGCACTTTACATACAATGCATCCTGGGACACGTAGGCACTGCAAAGCATCTCATCTCATGAGAAAGCTCACAATGAGAAATGTAATGCTGCAGATCTGTGTTAACTCTGACTGGACATCCACATTATAGGTAAAGAGAAAAAATGAATTTCTAAAGATCTCTGAAATTCTGAAGGAAAGAAGAGGTTATTTTACTCGTCAACGAGGTCAGTCTTATTGTGGACTTCTATCATGGAGCTCATCAGCCGGTCAGGGATTTGCAGGTTCTTTAGGACATTCAGCACGTTGACTTTCTGATTCACCGTCTCTGGATGACTGATGTCTCTGACGTGGACGAGCAGATCCTGGAGGATGGAAGACAAGTCAGACTTTAACTTTAGATAGTAAACTAACTTTATCAGAAACTGTTTCTGGTTTGAGAATCTGGAACATACTGAGTGTTTTATGTCTTCCAGGGTGGCAGAGAAAGAGTCGATGAGTTGGTGGGGCAGCTGGGACAGGAACCCGATGGTGTCCACGTACAGGACCGTCATTCGACTGGGCAGCTGGCCGGCGTGAACAGTGACATCCAGCGTGGCAAAGAGCTGGTTTCTGGGCTGGAGGTCGCTGTCGCCTGTCAGAGCTTTGATCAGAGTCGTTTTCCCTGCACAAAATAAATATGTGAGACTGTGAATGTTTACAATACCCAGTGAACAGTGTGTCCTGACTGTGTCCAGGCTCTCACCACAGTTTGTGTATCCTAACACGGACACGATGGGGAACTCTTTGTGTGTCCGCTGAGAGCGCAGAAGATGACGCTTTTTCCGCAGTTTTTCCAGCGCCAAGCGAATCTTCATCTCACGCTCTTTGAGCAGTCTCTGCTGCACCTCCAGCAGAGTCTCACCTGGGAAATGAACAAATCACCGTACTGAAGCTGCTTCCTAACAGGTCAGCTCAATCACTGTCAACCTGGTGTTGGGATTCTGTACCTGAACCTCCGATGTACCTCGCTCCTCCACCCTGCTGGTCCATGTTTGTGATTTCATTTCTTAGACGAGACCTGAAGGCATCAGATGAAGGCAACAACATTAATTAAAGAGAAGCAGATATCATTTATAGAGAGGAACCGTGCTAATTATGGTACAAGAATTTCACATGTTAGGTTCTTTCCTCCTAAAGTTTTTGATCAAATCTGGAAATCCAATATGGGGACAGGTTTTCTAACCTCATTGATTTCTTTTTTTGTCATAGAAATGTGTGATTTTGGTTCAATGTTTGAAATATTACGCTGGCTGGGAAGTGCAAACCAAAATTACAAAGTGTGAAACACTTTTGCAAAAGCTTGAGACGAATTTAAATTTTGGAAAACCTTTTTACATTTTATAAAACAAAATTAAAAGTAAAACACTTTACCAGGACAAAACACATTTACATTTAAAAAAACACATTTACGAGATGCTAAACACTTTTAAGAGCATGGAAACAAATTTGCAAGCGGCAGAACACTTTTACCAGTCCTACATTTTTTTATTTTTTTACAAATGACAGAATCTTGCCGGAAAGGGAACGTATATGCTGGTAGTGATTGAGTGAGCAGACAATTCATTTGTTAAGACGGAAAGACTGTGCGTTAACTGCTCCGCAAAGCAAACAAAACATGATTTGTTCATAAACTCTAAACGCCAAAGCAAACCAATGGACCACTCACTTAATCACTGCACGGTAACTTCCGACATTTGGTACATTCCCTTTCCGGCAAGATTCTGTCGTTCCTAAATTTGTCTCAGCCCTCGTACATTATTTTTAGCATCTTGTAAATATGTTTTCTGAAATGTACGTATGTTTCGTCCTTGGTAAAGTGTTATACTTATGTAATTGTGTTATATAAAATGTAAAATTTGTCTCAAGCTTTGTAAAAGTATTTCACATTTTGTAATTTTGGTTTGTACTTCCCAGCCACCGTAGATAAGTATTTAAAGTGTGACAGGAAATAATGCAAAAACGCTTAGAGTAGGCCTACTTTTAGTGAGATTACTGCCCACATTATTTAAAAACAAAAATACATTTTAGGAGGTGAATTTTGCAACCATGATAAAAACACTTTCCTTATTTTTCAAATGGACAATCAAAAGGTCCAGGAGACAATTAACTGGAAAATAAGTGAGTAGTATATGAGAAATCAAAGTCACCTTAACAGAGGGATTTCTGCCAGAGAGATCTGTAACTTGGCCTCTCTAGTCCTGGCGTTACAGCGGAAGATGTGCAGGACCACCGAGTATCTGTCAAAGACTTTGACGCCCCAGGCCTCCTCCAGCTCCCTCTGTGAGGAGGAAAAGAAGAATCAGGGAAATAAATCTGACTTTTATTCTGCCTGATGAGATATTTCTTCTCATCAGGAAATCTATATGTTCCAGTGTTTCACTTCAAAACAGTTTTGATTATTTCAAATAAGATGCTGCTACAAGTCACAGAGAATATATTTCTGTTCATGAGAACTTTACAAGAACCAAACTGATTTCAGAATACAAATTTATCTTTTTAAACAGCCGCCTCCTTTTTATTCCTTTGTATACTAAGAGCAGAAAATAACCAAATTCTTTCATACATAGAAATCAAAAACACACTTTAAGTCATTTCAACTGTTTTACTATTCTGATAAATCCCAAAGACAGTATTTAACAATAAAATTGATTTATCCAGCTTTCATTTCTTTTACTGAACAAGCCAATCTCACGTCTAGTCTACACATGCTTTTACCAATAATACTGACATTGTAGATACAAATCTATGGTATTCTTTGTTGTTGCTCTGTTTGTCCTTCTTCCTGCATCTCTCTCTATCCCACTTTTCAACACGGTTTCAGCAGATGGCTGAGTTTGGTTCCGCTCGAGGTTTCTGCCTCTTAAAGGAACTTTTTCATTGCTTCTGTCACTTTGCTGAATATTGCTTAGTGCTGAGCTCATGGTGAGTTAATGTTGGCTCTTTATAAATAATAAATCAAAGAGTACACTCTAGATCTGCTCTTTTGTAGCGTTTTGAGAATATCATTGTTATGAGTTGGTGCTATAGATATAAAGACTGATTGATTGGGGGAGATGGTGGCACAGTGGTTGGTTGGTGTGCGCGCCCACACTTTAATCAAGTGTTTTATTCTGTTAATTACAGAATATATGTCATACTTCAGGACACTTGCAATAACACCGGCTGCTCAATTCAAGCACATTTATCTTCTACATACTCATACAAGTATACTAAACCCCTCATTTAATCATGTGATGCTGTAGTGTATTTTTATATGTTTTTATGTGCTGTCCTGTAAATGTTTGTTTGTATAGTGTTTTATGCTCTCTGTGCAAGGCAAATTCCCCTTGGGGCAATAAAGGTTTCGTTCATCATTCATTCATTGTAATAGTAAAATGAACCTTTTTTTGGTATGCCCTTGCTTTGTAGCCTTGACACACTCACATTAAGTCATCTGTTGGTTCTTGGACACTAGTTGTTTCAACTTTTATTGAAAGTTCATGTTGTAATATAGAGACATTGTCTTTTTCTGTTGGCTGTTAATTATGATTACTTTTTGAAGCATTATTGTCCCCTTTCTTCTTCTTTTTGAGGGCTGAATTTTTGTCTGTCAAACTTTTCTGTCCAGACAGAGAGTCATTCTGAGACGAGCTCACCTCAGATAAAGGAGACAGACGCTCGACATTCACAAACACAGCAGTGACTCCAGCTGTCTGCCGGATTTTCTCTGCAGAGGAGAAAAAGTATTCATTAGATGATACTGACTTACAGCACTGACACATGCATAAAAAGAGAACAGATCACACTTCAAAAACGCTTCACAAGTGTATTTATTTTTATCAGGGAGGTCATAGATTGCCCAGGTTGTAAAAGACGAGTGCATTAATCACTTATAGATATTTAATGAATACATGCTTATTCAAACATTGCTCAGATAACTCCATCAGGCCATGTCTCAATAAAAGCTTTTCTTCCAGCTATTGCTCTCTGTTTCAAGAGAAGGGGACCAAGCACTGACCCTTGAGGTACCCCTGTGGATAAGCTGTGCACTTTGGACACTTCTCCCTTCCACAACACTCTAAAGGATCGCCCAGAGAGGTAGGACACGAACCAGCAGAGGGCAGATCCTGAGATGCCAAGTTCAGAGAGCGTGGATAGGAGGATTTGATGGTTGACTGTGTCAAAGGCAGCAGACAGGTCTACCAGTAATAGAACTGAGGACTGACCCGCAGCTCTGGCAGCTCGTAGCGATTCTGTTACTGACAGTAGTGCAGTTTCAGTAGAGTGGCCCCGCTTAAAGCCTGACTGATTTGGGTCAAACAGATCGTTTCTGAACAGGAACTCAGAGACTTGCTTAAAGACTGTGCTCTCAAGTATTTTTGACAGAAAGGGCAGAAGAGAAACCGGTCTGTAGTTTTCAACCTGGGCTGGGTTTAGTGTGGGTTTTTTTAGCAGAGGGGTGACCCGAGCTTGCTTGAATGCAGTGGGGAAAACACCCGTTGACAGAGAGGAGTTGATGATATTGTTAAGTGCAGCATTAAGCGGAGAGGAAATGGTCTGCAGGAGGCTTGATGGTATTGGGTCCAGAGGACAGGTGGTGGGCCGAGAGTCTAGCACAAGCTTAGAGACTTCATCCTCAGTCAGAGAGGAGAATGAGTCGAGTGAGGCACTTTTGGTTGGTGCCTTTGGGCTGAGTTGGTCAGGCTCAGAAAACTGGTTACTGATGGTTGCAACCTTTTCAGTAAAATACGAGGCAAACATGTCTGGTGTGAACAGATCGGAGGGTGGAGGAGGAGGTGGTTGAGGAGGTTGAAGCAGTGAGTTAAAAGCAGAAAACATTTTTCTTGTATCTGTGGCATTGCATATCTTGTTCTGATAATATGTTGTCCTGGCCGTTTTCAGGCTGGAGGAGAATGAGACAAGGCTTTGCTTATAGTCATTGAGGTCAGCGGACTGTTTGGTTTTTTCCATTTTCTCTCTGCTGAACTCAGCCCTGCTTTTTGCTCTCTTATGACTTCCGTGAGCCATGGACTAGGGTGGGTTTTGCAGGTTGTTGCTCAGTGGGAAGAGTTTATTGAATTTCCAGGTATTAGAAATGAGGATACCTGTACCACCTCCACGTCCAACAGAGCGGGGGGTGTGTGAGAACACTGTGTCAACAGAAAGAGCAGCTGGTGTGACTGTATTTTCTGGGCGGATCCAGGTTTCAGTAAGGGCAAGTGCCTGAATGTCTGACATTTTTGGAAGTGCTTGGATGAATTCAGTTTTATTCACAGCAGATTGACAGTTCCAGAGGCCAAAAGTAAATGAAGGGTGGGCAGAAGGGGCTTTCTTAAGCCGAGCCAAGTTCTTAAGATTTTGTTGTCTATGACAGATGTGTCTTTTCCTGTTCCCATGAATGACAGAGATTTCTTTGTAGCACATGTTGCGTTTGGCAGGTGACCAGAGAAAATAGGCAAAGCAGTAGTCGTGGATGCCCGGGCTCTGTGTGGCCTTGGTGAAACGTTTTAAGCTTGGATTTTAGTGAAAATCCCGCCCCAGAGGGTGTGACACGCATCAACTGCCTCTCCTGTTGATGCTCAGAGAATGAGAAAACTTCAGTGCTCAGTCCAAGCAAAGCCTGACAGCGACCCCACTATCAATCTCTATTAAAAGCAAAGTTTCGCTTCACCCACCTAAACTGACAAGACCTTCCTAGTTTTCAAATCAGAGCTTGTTCTCTATTCAGACTTTTCAGATGAATGTGGCTCATATTGAGTGTACTTTTCTCAGAAACTAATACACTTGTAAAACAGATGTGAGTTTTTGCAGAGCATACCTGTCAGAGTCTGGAAGTTTCCTTTACCAAATATCTTCTTCTTCTCCGGTGTCTTGGTGGACATGATGATCTTGTCCACCACTCTCCAGTTGTCTAAGGTGTTGACGAGCCCCACAGCCTCGGCCATCATCAGCTCAGCTGCGTAGAAAGTTTAAGGTCATGGGGGATGAAACCCATCCAGCATCATGAACACTGACATATCAGGCTGGCATTGACTTTTAAATGACCTTGAGAATGTTGTTCAAGTAAGAGCCACTCAGAAGGCAAAAAGCCATCCTGGAAGACCCTCACCACCCTCTTTATGCAGAGATCAGATCCCTAACGCTGGGAGGTCCAAATCCAACAGATATCTTTGGTCATTTGTCCCACAAGCAGCTGGGTTCAATAAGCTGTAGGCATGGTTGTACATTACATGTATACTTTGGACTGTTTGACTTCAATACTTAATATCTGAGTCTCCTCTCACCTGTGGTCAGATGCTGCTTCCTGCTCCCCCACTTCACATCAGGGTGAACGATGAAGACCCTTTGCTGACCCTCTCCGATACCTTCAGGAGCCTGCTGCTGAAACAGCTCCTCCACCTCATTGTCATCAAGGACATCTTCATCCTCCTCCTCCTCCTCCTCCTGAGTGAATCCTGTGGGCTGCCCACTGCTGAAGTCACCTGAGCTCTTCAGCCTCCACGCAGAGAGAGACACACCTGTCAGCCGGTGGAGCTGCTGCTTGTTGACTGCAGGTGACAGGTGAGTTGTGTGGAGGAGTCTGCAGGCTGTTGCTGTGCGACAGCTCCACGTGCAGGGTTGTCTCAGGAGCGCGAAACATGACTGGATCCTTCTCAATGACGTCATGATGCCTCGAGGAGCTCGCCCAAATGAGTCATTGCTGTTAATAAAACAAAACACTAAACTACCATCACGTTTAGCATGCTAAACATGAGCCACTAGGACACACAGCAGCACTGTTTACGTTTTCTTCTTCTTCCCGTCACAAAGGTGCAAAAACCAACAAGAAGAACGAATACTGCCCCCTGGTGTACAACTTAGAAACATTCATGCAGCAGAAGAAGTTGAAACTTCTTAGCTGGTTATTAATGATACTAAAAAAGGCTGCACTTTGTTTTTGTAATGCCCTCTTTTCTGATTAAATTTGACTTAATTTGACTTTAATTTAAAGTATTTTATTTTGTTTTATTCAATGTTTTTTGGTCAGTCTAGTTGTTATAGGCCTATGCTTATTTTGTCATCTTATTTTTACTATAAAACCTTTTAAAGGTGGTAGTCTGTATTACTTTCATATTTGCAGTTGTGAAAATATATTTATATATAATATTTTTTTATTCGGTCAAAATCTGAATCTAAAAAAGTGTTGAATATAATATTTGACAAAAAGTGCACAAACAACAATCAATACTAAACATGGTTTTAGGAACTAATGGCATGATCCTTTTTGTAAATGTTGAAAATTGAGTTAGAAGAGGTAATCAGACCTTACTTTAGTCACAGCAGCACTGCATTATAACAGGTTTAAACTAGAAGATAAAAACCTGTGGTTGGCTGTAAAATATGCTGAAGTATCAAATTTCCCAAAGGGGAGTGTTTCTGATTCTGATTCTGAAAATGTGAATCAGAATCCAATTTATTGCCAATTAGATTTACACATACTAAGATATTTTCTTTCTGGATTAGTGCAAAAACAATGAACATAAAAGTAGAATAAAAAAGTGGAACACTTTTAAACAGCAGAACTCCTTCTGTCACTTCAATAAGATAAAATAATCAGTTAAGTTGAAAATTTAAAAACAGACAATTAGAAACAAAATATGTACAACAGGTGTAATAGAAGAGCTGTGCAGGAATGTGCAAAACACTGGATGTAGCAGGAAGAAACTGTGTGCATCATAAACAAACAATTATAAGTCCAGTGTGTGATAATGTAAATCACAAACTTGATTTCTATTTTTTTACATTACTTATATTATGTTTAGTGAAAAGTACACACTTTACTTTCCTGTGGATGAATGTCTTGACTGTATTTAAACATGTAGCTTTTTGAAGCAAACTACTTTTTATATGTAGGGTAAATCTAATTTATAGCGAGAAAACCTAGAAGTATGGGCACATGATGAAGCACAATACATGTTTAATGCATGGAATTTTATCCAGCACAAATTGAAAAGTGAGTTTCATCAACACTCATCATAAGCACCATCCTGAAAAGCGGTTTCACCCTCCTCTGCACATTCAGGTGTGCAGAGGTTTAGACATAAATCTAATTCAAAGCAGTCGGTTGTAATGTGTTGTGCATAATATATGAAAAATGAAGAAACTTGATTTTCAAAGAAACTTCAGCTTTCAGGTTTATATTTCCCTCTGAATGTAAAGTTTTATAAAATATCATAATACAGATATAGGCTACGTCAGAATTAAATGTTAACTTGTCCTTACTGGGGTTTCAGAGTGCTGTCACAGGGTTGGCTAACATCACATTTTCTGCTTGAGGGTGTGTGTGTGTGTGTGTGTGTGTGTGTGTGCGTGCGTGCGTGTGTGTGTGTGTGTGTGCGTGTGTGTGTGTGTGTGTGTATGTGTGTGTGTGACCTCAAAAGTAGTCAAACAGGTTGGACCATCCCTCATAATTCGGCTCCCAGCAGGATGTATGCCGATGGAAACTGAGTACTGAAGTTTTGTTGTGATTTCTGATCCTTACATTTTGTATTTCTTTAGTTTGATTCATTTAGTGGAACATGAGAGAGAGAGAGAGAATCAGGTATGGCTCAACATGTTGCAACATGATCTACAATGACTTCACACAGAGCGGAGAAGAGGTGTGTGTGAGAGCTGAGAGAACAAGCAGGAGACAGGGAAGTGAAGTTAAACAGGCACAGGAGACGGTAATGGAAGTGTCTTTTCTGTCTGGTGTAAAGAAAAAGTCATCTTTGGATTGTTTCTGTGTGTCTCCTGAGAGCTCGGGCCCTCGGCGTGGGGCGATGAAGGGTGGACTCTGGCCCACAGGACTGCTGCTCTGCTTCCTCGGTGTCTGTGCCTGTCTGGGTAAAGAATAATATTCAACTGCTGAGGATTGACCTTCTTTGTCACTTATTTACCTTGTTTCTCTCTTCTGTTATTATGTCCCTTTAATTCATAACAAATGTGTTACACCATGTTCTCTCCTGATTCTTATAAACCTTGTGTGACTTTACTGCCTCTCAAAACTGAAGCTTTGCACTCATTGGGGTCACGTTGTGTTTTTACCACTGAAAGCTTCTCCTGTGAGATATTTTACTAACATTGACACACATTACATTTTTTACTTACACCGTACTGTAGTTTAATATCCTCCTGAACGAGTTAGACCAGGTTTCAGCTCTTCTTAACATACAGTATAAAAGCTGTCAGTTAAACAAAAAAAATGCAGGGTGCAACCTGCTGTGGATACTGCTGGTTTGAGGGTGGGGAAGAATAAGATATTTTTGATGTTTTTATCAGAGCAAAAAATGTAAACTGTTAACTTTTGAATTCTCTGGACTTAATTTGGAGTTTGCAATTTCTGCACAGATTATCACTTTAAAAACAAAATATTTGATGCATGTTTATTTCAGTTTTTTTTTTTTTTTAATTAGTATTTACACCGTAAAAACCCTAAAGGTCAGATGCACAAATGTTTCATGATTGCAAAAACATTTCACCTGGACCCAAAAACATTTCACTCGATGCAAAATAATTAATGAAAAGCAAATATCTTTAAAAAAAACAACAAAAAAACAACAATTTAAAACAAGACAAAAACAGACTTTAGCTTCGGCATCTGCTGAAATGTTTTTTGCAGTCATGAAATATTTGTGCAGTTGACCTTTAGGGCCACCATAACTATTTTTCATTTATATAAAATTCTTCCAACCTCCATGATTATTTTATGTTTATGACATGAACCATTAAACCACCGTAGATTCCTTGGAAGGAAAACATTACATGACACTCCCTTGTTTTCTGTATTTCCACAGTTTAAACTAAACACAGATTAGAGGACATATCTTACCGGTAGAGCCTGCTCCTTCCCTTCACATAATATATGAGATGTGCATAGTGTGCTACTGACCGACACCACGTAGTACTAATAGTATTATTTTTACCCTATTTATTTTTTTATTTCCCATATGCTGCCCTCTCCCTTTAGAGTTTAAAAGCACTTATAATCATTATTTTTAGAGATGGGACCGATCCGATCTTAAAACAGGAATCGGTATTGATATTAATCGATATTGAAGTAATTTAAGTATCGGATATCAGACTGATGGCGGCGATCCACGGCCGATCAAGAAACATGGTTGGGAGCTTAAAACATTCTCAGCTCACACAGTCTGGCTTTGAGGACGTTCAGACTGAACTGTAAGAAGTGCCCATCAATCGTCTCCGTGACGACGTTGAGACGAGATGGAACAGCTCTTTCTTTATTATCAAAAGTACAATTCTTACACTTCAGTCTGAAAGATTTACATCGAAAACCCTGACAGCTGTTGCTGCTTCCTGTTTGCATGTGAAGCCAGCACAATGTAACGCTGGGTTTACTACAGCTTTGAGTAGCCTTACACATACTACCAACAGCAACAATACCATTATTAGTTATGATGTAAAAATATCACATTCAGTATCAGTATCGGTACATATGTATCAGAAACGAATCCAAACTGAAAAAAAGTGGATCGGTGCATCTCTGATTATTTTCAGTGTGGTATTGCAGGCATCATTACTTTACTGACTGATTTATGAAAACCTTTCTGATGCTGTTAATGATCTGTTTAAGACTGAGTAGATTCAAAGTGTGAGGAGAAGGACACTGATTCTTTTTCTCTTCTTTCTCTGCAGAAGAAGACTGCGTCCTCGGTATAGTCGGCCGGCCGGTCTTGCTGCCCTGTTTTTACTCTCAGTTGACCTTTGTGAACGTTTCCATCGAGTGGAGGCGGGATGATCAGGTGGTGCTCAGAGCCATGTGGAGGGATGACGGAGATGTGGAGGAGTGGAGCATTAACAGAGCCAGCGTCTCAGCTGAAGCTTTACTGACCGGAAACATCTCTATGGAGCTGCCCTCAGTGGATCCTGAAGACAACAAAACAAACTACAGTGTGTTCATCATTTCAGGGGACAATCGGAGTGCTGCTCTGTGCAGTGTGTGTCTCAGGATAGCAGGTCAGTATCTAACACACACACACACACACACACACACACACACACACACACACACACACACACACACACACATGCACACACACACACACACACACACACACACACACACACACACATGCACACACACACACACACACAGAAATGAGAAGGATAAGTAGGATGTCAAACACCAAGATAAACTGTGTTTCTATTAAAAGTACCAGGAACTTTTAGTCCTATGTTAGTTTTCAAGAATAAAAGGTTCTTCTAACTCAGGGGTTCCAAAACTTTTCAGCCCACGAACCCACAAAATATAACAGTGGTAGCAACAAGGGACCCCCATTGTCCCTGGAGGTGGTTAAAACATATAATGTTGCTCACAGCTGGGCACACTCCAAATTGTGGCATTAGAACAGCACAAAAGAACACTACTAATCTCACGACCCCCCAGGGAGTCCCGACCTCCACTTTGGGAACCACTGCTCTAACCCATGATTGTCTTGAGGTGTTTTCGGACCAAACAGTTGTGGGGAGGAACTATCCACCAGGAAGTTCCCTGAGAAATACACTTGATGAGAGAAAACCTATTCTGAAGCAAGAGCCAAAAAGGTTCCTCTAAACGATCTAGGAACTCTAGGAAATAGTTCATAGTTCCTGTGGTGTGAAATCAATAATAAAGGTGAAGGGTTCCAACAGTTCCTAGAACTATGAAAAATGTCCTGTGCTCCTAAAACCCCTTTAGTTTCATCTACAGTCTGATCTGAGAGAACATTTGGCAAACTAGTGTACCGACATGTTAAACAGTCACTCCAGCTTTTCACAGGTCACAACCATAACTTTTCCTTATCAATAAAAAAATATCAGAGCTGCACAATTATTTCATTTAATTTTGTCCTTTCTTTTGTTCTGCTAATTGCAATACTTGTTCTATACTGTTTTCAAACACACACAAAACTCCTGAGAATTTCCTGAGATTTTCTGTATAAACTGCATTTTTTTCACCCCAACTTAACCTGGACCTTTTTCCTGTCTGCTGTCTGAATGTTTTATTGTCACTTTTTCATCTATACTATGCATATGTCCATTTACACTTACACTCCACCCGCCTCCTTATCTTTTAACCTGTTAACATTAAAACCCCAGCACTTTTTTTTACGTCTTGCCTTGCCTCCTGCGAACCCGAAAACATCAGGCTGTGATGGACAAGTATGACTTAAAACTTTGGAAATGTAAAGGGGCCGGCTATCCTGACATCCTCTAGAAATTTTCCTGGTGTGCATTTGCAAAAACAGTTCTAAGAACCAACCCCAAAGTCCCTGTACTTTTGGAAAATACTAAACCTCAAATCAGGGGCTAAAATAAGGTAAATAGCACTTTATTTAGACCCTGACCTCCTTTGTGGAGTTCCCACAGAAATCTATAGTTCAGCCATCAGTCATCATAATTGATAATAAAAATAATCTTTATTTATTGAGCATGTTTCAAAACACGTGTTACAAAGTGCTTTACAAGAATAAAACTAAGCACATAAAGCAAGGTAAGCCCAGAAAAGAAAGAAAATAAATAAATAAATAAATAAAACCTGTAAAATCACGGTCACCTGCAGGTCTGCAGTTGTTCCAGAGCTTTGAGGCTTCAACAGAGAACACTCTGTCCTCCTGAGGATTCAGCCGTTCCTCAGGCTCATATGTGACCAAGAGGTCAGATATGTATCATGGAGAGAAGCCATGGACGGCCTCAGAGGTCAGCAGTATACTTAGATCTCAAAACTGATTCTTAATTATCCAGGGGGCCAGTGCAGAGATGCTAAAACAGCATCAGGGTGGTCACTTTTCTTGGTTCTGGTTAAAAGTCTGGCAGCTAAGTTCTGTAAAATCTGGAGCAGATTCATAGATTTTTGGGTGAAAAGGTGTTACAACAATCACTAGTCATCAATCAATCTTTATATGTATAGCGCCAAATCACAACAAATGCTATTGAAAGACACTTTACAAAAAGTGCAGGTCTAGACTATACATATAAGAAAAAACTTCCTTTAAGAGGCAGAAACCTCGAGCAGAACCAAACTCAGCCATCTGCCAAAACTGTGTTGGGCTTGAGATGGGCTAGAGATGCATAAGGTTTGTCAAAATAATAAAAAGAACGCTCTTCTCTGTTGTCTGTTGGCAGCCAGTTTCAGCTTCCCTCTCCTGCAGAGGGGGGAGGCAGCGCATGGGAACGAGACCAGCTTCCTCTGTCAATCTAGAGGTGGATTTCCTGAACCTGCAGTTCACTGGCTAATAGACAACACCGCAGAGCCCCCTAAAGGCTCAGTGAAGACCCTCATTACATCACTCCCAGACTCCAAACTATTTAACATTACAAGCCACCTGACGGTCAACATTTCCAAAGACTCCAGCGTGTCGTGCGCCATAGAGAACCCAGGCATGAACGAAACTCTGACATCAACAATCTGTAAGTAATCATTAGATCAGCGATAGAGCCTCAAACGCATCACTCTGTAAACTATCTCTGAGAGAGCCTCAAACGCATCACTCTGTAAACTATCTCTATTTGTGGTGGGTGTTCAGATGGAGCAGGTGGCAGCCCGGTGGTGAGCAGAGCATCAGAGGCCATGTGGATCTTCAGCACGGTCCTCTCTGTGGTGGTTGGGGTCATGGTGATAGTCGGAGTCTGGTACCAGATTCACCTGGACAGGATAAGTAAGAGGAAGGGGAAGGAATTCCAATACCAACAAACACACGGCAACAGAGGTAGGTACCTGCTGGTTACATGTCATCGCTACTGGCACGGCCTTGAAATGTTATGCAAGACACAGTTAGGTTGTCCCTGAAGTTTCAAACACAAAGAAAAGCTCTGTAGGTTGATGTCATCAATCAAAAGAAAAGCTCTCTCTTTTCAATAATCAAAATGCCTTTTACTGTCATGGAGGGGATTAAAAGACCTTAAAACGATCCCCTCTGTGTTGCAGCTCTTTACAGTCTTATTTCAGGGGCGCTGTTAGCCTAGTGGTTAGTGTGTCACTGCACCGTACCGGGTGGGCGGCCCAGGCTTGAATCCCACCTTCCTGTATGCCATTCCCCACTCTCACCCATCTTTGACTCCATCTACTGTCCTGTCTCTAAAAAAAGGCATTAAAAGTAAAAAAAACAAAAAACCTTAAAAAGGTATTTTTACAACAGGAAGTGTTTTGTACTTGGAGATGATCGTGTGATGTTGAGAGGGTGTCACAGTTGCTTGATTCAGTTAAACAATTCTAGTGGAAAATCTCGCTCTTCTGGTTTTAACTTGAAAAAAAAAAAAAAAATGTCTGAAAGTTTGTCCCATGTCTTAAAAATGAATCCTTTTGGTTTGACATGACACTCAACCTTAAAGGCTTTATATGTGATTTTTTGATCCAGCAGATGTCGCCCTTGAGCACCAGCATGAAGCCAAAACAACTTGCGCTGCATTGTTGTGTTAGCATGCTAATGCTAGCGATCTTTATTATGCTCGTATCTTCACACTGCATGTAAATTTACCTGAAATGAGCGTGATCTAGAAACACAGTTAAGCAGTGAGTACAGTATGTTATTCTTCTTTTCTCTAGTCCCTCAATTAAATAACTTTTATACTCGAGGGGAGGAGTCAGCCGGCCGTCCTGGCGATGTAAACAAAGTGAAGATAGGACTCTGAAAACATCAGACAGTGGGACTCGGGTGTTACACCCATTGTAGATAGTTGTGACTCACAGAGGATACACTTGATTTCTATTATATTTAAGTGTGAAAAATCACGTAGAAAGCCTTTCATTCTTTGTGTCCATTTTATTTATTCATCTTTCATTGAAACCATCAGACTTCAGTTTGCAGCATATTGGTGACGAAAATGTCAAAGTGCTTTCACATGTACAAACACTCCTGAAAACGTTCCTAAAGTTTTGGGTTGAGCTTCCTGTATGAAAAACACAAACTGCTGAACTTTTCACCGCACTGTACTCGAAAGATTTCCTGCCAGCCCTCTAGTTAAATGTCCATGTGAAGTCAGGGTGAACACAGCAGGAAATGTTCAGGAAAATTCACATTGATCAAGCTGGCGAGGGTGATGACGTTTATAACCTGTAACCAGCGCATGATCGGTGTAATCTCTGCACAAGTAATGGAACTGTTTCATTATGTTTTCTGTTCACCAGTACGTTCTTCTCTGCTCTTTTGTTGGTAACGTGATATGTAATAAAGAGGCAGAATGGGTCTTCACAGCGTCGTACTCATTTGCTTCATCTTCTGTGAGGTGCACGTGTGAAATAGTAATTCAGGAAGATTCCAGTAGTCTGCCTTCATGTTCTGAGGAAGTTGGGAAGTGAACACATTTTGCGTTTTCTTAAAATGATTGTTTTCTGTCGTCAGGATACAAAAGGAGAAGTCCGAACAAGGAGGAGACGGAGGCGATGAAACCGGAAAAAAAGGAGACGGATGTGTGAAAATCTGAGTCCAAAAAAAGCCTCAACAGCTGAGGCAACAGAGCACTGAACTGTAAATGTGTTTGGGTACCTCTGCACTAATCGATACAAGTGATGGGTTTCTGACACAGACAATGTAAATATAAAAACAGGTACCATCCCTTCACTTGATGAAACTTTCTCTTTTGTTTACTGAACTCTTCATGTTTTTTCAAGCTTGAATAAAAAAATGCTCAAAATGTCATATTGCATATGGAGCTGTTTTATTCAACTTAACAGATCTGTTCAGAATTATTTTTATCTTTACAGAAAATATAACAATAAAATATGAAGTCTCTGGTGCCACACAAGGAAACCTGCTAAAAGACAAGCTTCACTTCTGCTCATATGAAACTGAGAAGAAAAGGATGCAATTGATCACATGACAGAAGTCGAGCCGGAAAATGTTTATTTTCACTCATTTGATGCTAACGATTCATTTCTTACCAAAACTGTTTCATAATTTCAATCAAGTAGTTATTTCAGCACCAGACATTTTACAAAACAAATCACCATCGATAAGAATCGAGCAGCGCTGAGGTGTTTGTGTGATCATCCAAACTGCATCTCCTGTTTCCACGATTAAGACGTATCAGCCTCGAGCTTCACAGGGAGAGGAAGACGCAGAGATCAGCTGCGTTCTTTATGTGCGTCACACTTTATCTCGAGGTTTGAGCATTCAGCTCGATCCTTCCTGCGTAGACGTCACCGTGTAGATGTCGTCTCGACGCTGAGCCGTGACCGGGATCTGTTGCCGGATGTCGGCCAAATACTGCAGATCTGAGAACCAACAGGAACAGACACGGTGATGAAAAGGATGAACTGAAACAACAACAACAACAACAACACCTGTACAATGTTATGGAAACTTTAGGATCTAAACTAACCGATGTCAGCATAAATGACAGCCTCCTCTGCTCCTGCCTTTGAGATAACTTCCCCCCTGAAAACAGAAACGACATCAATCACAAATAATAATTTACATTTATAAAAACAAACAGACAAAAACTCAAGTTTTGATCACAAAACAAAGCTGATTGAAAAATCACAGATAAGATTTAAAATGATAAAACTTACTCATAAAGCACATTTCTGAACAAAACTACAAAGTGCTTCACAGAGAGTTAAACAATATAAAAAGAACTTTCCTGGTCATCCAGTTCATTCACTGAATGTCTGAGGTTCTTGTAATAAATAAATAAATGTATTAAAATAATTCACAGAACTGCTGATTACTGGAAGATTTAAAAAAAACAACATGTGGTCGTTGATCACACATGATGCATTATTTAAACACGCAACAGTAACACATGTAATATAACTTGTTTTAACTTCTACAAGCCTACAGTAAAGGTAAAATATGTATTACAGAGGATCAAATCTTTAAAGCTCATTATCCTTAATAACATTAACAATTCAAAATAAAACTTATAAAAAACCCTCACACACACTCACAGGAGTAATTTTTCAGCATTATGAACACTAGTCCTTCGGTCATTTTGTTACACATTGATGCAGGACTTTACTGGAAATAGCGTTTTGTATTTTCTTCCTACCACGGATTTACGACAGTACTGTGACCCCAGGCCACATAAGAAGCACTTTCATCTCTGGCGGGGGACGCTGTGGCGACGTACACCTGATTATCAAGAGCTCTGCAGAGGAGACAAAACATTAGTGAAGTGTAGCATGCTGTCTGTTGAGAGCAGCTTTATCTTTACATGCTGTGGTGTGTTGTAGTGGCTAACAAGCTACATACTTGGCCTTTTATAAAAACACATTCAATTGTTTTATTTTATTTAGAGATGTCCGATTTTTGTGATAAAACTCTTTTTTCTGGCTATTTTCTTTTGATTTCTCCTCTTATTTCCTGTTATGTTACTCTGCTTACATTAAAATATAACATATTACAAAAATTCAACGACTAATCAAACTTTAAAAAACTAAATAGGTTTTGCACAGAGATGTGAGTCTGACCTTCCTCTCTGCAGCAGCTCCCAGTGAGCCGGACCAGTGGTCATGTTGAAGGCTCCGGGGTAAACCAGCAGCTGACAGCCTGAGGATGGACAAACACAACCTGATCAACAGTCCTGTCGTATGAGGCAGAGTAAAGCGTCTAATGAGCCGCTCACCTTTCCTGCCGTAGAGCTGTGCGAGCTCTGCAAACCTCATGTCGTAACAAATCCCCACGCCTACCTTACAGAACGCTGCAGGAGGAGAGACAGAGGAGGCAGGTTAAAAAAAAAGAGCTTTTTATAATTCTGCTTGTTTGTTTATATTCATGCTAACAATGTGCAGAGCATTATTAATCAAATGTATTGTTATTATTATTATTATTAGGGATGTAACCGTTTACCCAACCCACATTATGATTCTTATTAAAATACTGGGTTCATGACAGTGTTTTATCAGGATTTTTTACAATTTTCTAACTTTATAAAGAATTGAGACTGAAGTCATTTTATCAAAAAAATATTGTATTTCAACTAACTTTTAACATTTTTAAATATCCCTTTTTTATTTAATAAATATAAGTTTTATAGTTGTTGTAATTCTTTGTTTGTGGGTTTGGACCAGTCAGCCATTCAATATCTGCAGCTGGTCCAAAATGCTTCAGCTGGCCTCCTGACAGGTAAGAGACGAACCACATCCCCTCTGTGCTGCTTTCTATCCACTGGCTTCCTGTCTGCTACAGGATCTACTTCAATGTTTTGGCATCACCTTTCTTAAGTAAACTGCTCCATGGTTTTGTGTTATATATACATATAAAGTCCTGCTGCAATGAAAAGAAGAAGAGTCAGGAGATATCACTTACGAGTTTCGAACATTGACAAACTGCTGCCTGGACTCAGCGTCTCAGACTCCTGGAAGCGAATTTTCCCAGGAACATCGATGTCAAAGAGATGAATCTTGAAGAAGAAAACATTGAAGAATGAAGAGAAACTACAACACTTAGGTCATTTAAACACAGTTACATTTTGATGTTGCTGTACAGTTACCTTCCTGTGTTTAAGAATCATCTCTCCATCAGGACCAAACACTGTACAGCTGTTATACAACTTCCCTCCCTCCTCTTCAGGGATGGATCCTGTTAAACACAAATCACAGGGTCTCATACTCCACTGAAGAAAAATTACTATATCTTTTTCTTAAACGACTTTCATCATAAACCTCCCTACCTCCCACCAGGTACACCTTGTTCTCCCTGGCTGTCTCTGACAGCACCTGTGTGGACTCTCCTGGGATCCTCTCAGCATAAGAAGAGAAGAAGCTCGTTCCATACGGAGAGTTGAAGCATTCCTGTTTTAAAGCACACAGTGAGATCAACTGCAGTGAAAACTTAAAGGCACAGACGACTAATATTTCTCAAGTTGTGCCCCTAATATGTACAGAGTCCTTGATGTTTTCTATTTTGAATATCTGTTTTATACATTTCATGTGCGTCTTTATTAAACATGCATCTGAAAATGAGGCACTTGTATTCCGCGCATGCGTTTTAGTAACTTGCACAAGTTTCTTTATTTAAAGAAGTTAAACTTATTTTCATTTCTTGACTATAGAAATATATTACTAACATAGCTATTTCATGAGTTATGTGAATTATCATACAATTAGACAAATATTTTATAACGCTACACCAAGGTCACAACTACAAAAAAATACTTTATTTAATAAAAGGAACTTTTTGGAAAGAACACTGTTTGATACCATGGCAATCAAAACATATAACATGTGCCAAAATTGTGAACTTTCTTGGTTTTATTGTCATTCTAACACAAGGCATAATAAGGAGGATGTTTTAGCTTTTCTTTTACCTGAATTTAAGCAGTTTACAGGTTTCTCAGATTTTCTATTTAGCTCAGAATGTCTTTCTGCTATGTTTTAATGAATGAATGTCAAAAATAAAACGTAATGCATTTGATAGTGACAGCATACTGCAGCACTTTCTGCACAGCTGCAGCAGCAGGGTGAAAATCAGCCCCCAGCCTCACCACCTCAGACCCCAGCCTCACTACCTCAGACCCCTCCTCACCACCTCAGACCCCAGCCTCACCACCTCAGACCCCTCCTCACCACCTCAGACCCCAGCCTCACCACCTCAGACCCCTCCTCACCACCTCAGACCCCAGCCTCACCACCTCAGACCCTCCTCACCACCTCAGACCCCAGCCTCACCACCTCAGACCCCTCCTCACCACCTCAGACCCCAGCCTCACCACCTCAGACCCCTCCTCACCACCTCAGACCCCAGCCTCACCACCTCAGACCCCTCCTCACCACCTCAGACCCCTCCTCACCACCTCAGACCCCAGCCTCACCACCTCAGACCCCTCCTCACCACCTCAGACCCCAGCCTCACCACCTCAGACCCCTCCTCACCACCTCAGACCCCAGCCTCACCACCTCAGACCCCTCCTCACCACCTCAGACCCCAGCCTCACCACCTCAGACCCCAGCCTCACCGGCAGCAGCACCACCTTGCTGCCCTGACCCGCCGCCTCCTTCACCAGCCGACGGGCTCTGCTCAGGTTGTCCGCTTTGACACCTGTCACCTGGAGCTGGACCACCGCCAGACGGAACTCTGAGGACACAGGACAACACAGTTACTGTTTTATTTTAATCTTAGCGTCACTGCAGCCTCGAAACCTAACTAATGTCACAACAATGCATTAGTGAGTCAGCTTAAACTTAATGAAAATAAATACAGATTATATACTTACTGCTCATCGTTTTAGCTAAAGTTGACATATATGCAGAAAGCTGTTTGGTTTCACGGTCCAGAGTTGACAAAAGACCACGTGATTCAAGTTTGCGGTTTGCCCTTCAAAGTAAGAGTCTGTATTCTAATCTAGAGAATTGAAACGATTTATAAACCTCACAAAATTTATGTGAAAAAATAAAACGATTATCAACAATAACAGTCAACGTCTGTAGTTATATGTCACTTATTCCTGACCCTGACAGTCACTTTCCGTCGGATGTGTGTAAATTAAAAAAATATATTGTGAAGTTCGGAGAAGAAGTTGCGTCAGCATGGGGGGCGGGGTTTACTCCGATGGTCCTCTGACTGGTCTAACAAAACAGCAACAAACATTAACTTTAAATCAACATAAGTTCTTGACAAATATTAACCTACCTGACATGTATAAACGTTTTTTATGCTTACAGGGGTTTGTTATCATATGCATATATATATGCATTTATTTTTTATAGTGTTAATAATCACCTCTTAATCAATATTTTGAATTCGACAGCAGTTCTAAAAAGGGCAGCCAGCACATGTACTGTTTAAGAGATGGCTGTCGTTAAGAAATAAAATATATTTTGTAGTTGTGACCTTTGTGTGGCGGTATAAAATATTCTCATTGTATGATAATTATTTATAATAAACTGTTACCAACCTCTTTGCATTAAACTTTACTTAATCAGTTCATTTTGTAAAATAAACAATAAAGTAGTTTTTAATGGGATTAAATTCTGAGATGGAGAAGGTGGGATGGGACAATGGTTTATTTATTTATATATTTCTTAATGTGCTGAGAAGACAAAATAAAACGTTCCTTTTTTCCAAAATAATTAACAGCAAACATTTAGAGCAGCATGTCACAATGACTTTATTAAAACTGTAATGTAGTCTGTGGTGAAGGCAGAGGGTTGAAAACCAGACTCTTCATAGCTGTTGGCTTTTCTGCTTCTTGAAGAGTTATTTGTTTTTGACTCTGCTGTTCAACATTTTGAAAAAGGTCATTATCTTGTGGTGCAGCAGGTAAACACGGAAAGCGTGATATTCCTGTTCCAGAGACAACACATTGAGTCAAAATGTTTTTTGACATGCTTATTGGTGTGTGTGTGTGTGTGTGTGTGTGTGTATTCTTATTCTGTGATTAAGGTCAGCTTAGTTTTTATGTTGCTCTTTAAGGTAATGTTTTTTGTATCAACCTTCAGCATCTGTAGCTCTTCTGACACATCCACTTTTTATTTACTGAATTTCATCTACTTCTAAGTGATATAAATGTATATAAAATATCAACTACAATTAATTATGACGGCTATCAATTTCAAAACAGTACATGTAAAAGAGTGCATGAATGACTTCGCCACCACAGGTACAGTCAAATAATCTCCATTTATTATAAACAGAAACGTTTAGAAAATAATAGCAGAACAGTAAGGTGCAAAGACATGTTGCATTTGGACAAGTGGTGACATCCTGCGATGTTACAGAGCAAAAACTCCTGATTCCAGTCAACACTGATAAATATTACAAAGTTACAACACAATGCATGAGTTACACAGGAATGCTATGTACGACTGGAGTGAAGGAAGACCAGATTTATGACCTTCAAGTTTTGGTTTTCTCCATATTTATAATGTTTTTCCGTCTGTTAATTTAAAGAGACAAAGCCTCTCTGCATCATTTTAAACCAAGGCTGGCTTCACAACTAGACTTCAACACAAATGAGTACATTAGCAAAGAAAAAAAGCAAGGAGAGCAAGAAAGAGCTGAAAATCAAAGGACAAGCAGCAAATGAGTGTGATGTGTTGCCACAGCTGGTGCCAGAAATCACATCACAGGCATGAGGCCATGAAGGCAACAAAGGCAAGCTGCTTATTGTAGACGAATAACAATGGATAAGAATGATTTGAAAACATAGATATATAATGACTTTTCTTTTTACAATCGTTCATTCAGTTCAAAGCTTAGATACTATCTTTTCATCCTAAATATTTAGAAGCATGTACAGTAATCACCTCCAGGTGAGAGTATAATCAAACATTTCACCAGGACCTGCTCGATCTGAAGCTTTCATCTGGACCATAATGACCTAGATTTTGGGGTTGCACTTTTTTTTCACTATCAAGATTAAGATCATCTGTTTTACTCAAGTCCAGATTCTTGGCAGAAAACTGAAAAGGGTCCAGGTTTTTTCAGATGCAACTTTTTGAGCCGGATGTTGAAATGGATCAAACAGGATTTAAGAGAGAGATGCTAGCATGATGTAAAAACTGCATTTCAACCAACATTTAATCAGAACACAATGTGAGCCAGACTTCCTAAAGATGTTTCAAGTCTGTTCTGACCCTCGTGTTTCTATGCCGACACATTTACACCGTTATTTACATGCGCTTATCTTCACCCAGATAACAAGTCCAGATGCAGCTCAAAACATAATTGAAGGCATAAATGGGATGTAAGTCATGGCCAATTTTAGCAGTTTGACTGTGAAAAATTATCCACATACTGAATCTGAAAAGATGGAAAAATACTGAGGCGCTCAGGCTCTTAAAAACTGCAATCACTGACGCTCCTGTTTGTAATACTGATGTAGTCCAGAAAGGGGGGCGGGGGCTGTGAACAATGCTTTCTAACAGCTACATCCCACTGCTGTAAGACAACGTTAAATCAATATTTTCTGTAAAGGCTGAGAATAAATAATCTCCCAGAAACCGTTCAAAGGGGAGCTTCACAGCATAGTCTAACTATCAGGATATGCTTTCAAAAAATGACTTTGCAAAGGTCTGTGCTGATATAGAGCACTTTTCAACAATATATACACATATCGATATTTATAAACACCCCCAAATTTAACCCTCTATTTAAGGCTGCCTGCTGGGACATAAATGTGATCAAAAAACAGTTGTTGTGGTTGAAACCTCCCTTCTAGTGTGCGTCTTTATCTTTGAGTCTGCTGCCTCACACTCGCTGTCAATAAATCAGAAAAGTAAATAAAAAGACAAATTAAGACTGCTCGCTGCATAACGTTCGGGTTAGAATTGAGATGCTGAAAAGGAAAGGGACAGTCGTGTCAACAGGTCGATCAGTACGCTACGTTAAGGCCAGAGGAAAGTCGCCGAAGAGAAATTGCACTGTGATTAGATTTTAGTCAGTAATAAAGAAAAAAATACAGCACAACCGAGATTAATTAACTTAAGAGTAAGAGAACAGTTTGATGATGGCGGAGCACCAAAGTATTTCGTCACACAGCTCATCCCTCAGGCCTGCAGCAGTCAGTAGTGTGCCCACATGTCCCAAACACAGACACACAGGGATCCACAGTCATCGCTGCTCGGGATACTGGATCTGTCCGGGAGGGAGAGCGGGAGAAGTTTCACTCCTGACAGACAGAGACTCTTCCTCTCACAGTTTTATTACGGCAGGCCGTCTCGACCCCCATCACCTCTCTTTACGAGCTCTCCAGAGCGTCAAGGACTTTCATGATCTGCTGCTTGATGACCTTAGTGGCGTCTCCTGCGTTTGGTATCAGATATCTGAAGAGAGGAAAAGAAACAGGTAAACAAGACTGAAATTATTAAAAAGAAAACATCAACTAACAGAAAATAATACTTTTAGAAATATGCATTTTAATTCAAATACTAAACAAACTAGAGCTACTATGAGGGGGTTTTATTAGTTCCATGCTGATGAGTATCAGCGAGAACATTCATTATTTCTATTTAGGTTGTTTTTACTGTAAAGCTACCACTGGTTCAGTGTCAGACCAGCAGAGTTAGAGCACGCTGCAGAAACAGCCTTTGTTTAAGTTTCTACACCTTAGATTCATGCTGACATGTTGGACTGTAAAAAAAAAAAAACAGGATGAGATTTTGGTCAGAAAGCTATGGAGCCCCTGAGGGGACGTGAAAAAGTTTCCCAGTGCTCATGAGAAAATATTGAGTGCAAATAAGAAAGAAAAATAATTCATAAGTTTGAGTTTAAATGACAATATAGTAGAAAAAAATCAGATCTCAAGAAATAGCCCTAGTGCCCTGTAAAACTCAGGTAATAGATCTGAGAAGCCAAAGGGAAAAATAAATAAATAAATATATATATATATATATATATATATATATATATACAGTACACATATCACTGCCATCACGAGTTATTTTCTTTTTAATCTGAAATCTGCTCCTGTAGACAAGCACCTTTCAACAGCTGATATCTCGACTCCAGCCGAGTTGTTGCTTCCAAACTTGAACGTGATGAGTTCTGGATGTTTCTTTTTGGACGTGATCTTCACCACAGAGTTCAATGCTTGTCTCGACTGGATGTAAGCGAAGCCTTTCCTGGAGGCGATCTCCCTCAGGCAGTACATGTGAGTCGCTGTGATCAACAAGTGGCTGCAGACGAGAAACAGAGTCATTGTTAGATTTGATAGATTCCTGAAGGAAGCAATATATCATGTTCATTCACGCTTGAGGTAGTGGAGATGAGTCAACCCCCCCCCCCTTATTATTGGCCAATCATGATCAGAGTATTACTAAGGTTCAATTGAGGAAGTGACTCACCTGGGGAACATGTGACCGGTTTCTTTCACCTCATTACATGGAATGTGATGTTTAACGTCTGGTTTATTTATCCAGGTCTGAATGTTGACGATCTCTTTCCTGTCATCATCTGACATGGACGAGCTGTCGATCTCATCTGAGAGGGAGGGAAGAAAGACATCAGTTATAATTTTGCTTTTCTACAGAATACAATGTATCACATGATTTATAGCAACATTATGCAAGATTTGAATTTCTTTTGGGGTTCCCCCCGACAGTTTCTGAGTGGAAGCGATTTCTTCACCAACAACTTCCAAATGAGATTTACTCTCTTAGTCACTCTCACTTCTTCTCTCCAAACAGACAACCATATGGCAATCTTTTTCCTCGATAGGTTTTATACAAATCTCTGAACCCACCGACTATTGTCTGACAACCACAGTCTCTGGGAACGTTGGCCAACTTGTCCAGGATTCAAATGTAGTCATTGGTTAGATATTAATGTCTTCCTTGTCTGTGTGCTGCACTGTTCACAGTCCAATTAGCAAATTCAGAAATGACCGAGTGTTCGGACCAGAAGTAAAGCAACATTGCCCCTCCAGATGTGTCTGCAAAATAAACGCTGTCTTTCTAGGTTCATTACATCCCTCGGTGGAGCCTGTTCATCTCAGTCTCACTTTAACAGTAAATAAGTTACACTGATCCTTCACTTTGTCTTTGTTTAGTGTCGTAAACCAGAAAAACAAAACCCCTTTTCCTGTGATTTACTTGCAGTTTAGGATCTTAAGGTTGCTGAAAATACAAAATGTCATCAAGAGGAGAAGACTTTTTTTCCTTCTGTTAATTGGAGGTTGGGTTGATAATTTCTGTTGCATTCCAGGAAGTCAGGATATCTTAAAGGTTAATGGCTTTCGCGAAAGTGCCATGGATTGTTTTCTGCACTCAAACACAAAAATCAGTGTCTAGAGACTACAAAAGTAAAATGTTTATAGCCGACTGTTTCCGGGATTGCATTTCAGTCATTGCCCACTCAAACAGAATAACTTAATAAAACTAGATCAAGACGTTTGTAGAACACCATGAGAGTCTGCCTTGTATGCAAATATATAACTGGGAGCTAAAAGTTAAAAAAACATGTCCATCTCCACTTCAAATATTTTACCTGTATCGTACTCTTCTTCATCACCGATACTGAAAACAGGCTTCACCCCCCGGTAAGGTTTACCAACACGGTCGCTGCTGCTCACATGCCTACAGATGAAGAGCAACAAGGCGACTTCAGCACTGAGTGAAGGATGTACACATATGCTAATGTCTGTTGTTAAAGGTTACACATAGAAAATGACATGAAGACCTCCAGGCTGCTGTAACAAATGTTAGCCCACTACAGTCAGGTTATGCTGTTTGACATAAAGAAAGAGGTTAAATGAGACGTTGAAACTTCAGAGGAGCTACAGATTAGTCAGTGTGTGATATTCAGGGCTATTTGCAGCAATCATGGTTTAGATTTTTTTTTTTTTCAGTTTCTGCATAGCCCTGTTTATCAACGACAAGAACAATGAAATGGAAAGACAGACTGTTAGGAGCATCTCCAAGCCAACAGCAATGAAGCCGACGTTCTCCCTAAAACACCTCCTTTACTCCTCTGATGTAACGATGACTGAATGCCTTTCTGCAGCAGCTCCAGCAGTGAGAACTAAACAGCGGTGCTCGATGTTGTTAGTGAAAGCATGAAGACAGATCCTAAACATCTCGTACACAACCTGCCCATGAGGAACGTGTGGTGTTTGTATTCTCATGAGTGAGCGGTGTGGGCAGAGATGTGAGACTAGGCATGCGTTAATGTGACACAGGTTATCTCTTAAAAAGCCCCACAGACTGTTGGTGCGGGTCTACAGCCAGTGGGCATGCTGGTGACAGACAGCTTTTGATGTCAGGGAGCTCTTACCGATCAGGGACCACCTTCTCAGGCCAGGGCAGATTGAAAGACATTCTAGCATGAAATAAGGCACAAGGTTTGTACAAAATATGACAAAACTAAAGGTCATTTACAGTCATCTTTCCCTGATGTAATAGACTGTTTTAGGGTATCAGAGGTAAAGGCTTCTTAGGCCATGCATACACAAGAACGATCTTCTGAAAACTGAGATGTTTTTTTGTTCTTGTTTTCCTTGTTGGGAAGACAAAAGATGGTGCTGTTTCCAAAAGTTTGCACTCTGGAAAACCTTCTGTTTCCAAGCACCCAAAACGCTGCCGTTGTGTAAATGAAAAGCAAAAAGGCAACAAAAGGTTGCCGTTTTTTGGATGAAATCATTGTCGCGTAAACATGGCCTTAGAGAAGGGTTTAGATATGATCTTAGACCTCACCTTTCTACAGGGGTGGAGGTATTCTCGATGAAGCTGATCATCTTCTCTTTCACGTTGACTGACTTTGATTTAAGTGCAAATGTCATTTTGTTGACCAGAGACTTGACTCCTTTGCTGTCTCCAGGGCTGCTTAGTAAGTCTCCCTGTATCAGAAGAGAAAGAAGGGTTCAAGAACTTAATGTTGAGAAAAGTAAAGATAAACTGTGTCTCCATACACGTTTCCTTTATCAACCTACATCAGCAGAGCTGAGGCTGCTGTGAGATCCTGATGTGCTGACGATCCAGTGGAGGTATGAAGAGTCCAGACCTTCAATGTTCATGTCCACAAGATGCTTCTGGAGCGCTGGAATCAAACAAATAAATCATGACTTTAAAGATGTCACAAATGTCTAAACTGCATATGTGACCAGGGGTAAATTGATAAACACCATGACTAATGTGTAAAATGAGTTCAGTGATTAAAGAATGCTCTCTTTTTTATATGAAGACTTTAAGTTGTATGCTTCGGTGTGCCTCAGAATTCTCATATTCATTTACCCGACTTACCCATGAAGCCTCCTTTAGCGATGCTGACGTACTCTTTGTTTTTCTGTAACACAAAACCTTCAATTAGCAAAAATATTAGTGAAAAACACAAACAAATGATGCAGTAACTTGTTAACCTTTTAAAGAATCTGTACTTGTTTTCCTTACAGCTACCTTCTCCTCTCTTTCATGTCCCTCACCTGCAGAAAATGTGCCAACACCATGTTCATGTACATGTCCTCCTCCTCCCTCCCACTGCCCATGAAACACAGGTGCTCCCCGCTGGCGATGGAGCCGGACTCCAGGGACTGTTTCTGAGCTTCCAGGAGGGACTTCACTGAGAGAGCGAACTCTGAGGGGTTCTGCAGCATCTGTTACAAGAAACAAAAACACATTGCTACAATGCTTTCATATACGCCATCAAATTTAGCAGAGAATCGTTATTATTTGTTCTCACCAGGTCCGAGTCGAGGTGGAAGGCAGTGGAGAGGTGTCCAGTGTTGTACTGCTCTGCAGGCCGACAGTCCACCACAAAGAAACGCACGCCATCCTAAAGGAACATTTCATTATCAGAGGACATCTTCATGTCTTTCTGACACGGCTCACTTACAAAAGGTGAATCATCTATTTCTTAGTTTCAATCAGCCAACAATAACCTGAATGTTACACACCTGCTGCAGCTGGTTGGCCTGCAGGATTTCAGGCACAGACACGGGGAGACACAGAGCTTGACTCAGGTCAGTGTCTTCTTCTTTCAGAGCCACCAGGCTGCTACCAAACAGATTCTGGTTCATCTACAGGGGCGGCAAAATGCACACACATAAATAAGGTCTTATAAACAAAAGTTTGTTGTTGCAACTGCCTTCATCTCAGCCATCACATCACACTTCTGACTCTGCGCAAATCAGGTTTGTTTTGTTTACAAATGCTGTGAACATGGTAGTATACGGGGGCACTGGTGGCGCAGTGCGAGATCCTTTCCCGCATGTCATTCCCTACTCGCTCTCCCTGATTTCCAACTCTATCCACTGTCCTAGCTGTCAATTAAAGAAACAAAAAGCCCAAAAATAAATCTTAAAAAAAACAAAAAAAAAACATAGTAGTTTACCTTTCGGAGGGACAAAGGGGTCTTGCTCTGGTAGTACTGAGCCAAAGAGAACAAATCTTCAATATCCTCGGACTCCAGAAGAGAAGGAGACGCTTCAAGATTTTCTGTGACAAAGAAGGAGATGTTTTAAGATCCAGTGTTTATCATGAACCAGTACACATAAACAAAATATCAGAACAGTAAGTCAAACTTACTGATGATGTCTTCTTTGCTGGCTCCTTCTTGTGAAAGGATGGTCTCTCTGAGGGAAAATCATTCAAAGACAAATCAAATTGACATTAAAGGTACTCCGTGTAGACCATGTCAGCACTACTACTTTTAAAATCTCAGTAGAGTTGAGTATTTGAAACTATTGCATGGTTCATCTCGGTCATCAAAAACACACAGTGTACACACACGACCGTTCACATACAATAGGCTTGTGCTAGTGTCAACAAAATTGTGTTCTTCCTTCCAAAACAACAGAGTTGGCAATGTAAGGCAGATAACGACGTGAAACACACTAATGACTTTAAAAGATTTTTTCCAGCACATATTTACAGCAGTAGCGTTTAAAAATATATAATTCAATTGTACTACAGGAGCTAGCAGAAACAGCAAGATCAGCAGTGCCTTATTCATGTTTTTTAACCACTGCAAGTCAAACATTATGTTTTTTGTTAACTTTTGGTAAAGGGTCATAAGGAAGTTGCGCGGCAAAGCAGAGAAGGACTTGTCATTACTAACTAGACCCAATCAGCAAGTGAATGAAGGTGTATACATCATTGTTGATCTTATTCACTGAAAAAAAACCTCGGACGCTGGGCACAAACATAGCAAAAGTTCAGCCTTTTTTTTTTAAGCCCAAATGACTGATATACAGGTAGCCTGTGTATTATGATGTTTCTGTAAAGCTTTCCTTTTCAGTCACTTACTTGGCATTTACGAGGATAATGAGCATGAGAAAGAAGATGAGGAAGGGGTCCGCCTGCTGAAGGTAGAAGTCCCACAAGGCCTGTGTCACATCAGGAAGGCAGTTACTGGAAAACAGACTGCCCAGCTGTGGAGGGAATATGAACACGATAACATACAGTGAGTCAAACATGGTGCTGTAAAGTATGCATTCACTTTCAAATAAATAGAGAAATGATCTAAAGCATGCTGTGAAGGGAAAAAAAGACAAGAAACAAATACCCAGTTGATGGCGTAGGAGTCAGGTGTGATCTTTTTGGTGTCCAGGAAAGAGCAGAGCTCTGGTTCATGGTACTGCAGCAGGAGTCTGTACAGGTGAAAGGGTCGGCCGTTCGGCACACAGTCCCTAAAAAGAACACAAGTGACACCTTTACAGCCTTAATCATGAGTTTCCGGTTGATTTTTTTTTTAAGTGGGTTATGATTAAAACTCCAGAGCTCACCTGGGGATGTATTTGTTCATGACAGCGTAGAAGCAGTTGTAGAGGTCGCTGCGAGGGAGCTGAAGGCTTAGCAGCGGTTTAAGGATGTGTGGCCAGCTCAGCTCAGGTGTGAACGAAATGTTTCTGGACTTACAGTAGAAAGTGATGACTGACTCGACATCAGACACCATGTCACTCCTCTCCTCCTCTGACACATCCAGCTGGTCTAAACATGGGGACCAAAGTGGGAAGTGTAAGCAGGAAAATGGACATCCATGTTTGACATTCACAAATAAGAACTTATTGTCAACTTGTCAGAAGAGCAGACTTATAAAGTATTTTGATCTACAGAAATCCTAAAGCCTCTTTAGCTACTGTGAGACTGGGATCACCTGAATCCCTCAAGCTGCCTCCAGAAGTGTGCCTATTAGTGCACGGACTCAAATGTCAACAAACTCACCAGAGGGTAAGTGTGTTGCTGTTTGTTTATGTTTCTTTCATCTTTTCTTAAGAGGACACAACAAAATCTTTGGCTGTCCGATACAAGCTTAGAATACTTATTCATTTTTTGTTAAATTCAGTGCCAGAGCAAACTCCAAAATCAGCTAACCCAAGTCTCATGTTTTACCGGTAAGACTAAAGTTAATCAGAGACTTCCAAAAGAGCATCAAAACATTTCCAACAGACTTCTTTCTTAGTCATTAAAAGTACTGCAGTAAACTAAATTAAGCAGAGTATAGAGTATCATAATAACTGAGTTACAGCACTGTAAGCTCAGCAGAAGAGTGTCAGCTTTTTTTTTTTTTTTAAGAAAGCTTTTAATGAGCTGTTCTTCTGGTTCAGTATGTTTTAAAGAGGACGAGACCTGGGAGGATAATTTGGCTCCAACTAATCCCTTTAACAAAGACCACTGAAGGAATCCTAACCTTAAACAAAACGAGCATCTATAAACAAGCTGCAGCAGCTCATTTCAAAGATCTGCTTAAAGAACAAATGCCACCAAAGAGCTTTAAAAAAACAACAACAAAGAACTGCTTCATTCAGTGTTTAATTACCGGGTCAGATTTTAACCACAGTGCCTTTTTTTTTTCATTTATTATCATTTCACAGTTTAAATGTTGTGAAGTTCCTGAAGCGACAAAAGACTTTTCACAACAACGCTTTTTATCCACATGTGCTGTCACAATATCTTCCATTACCAAAAGGCACCTCTCATTTACTCAAACACGTTGTATTATTGTTCCTATTAGCTTAGTTTGTGGAGTGGTTCAGTTATGAGCGGTTCTTTTATATGAAGGCATCTCATCCTGAATCTGCACAGCTGCTGGCTGATGTTTCTGCTCATGTTTTGGTGCTGGTTTGATACTTTTTATTGTAGTTTTATTCACACAATAGTGTGAAGGAATCTACTCACCTATCAGCTGTTGACTGCGGTTGTGAATGAGGGTCTGTTCTGGTAAATCAAGAACGCCGTCCCACGGTGACAGACTGTCTCCTTTTCCAGAGACATTTAAAGCGATCTGCACACACAACACAGAAAAACTGATAAACATGCAGCACTGAATGACAGAGAGACACATGAGGAGCACGTGACCATGTGGGACTGATCTGAAATCTGTGACTCAAATGCTGCTACACTAACAAACATATAGTCTTCAGAGAAAAAGATGTATGGCTTGATATGTTTGGCTTTTTGAGTTACATTAGGACTCTTCAACAAATGGACACAGCAATGAGTCGTTTAATACGTTTGAGTTGGTGTCTAGATCTACAGGGAAATCATCTGGATACTGTTTACTAATTGGATAGTGTTTACTTAATACCCTGCATTTTCAGTTATAACTTAAAACCAAATGATTTGTATTTCCCTTAAATATGTCCTATTGTAGCCGATAAGACTTGAATGCAGGATCATAAATGCTGTATGTGCTAAAAGGGTAGAGCAATGGTTTGAAAAAAAAAAAAAGGAAACTGAGTTTTTCATCATCCTTAGGCTGAAGTTTTTTGTAACACTGAATTAGTTTATCCGGTAGAAATGTAGGAAAATGATCTTTTTGTGCCTGCATTGTCCACATATTTCATGTTGTATGTGTGCTGAACTTATAGCTGTGGGTGTGTTAGAAAGAGGTTATAGTCTTTACATAACTCCAGCCAGAGATGCAGGTCTTTCAAGTGTGACGGTATCAGTATGACGACATTCTGTCTCACCTTTAAAGAATGTGTGCTCTATTTATAGAACAACTAATTATATAAAAACTCAATATCTTCTCATGGCTGATAGTCAACTTTTATATTATCATATTTAAATTAAACTATGGAAACAATATGAGTCAAACTCTTATATTCGACTAGGAGGTCATTTTAACCATGTGTGGACTGACTCCTGTGAGTCTCACCTTCCACATCTTGGCCCTGTGTTGGGCTGATTGCTCCTGGACCTGGATGATGCTTCTCTCCATCTCCATGTCAGAGCCGCCCGAGTCCAGAGCCTCGGCTAGATCCTGGTCCCTGTAGAACCACCGGCAGAGCACATTTTAAAAAGAAATCAACAGATCTAAGACAAATTATCATTTCTATTTTAAAGTCATCATTAGCTGTTTCCATGCATTCCACAAAGTTATTAATACATCATAGTAAGCCAGTGTACAAGTTCATTAAAGGGACTGCAATGATTTAATTTAAGTTCTCAATCGTTAAACTACAATGTCTAAAACATTTTAACTGAATATCTTTGGGCTGTGACAAAATTAAACATTCATGGACATCATGCAGAACTTTTGAAAGCACTGATGGTCATTTTCAACAGTTTCTGGCATTCAAATTGTCAAATCGACTAATACAAAACTGAGAAAATAATCTACAACTCCATCAAGGATTAAAGTGATCGGTAATTGTGTCAATTTCAATCACACCTAGCGGTTACAGTCCATTTGTGGTCAATAAAGTCTAAAGTCTAAAGTCTACACCTTTTATCATGTAATATCTATCTGTGAATGACTTGTGGCTCAAATTAAATGAATCAATAAATGTAAAAGGGATTTTTTTTAAATATCTATTTAAATGACTCTCTTTAATTCCCTTTCAAAGACTATTTTTTATCAAAATGCCTTCTTGTAATCTTTTTTTTTTCATAATGTTTTAAATATTTGTACTGTCTCCTTTAGTCAATCATTGTTTCTATTTTATTTTCTATGTCTTCTTGTTTTTTCAATCAGCATTTACATTTTTGTTTGACATTTTCAGTCTAAATGTTTATTGATGTTTGTGTAAAATAATTCATAGAAAGGCCTACATCCTATTTATACAAACTAAAAACTCAAGAAGGCTTCACAATATTATCCAGTAAAATGTTTTCAACTCTATATTTCATAACTAATAATGATCCATTAGAGATAAGTCAAGCTTTTAAAGATCAGTTAACTTCATATTCAACTCTTCAACGAGCTTTAAAACCAGTCAGAAACTTCGCCGTCCACTTCAGGACAATTTCAATAATACAACGATAGTACATTTCGGGTAAATATGACAAGAGACAGAAACTGGAGCCGTGTTTTGAAAGGGAAGCAGAACTCGACAGAACACCGGCTATCTAGCTAGTTACTGTTAGCATGCATGCTAACTAGCAGTGACTATCAACTTGTCAATGCAAGAAATAAAGTGCAGAAAATATAAATACTTAAACACTTCTTTCTCAAATGCTTATAGGTAATCTGTGTCCATCTTTGTGATCGGTCTGATAGTTTTTCAGCGACAACTTGGCTAATTAACGTTAGCTGGCTAGCAGTAACGGTACCAAACTGGTTTAACACTAGCATCTGCCGTCAGCAGAGCAAATTAACTAAATAAACTCGTCTTTAGTTACTGCAGATCAAACTGTATCAGAAGAAGGTAGAACAAGCGTTTGACAGTCGATAAAAGGTCTCTAATACAGATAGTCGGATAACAAATAGTCTCACCAGCTGCCCTGAAGAGCTTCCTCCACGGCATCCGCCATTGTTGTGTTGACGGAGACACGTCAGATACCGTCAACACGACAGAGGTGTCGCAAAGCTGTCATTTATCAATGAGCAGCTGAGACGACCTGATAACTATATCAGCCCAGATACTATATGCATCAGCCAGCTGGTCAGGATAACATTTATCAGATGAAAAAAAACGTCCTGAACACTTTCAGATCCCGCTCATTTTCCCTTTAGTTGTTTTTGTTTGAGTGCCTGTGTGTGTGTGTGTGTGTGTTTATTTGTTTGTATGATTGTGTTTAATAAAATGTAATTAATTCCAGTACAAAATGTTTCAATCATTATCTTTTATGTTTGAATTGTCTATATCAATCCATCATTGCGCTTTTAATCATTCCTCCACATAATGTTTTTGCCTTTCTTGTTTTGTAAATAGCCTTTTATGAATAAAGTAACTAGTTTTGCCCTTATTTCAGTTTCCCTTGCTACCTGTGTGATAACGCTCAGTTAAGTCATGCATATTCATGTTTTGCACTGTTTGTGTTGTTAATCTTACAACTAAACGTCTTCATTTACACTTCAATTCATGTACAAGATACTAAGGTTTATTTTTCAAAACCTTTAACAGAGGATTTTTGTTTATGAAAACTGTTACATAACACAGACTTCAATAAATATGCTAAATGTGAAATTCATTCCAGGAACTTTATTAGGATTCATATATTCTGTCACTTTGGTCACCATACATGTCATTGATGAAGAGTGTTAGGTGTAATTTCTATCAAAAAGCCAAAACTCAGTGGATATCTGCAGAATATCTGCTGATGATGTTATGTAACTTTCTCAAAGGTAAACTCTTGTTTGATTCCTGAATATGTAGTTCTCATCAGCATCTTCAATGTATGATTGGTTTCCATATCATTACCAAATATCAACAAAATACAGCCATTACTGCTGCTACATGAATGACTGCTACCCCAGAAGTACAAACATTAAGCAGCGGTGGCTAATTTGACTTTCACTCGATGGCATGGATGCTACTTGGGAACAAAATCCTACACTTTTCCAAGAGATTCTTCTGGCTGCATAGGGTCTTAAAAAAATAAGGCTTGAGTTGTGACATAATTTGAGAAGGGGAGAAAACATGAAACAACTTTTCTGGGGTAAATGTCAAAACATGAAACCAAGTGTAGCATGAAAAATAAACATTTGACAATAAAATAGAAAACAAATCATGTTTCTGAATTAAAGTGAGCTAAACCATCATTATCCCTTGTGACATCTTCTGGAGGCAATTCGAAAACAACAATTTGAAAAAACTAAAGACATTAAGTTGGTTTCTAATGCAAAGTTGTTTCCCAGTCTTAGAATTGTTCTAGTGTTCAAGACAGCACGAGCATTGCATTTACATTTATTTATAAAGTCAACATGCTGCACAGTTTGTAAAAAAAGAAAACAAGCAATCCCATAATTAAAAAAAACAAACTCTTCAGGATGCTAAGCTAACCTCTCCGTTTCCCCGCATCAATGGGATCGTTTCCAGCATTACAAACACAGACATTACACATTTGACTATAATTGTTTATCTTGCATTTGAAACTGATAAAGTATGTTACAATGTGGAAGGAGCTGGACAAAACCACTTTAAGTCGGCATAAATTAACAAGTGAACAGTCCATTTGAACTATATGAAGCTCTCACAGTATTTTCTGTAGATTTAAAAGTGTCACAAAAGCCTTTAAGTCGGTAATTGGTTCAACAAACTGCGCACGTTTCAATTCTCTTACATAGTTTCTATTCATGTCATTTAGACAGTGTTACATGGTCGTCATGTATTTTCCTCTCCATAGATGACATAATCTTTCTCTTAATTCTGATCGCGATGTTCTGGTTGAATTTGCCGCCCTGACAAATCAACCACAAAGCTTCATAACAGCTTCATGTTAATAGAAATCCTGCCTTCCTTCTCTGATAACAAACCCCTTTAATATGACGTTAACACTGTTTATTTATATTCAGGCTGTTCTTTCCTCTCATATAACCTATACTCTTTTTTTTTTTTTACAAATCAAATAGACAGTTGCACTTTGAACACAGTTAGGTTGAGCAGTGAGGAGATTGGCGATCAGTTGGCGGTGGAATTACAGTGTCGGGGGTTTCAGCCCGTACTTCCTCGCCACTTCAGTCTGGGCGTACGCTGCGTCACATAACGAGTACAAATGGGCCATCTCCATCTCTGACTTGGCGAGGTTGATGGCCTTGTTGAACATGTCTATTGCCTTGTCCAGATTGCCCCTGAAAGGAAAACATCTCCGGTTATTTCAAGTACTTCAAGATTCCTGTTTTTATTCCCAGGTCATCAAATACTGATGATTTTTCACATCTCTTTGAGTGCTGGTAATCTTATGTCCTCATGAAATACACCACACTTTTAATAAACTCGTATGCAATATCAAACCATTTCCTGCAAAAGCACTGCTTTTCTGAAACAATTAAAACACTACCAGGAGAAGCCTCACATGGAAACAAATGTTTGTAGGTGTATCAGACTGTAGGTTTCTACTCAATGAGGTCTTAGCTTGATGATGTATTTGGATGTATTTAACTGATCTATGCACATTATAAATGTGAGCATTTAAACAATTAACTTATTGTAACTGTACATAAAAACTCTACCTGAATCAATCCGATTGGAAATAGTGTGAAAATGTAAATATGCCTTCCTAAACCAAACCATGAAGCTTTTGTACCGAAACCTGATCAAACTGCAACACTTTCACTACATTTATTACATATTTATAAATGATTGTAGTCGGAGCTCTCACCTCTGAACTTCGATGGTTCCCATGGTTTCGTAGGCAAAGTCACATTTGTTGTCAATTTCGATGGCCTTGCTGATGAGCTCTAGACCCAAGTCAAGGTCCTGTTTCCACTGAAGCTGTAACAAACTGAACACACATTGAACATTTAGCTCAGACATATGGATCTCATACTATTTTTAAAATATCACCTGAAAAAGGCAAAGATGTTTACCCTTTGTGAACATATGTGGTAGCGTTGTCTTGTTCCAGTTCAATACATTTGTCGTACATCTCGTCTGCTTTTCCAAACTGCTGCTGATCAGTCAAAGCCTAAAAACATAAATGAACAGTCGTGTTGCACAACATGTGACCATTACATAGAACATCTATTTGACATTTAAACTAAACTAAAAAAAAATCCACAACTATTATCGGGAGTGATTGAGAACTAATTTGAAGATTTATGCGGTTATACATGCAGAAATGTATTTTCTGTACCTGAGCGTAAAGAGCGTAGCCCTCTGCACACTTGGGAAACCTTTTGATAACGTCCTCAAAGCCGTCCATGGCTTTCTGTACTTGAGAGGGGTTGTTTCCAGTATATGCTTGTCTGTACTGAAATCACAAGAAGAAGAAAGTCAAAAGATAATCTTTAGTTATAGCACCCATTGCATCAAAAACTAGACTAGTCACCAAGATTGGTTATGTAAAGAGCAACCATACTTTTCAACATATCTTCCTTTGATCACTTACAAGAGCAAAGCATTTCTGTGCCTGAGCCAGAGCAGAGTCTGGCCGCAGCAGGATGCACTCATCAAAGTCTCCCACAGCCTCATCCACCTGGTCCAGCAGGATTTTCAGCTGAGGGGAAACACAGATTTCAGAGATTTCTTACTGGCACTTACTGATGAGCAGTAAGCTGAGTCAGACATAAAGCAGGTTTTTGTCCATTGACAGCCAGTCGCTTATACAACTGTCATACCTGACCCCTGTGGTGATAGACGTCAGGGTTACGCGTGTCTATCTCGGCTGCCATGTTGAAGTCTTGTGTGGAGAGCAGTGGCTGCTGCTGCTGCATGTACATGCTTCCACGCTTGATCAAAGCGTTGGCTCGTAGCTGAAAGAAGTAGACAGAACAGAGAGAGAGGGTGTCAGACTGAAGACATTCCAGTCCTGTTTGAGAGACATCTTTGTTGACACATACACTAAGTGAGAAAATGTGATCCTCTGAAGGCAAGACTGATTCACTCTTCTTGTAAGTTGCAAAATAAGTTAATAGGAATACAGTTTTATAACAGCCTATGTTCAAAACTTAAAAACTAAGAAACAAATGACAAATCTGTACCTTCACATTGGCGTCATGCATGTTGATAACCCGGTCCAGGTCTGGCTGAGCAGCCGTGGCGTTACCGATCAGCAGGTAGAAGGTGGCTCGCAGGAGCAGAGCCTCAGCTGTGTATCGACCTCCTGACTCGATCTCCTTGGTGCATTCACTGATAATTTTGTCGTAGTTCTCCTCCTCCATGTACTGCTTGGCCTTCAGGTACCCAGAGCTAAAGAGAGGGGAAGACACAGATCAGGGAAAGTGAAAATCTACCAGGTGATAATACACTGCTCTGAAGTGGAAGAGGGATGCCGTTTCTAAACAGAGTTAGAAAAAAAAAGATAATAATGATCCAGAGGAGAGTTTCATACAAGGTCAAGCAAAGAAGAGTTTGACTTTGACCTAAAACTGTCTAATGGTTAAGTTAATGGATATTCCCCAGCACTACACTGGTTTGGAATTAAGAAATGCTTCTACTCAGAAATTTTACATAAAATCTTCAATATTAAACACAAATGATTTTTTGAGTGAGTAGTTTAAGGAGGAGTGAGAGTTTAAATGTAATACTGAACACTGACCATAATGGAGAGAGTGAATATATTAATACAGCTATTATGAACGTCACCAGGTTGGATTCTGGGGAAACTATTCACAACATATTGACTTAAAGGGCCGTTATTGACATTTTTAAAAGTAAAGTTTGACAGTGAGAAGCAGGTTAACCACCTAAGGGAAGAAGGTGGAGATATTTCTTTACAGAAAAATCAACAATTCTAAAGAGAAGGATCCTCTGAAAGATAAAACATACTGCATTGTTTTATGGAAGTGAGCAAAATCAACACAAAAGTTCCTCATATAGATAGAAGACTTTCTATCAGCTACACAGTCCAGCTGTCCTACTTTTAACAGCACACCTCGTGCTCTGAGTCAGACATGAAAACAAAAATAAAGAAAATAAAGTGGAACAGTAGCATTGTTAGTGTACCAGACAATGACTGAGTAAACTGAGTCTGTTAAACAGTAAACACATACTAAATAAACATCATCTTACCTCTCAGTGACATCAGCTGCCTCGCCCTCCTTGTCCTTGTCTTCATCTTTCTTCTCCCCTTTCTGCAGCGGCTGCGAGATGATGTCATCAGTGAACGAGCTGAAGTAGGATTTGATGAACTGAGGAGAAGGCATCATCGGCTCACGGTTCTACAGAAGAGGGGGTTAAAGATAAGTTTCCTATCGTAATTCAGAGAAATAACAGTGGAAGAAGATGTGTCTAAAAGTGGGCAAGTACCTTGTATTTATCTTTGGCCTTCTCTTTCCCCAGCTGTTTCAGCACCTTGTCGGCCAGCAGCATGCTCTGTTGGTTCTGGAAGGCCTCAAGAATACACACGGCTGTGACGTCTGGAAGAGAACGAAAATTACTGTTAATTAAAGTCAAAATTTGTAAGATTAGATTTCAGTTAAAGGAGATTGTCTCACCCTCTAGGCACTCCTTCTTGTTGTCCAGTTTTTCCAGAGCTTTGGCCCTCCTGAAGAGAGCCTTGACGTAGCGTGGATTCAGCTCCACCGCCTGAGAGCAGTCCTGCACCACTTCTGTCCATTTCATCTGAAATCAAAGAGACAGGATGGTTATCTCCCAAAATATCTCTGCATCCAGGAGTCCAATACCCAAAGAAGGCTTCAAGTCATAATAGACACAGATGTGTATGGTTTAAGGTTTAAATAAGACTTTTTTGCAGTGATAATGGATTTTCACTAAAAATAAAAATAAAATAAAAAACAGAAGAGCATCTTTCATAATACAAACACCTTTCCCGCATAAAACTGCAGCCTAACGGGCAAATTAACAACTCAAAAGATTTTATTAAAAAGATAAAACAAGTCTTAAAGGCCAAATACAACAAACATTTTACACGTGAAATGAAGAATAACTCATGGAGTGGAGTTGAGTTAACCTTTGTGAGGTCAACTCTCTAAGTAAACGTGTTGGAGAAAGTCGATCATTTGCGCACACGCTGAGAAACACTGACAGAAAGGAGAAACCAGTGTTTTCTGCAGAGTAATGCCACCTCTTCTGGCTTTAAATTGTGAGAAGCACCAAGCATGGGGAGATACGTACTCTGGCCAAAATGTATCCAAATCAAGACGTTCTCGTAGTAATCGAACTATACTCTTCAAACAGCTTAAACACATACTGGAACCACTGTGATACTTATATTTTGTAAAGACTATGACACATCCTTCTAATGAAAAACACCAAACTATCTCTTTCTACATAACAGAATGACAAAAAAAAAGAATCAATCAATAGGACTGTCATTGGTGCACTAATCAGGTTTTATCAATTCACAAATGTTGAGGATATGCACAAGTCTTTCTTTTCATGAAAATATCAATGAAGGAAATTAGACCTTGACTTATCAAGTGTTATTTTTATTGCTATCTATGATAAAATATTTTACAATCTCATCACTAATATATTTTTAAATCCATGTAAAGCATACTCTTAGATCACTGAAGAGAAGGAGGAAAAACCTGTGAGGCTTTCACTCTACAAGCATCAAAACTATTAATGCGCTTTTGGAAATAATGTACTGCCATTATTGTGTCATGAATCTCTATTCAAACATTTAGTGTCAAACTAGTAGGTCTCTCATGGGATATGTATGTACCAACAACAAGTTTACCTTTTATGTGGAATAAGTGATTTATAGGTCAGGACACCTCTGTAGAACCACAATGCTTCATGTATAATGGTATGACGAGACACATACTACAAAAAAATAAAGCTCCTGCTATTTGTAAAGAGCATCTGACAACAATTCAATTTCAAAAAGTATAGAAAGTGGACACACACTTGCACTACACTACAAATAGCCAAAAAATAATGCTAGCTTCTGGGAGAAAATCAACACCAGTCAGAGAGTATGCTGTCATTACAGAACAGCATGCAAATTATACTGAGAAATTCACTTTCTTGGACAAATCTCAAAGTGTTCATATTTTTGTAAGTGCTGCACACCATGTGGGTCTTTGATATGACATTATTCTCTGCAGAGATTAAAAGAAAGTGTTACTCACCAACTGTTCGTAGGCTGCAGCTCTGTTCTGGTAAAATGTTGATAAATCCGTCTTTTGCTCTGTCGGGCAGAGAGCAATGGCCTCTGTGTAGCACTGGATGGCGTTCTCATATTTTCCAGCCTTGAAGTATTTGTTACCCTTGTTTTTCGCTCCTTGGGCCCGATCCAGGGGGCTCTAAATGAGGGTGAGTAAAGAAAGACATTTATTGATTAAATTATCCCCCGGTGGATTCATCGGACTGGCTTAAGGCTTGAAGAGCCCAAAGACTGTTTTTTCCACATAATTAGGTATCCCTTCAGCATCCTACACTGTAATAGGATTTTCAAGTTAACCGAAAGGGTGTACTGAGGATTTAATGCCATCAAAATTACAAAGCAGGAGAGTTAAGAAGCCATATCTCACAGCGGCAATGATTTAACAGTAAAGACTACTAAGTTAAATGCATGTCGACAAAAACAGTAAAGGTTTGTCAAGCTTAAATAATCCCAGCAGAGGAGGCATTTCTCATTCAAGTAAAAACTAAAGCGTTACTATTAGCTATAAAGCAGTTTAATTATCTTTCTGCTGTTCTTCACGTTTAACAGAATACCTTAGCTTCATCTGACTGCACCAAAATGGTGAGAAAGCATGGAAATTATACACACACACACACACACACACACACACACACACACACACACACACACAAGACTTTTGAACACAGAAAAATAATCCCTCCATTCCCCCTCAAACCCCCACACAGGACTACCTCACTGGACTGTAAAATACAATATAACATACATCACAAACGTGCAATATATTTATCTGTATAGTAATTTTATACATAGCTTTTCTTTTTAAATCTATTTATATCTGCATGTTATTTTTCTATGTGAATACTTGCTGCTGTTTTTATCCTGCACTACAACGAGCCAAATGCAACGACATTTCGTTCTTATCTGCTCTGTAAAGTACAAGTTTGAATGACAATAAAGAGTCTAAGTCTAATTGCACATTACGCATGCGCAGTACTTGAAGAATGAGGTGAGAAGATACCTGTTTTATCCTCCACCTCTTGCCTTGTTTCTCTTTCAAATGACAGCCGTCCCCGCCCCCCACTCTTCGGATAACGTTAGCTCGCATGAAGTGCTACAGGTTGCGACATTAACACGCAGGTGTTCATGTTGTTCACACCTTTGTCTCAGAGAAATATCAACTCACTGTAGATCATCAACAAGCCGAGTTAGCCCACAAGCCACTTAGTTTCTCTGGCTAACGAGAGAGCTAGCTAACAGTTACCTGGGGCTAATCTGCTCTCGGCCTAGCTGTCACTGACTGAAACGGCGGTTGTCCTTGACTACGGTTTACGGCATTGACAGAGTTTAAATGAATAAAATATATCTTCTGATTACAACAAGACAAGCCGTGCTAAGGTGGCTGGTTTCAGGTTAGCAGCATAAGAAAGAGGGGTCTCTAGGTTACGGTAACGGTACCATGTTCTCCTCCCGGTTGGCTCTAGCTGCGCCGTCCTGGCCCTGAACCGGACTGGCGCTGCCTTCAGGTGTTTTCCTCTCCCCGGTCCCTTTCCTGTCCTTCGTCCTGCGGCGGTTCCACAGGTAAACCGCCCCCACCCCGAGCACTATGGGGGTCCCGACTAGCAGGGCCAGCTGCCAGCGGGGTAGTCCTGTCCCGGACTGAGGCTCGACTGGCTTTGAAGCAGCCATGATGTACGAGGGAGCGTTAGTTAGCCAGGCAGCAGCGTGAGAGAGCTCCGCTACTTCTTCCCGTGCTTAGCGAGGTCGCACCGATGCATCATGGGAAACACTGCACGGGGCTGTGTGTAGTTGTAGTACAAAAGTGGTCAATTGTAGTCTAAACATATCAGAACAGATATGAATAAGAATACTCAAATATAATATATAATTATAATATAATATGATATATATAATATAATATAATATAATATAATAAGAATATATAATATATAATATATAATATATATATATATACAAATATAATATAATAAGAATACTCAAATATAATTATAATAATAATGAATAGAATACTCAAATATGTACATGATCCAGTAATAATTATTCTAGTCCGTTCTCAAAAGAAAAGCAAAATTAAATAAAATAGAATAAAATGATTGCCATGTAAATGTATTGATTAAATCTTTATTTTATCCTGCTGTTAATTAAGACCCTTTACTTTTACTGTTTCATAAGGTTGAGTAATTGGGTTTCCCCTCTCAATAATCCTATTTTCATGTTTAGAAAATAAATGAATTAGATGGTCACAAATTCTTTTGTTGTTGAGATCAGCACACATTAAAAAAGCTATCCTTTGTTTTTTCAGCAGAAAACAGGGTAGGCAAATAGGCAATAGATAAATGTTTATTCACATCCAACATCTTTATCATGCCTTTTCTGGAATGATAATTGTTTGCATTTGAGGTCTGTCCTTTGAAAGAGGTATTAGGGCCTAAAAAGGCTCATAAAGGAACATCCTGGAAGAACTACCACCATATACACTTTTTTTTTGCAGAAAGCTTTTTATATACAAATTGGGATCAGAAATGAAAGCAAAAAAAAACAACTTGAAATTATTCTAAGGAAACTTCTACGAAAAGGACAAGATTTTAAACAAATATATAATAATTGTTCTGTCCACCAGGGTCCAGTGTTGCTGATTTCCTCACATCCCTTCTCCTGCTCAATTGCGGGGTTTGAGAATAAATACGAAAGTTCATATAATAATATTTAATTTAACTATTCATTTTTTTTACAACAAGGGTTAAAATATACAATTTAATTTTGTTATTTGTTTATTTTGGAAGGCTTCTTATGACCCCCTTCTTGGTGGCTCGAGACCCCCCAGGGGTCCTGACCCCCAGTGGAGTGTGTTAATTAAAATGATTTTTACCGGTCATTGACAATTGATTCCACTATTTTAGCAAGACATGGTCATTTTGAAATTGTACAATAGTTATTCAAATCAGGGCTGCAACCACCTTTATATAGAGGAAGAACATAGAAAGTCTTCCGAGCTGTAGAAATGATGCTGGAAGTAATACTAAGGAAAAGGAAGATGCACTTGAATTGAAAATGTTGCATGGATAAATTTTTTAAAACCCAGAGGGAAATGCTGACTTAATGTTGTGCATATTGTTGTATTAGTGAAGGTTAATTAGTTGCAAATGTCAAAAGTTTTTCAGCCCCAGCATCAACACTCAACTTGTTATTCTGATCAATGTGAGTTACAATTATGAGTTTGAGTGTTTTTTTGTGTCATTGCCAGGTTCAGCCTCCCCTCTGCCCGTCTGTCCGGGCGCTGCTGGAGTCCGAACACTCAATTTGAGCCCAAGGCCATCTGTCCTGAAACAATGAGAACCAGCAATGAGCCGTTCTTTAAGTCAACTATATGCAGCTGGTTAGAGGTCAACCTGTGTAATCAAACTCCCTGTCCTCACAACAACATGCACCCTTAATGGACAGTTATTCACTTAGTTTTTCTATTTGTGGATCGACAAATTACTATATCCACCTTACACAATCATTAATTCAAAATTATAATTTAAATAAAAAGAAGATAAAATGTAAAACATCAAAGTGTATTTTTATTAGATAAATTATTTTGACTTTCTCTCTAACAGTAAAGAGAAATGTTTAAATTCCACATGTTGATTCAGCACTTTTATCAAATTGATAGCTTGATTAAACCTGTGTACATTTTGTTGTGTCCTGGTTCTGAACTTAAAACATATCGCTGCCTCAAACATAAATCTCTGGCACAGTAGCTTGTTTTGAAAAAGCCTTAAAATCAATTTTGCCACTAGTCCGCAACACATGATGACACACAATAACCTTGCATGTGATGTTTGTCTCTTCAGAGAGAGCAGAGCTGATGTTGTTGCTTTAACAATGGTGGAAAGTGCTCTGAAAGAGGTTACATTAAGGTTGTCTGATCTTCTTTTCTATTCCTGACTCTCGTGTCTGTTATTCTTTGAAAACATGTCTGCTATTGTTAGCACAGCCTGGATTAGTGTTAGTCGCTGCCACTAATTGTTTGGAAACCTGTGATGTGGTTATGCTCCTTTAATGCTGAGAATTGTTTAGATGAGCGGAGCAGGTACTTTAAAAATGTTAATCTTTGCAGATCAACTACTAAATGCACAAAATTGCTCCAGTGAAATAATTTAATCAGATTAACTTGTGAGTTACAGATCCTACAGAAGTTTATTATTGAGGATCTTTTTTTTCCTCTGGCTGATTAGTCCTGATTCCAAAACACAAACACAGAAGAGGAGGGGGATGATGGGCGGAGAGAAAGGAGAAAGGGGAATGACATGCAGGAAAGGAGCCGCAGGATGAACTTGAATTTGGGCCACTCACTTGGAGGGACTATAGCCGCCGTACATGGGGGGGTGACCTAACCGCTAGGCAGTGGTTCTCAACTGGTCTAGCCTCAGCCATATTTTTTTTTCAATCAACAAGGTTTATGAAATGAAAAACTGTACAGTTTGACCCTCTGATAGCACAAGTGAATCAAAACATTGTTGTTGTTTTTCTAAAGATTCATTTTGGGCTTTTTATGTTTTTATTTTGGAGACAGGACAGTGGATAGAGTTGGAAATCAAGGATAGAGAGAGAGGTAGGAATGATGTGCTGGAAAGGAGCCACAGGTTGGATTTGAACCCGGGCCGTCTGCTTCGAGGACTACATCTTCTGTACATGGGGTGCGCAAACTAACCACTAGGCCACCCACGCCCCAACAAATATGTTTTAAAAGCGCTTTGTAGACCATTTGTTTCCATGTACACATTCACAACCCACTGAAAACGTTTCTGCGACCCACATCAGTTGAGGATCACTGCTCTGGCTATCGGCACCCATAACTTTTGGTTTTGTTGATTTTGACGCTTCCTTGGACAAAGTTTCACCTCTCTTTCTTTACTTGATTCCCTTACTTTATTTTAACTGTCAGATGAATCACTCACGGTGAATATCTGCTGTGGAAAATGTAAATAATATCTGTTTCTGCAGTGTGGTTTCAGAAATTACAAATAACTTCATAAAAATAATCAATCTTGTAACAGCTGGTCTCCTTTGCTATGCTAAAGTCATTAGGAGGCATCTGTATTCATCAAAATGTGTTTAAACTAAAGATCTAAAGTTTAAACTAGAGGAGTTTTAACAATGTACATTTTATGTCAGTTTCCTTTTTTTCAAAAATCATGAGATTTTTTTCTGGCTTGAAGGCTGATTTGTCATTTTCTGAAAGGTTTAAGATATATTTCTATGAGCGTCTACAATTTAAATCCACATTTTGAGTTAATTTCATAAGGAATGTTGTGTGTTTGTCAATCGTATTGTGTAAATTGGCTTCCATTTTTGGAAAGCAGACTTACTGTAATCTGCTTTCAGTCATTATCTGATGTTACAGCACCATCAATGTTTCATAACATTGCCCGCCAGGATTAGGCCTCCATGTCACGGGTTGCCGATAGTTAGCAACACATTGATCCTCTCAGATTTTGTCCATGTTCAAATCTTATTTTATTCCAAATACATTCCTTAAAACGTTGTAGTTGAAAACAAATTGCATAAATGAACAATATTATAGGATGTGAGTAATTTAAGTAAAGACATTTTTCCTAACTTTGATTGGATAAGCCTGCTTTGAAATGTCAGAGCGTAGCTAATATTAGTAATGGACTCCACTAGGAATTGATGGCATCTGTTCAGGTCTACTTAAATATCAGTTTAAGAAAGCTCAAAAACAAACAAAAGAAAACAGTTTTTAAATATTCAGATTGCTTGTTATTTTTATGATATTTTCAGAGCACTCTGCAGACTTGTCAATCGGTCTTCTATGAATTTACAGCATCTCACATTTCTATTATTGGTGATGAAATGTCCTCTTTTTAATCTCTTGAAAGAGTAGAATAAAAAATGTCTTATATTATCTGTTTGTTGAAAAATTTAAACAGTGATAGTTGATTGTATTGTTATTTGTGCTTTGGTTTCTCTCACTGTCCAATGAAACCTGATGTGTAATGGGCTTTCTTCTCTTTTTGCTTCCAACTTTACAGATGTTGTTTTCCCAGCTGCTGAATTGTGCACAGACTCTCATAACAGGATTTTACCATGAACGATAAACACAACATCCTGCAAAGAAGAAAATATGATGAAGTAGTAGTATGCATAGATATGCTCCCTCTGTGTCCTGTATCACACAGGCCCCGGGCTCTCAGTGTAACACAGGGCGCCCTGCACTCCATAATTATTGACAGGTTTGATGTACTCAGCGAGTGGAAAGTATGGGGAAATTGGAGTTTCAGTTGTCTACCCTCAGGCCCATGACTGTAATGGAAAGATTAAAAGCAGCGGTCAACCCGTGCCAAAATACTACCCGCTCCTCTCTGCCTCCCTGTTTACTCCCATCACCTCCATCTTTACTCAATCCATCCACAATAACTCGATTACAGGGGATTCACTTCTATAAAGACCCGAGTAAAAGCAGTGCAGTTTATTTTTGGGTGATCCAAGAATAACAGGACTACAGCAGCGGTGCTTGAGCCTGCAGAGGGCTCTAATTGGAGTAAGTTACCTCTGCCTTGTGGGACAGAGTTGTGTAGTAGAGCAGGCAGTCAGTCAGAGGATTAGTAGGTCAGCTCAGTGTTGTCTCTGCACTCTGTGCCACTCAGCCGGACTTACACTATTATCTGCTGCAGCGAGAGGCTCCCTGCACAGCTCCAGCATGTCTCTCAGGCTCCTGCCTGCTATCATCATGGACAATGATGAGGACGATGATGGGAACTTCACTAAATGGATGAGCAGTTACTGGGGTCACAGTTCAGAGACTGGACACTCCAGAGAGAGAAAACGCAGCTTCAGAAGACCCGCAAAAACACAAGGTGACCGGAGAGCCTCACTGCCGACTGTGGTAAGACCAGCAGAGTTTAATGTATGCATGTGACTCTGCGCTCAGACTTTCATAAAAACCTTTAATGATTTCTCAGAGATGATTTGTGCTTCAGCCCAGAGTGAATAGACTTCTTAAATGCACGTCAGTTAAACAAATGATCGATGTAGTCCATAACAGCCATCTCAAACATCATTAGGGTAGACCTTTAGGGTTAAACATAATAATCGACCATCTATGGCAGTAATCATAAATATTATTTTCATAAATATCATCATCAAACATTTAAGGTGCATGGAAATAGCTGCACACCAATCCTCATAGTAAATACTAAAAAAAGGACATATTTTTTTTACTATTTTGAGAAAGTAATACCTGACCACAGAGTGAAGAGTAACTTTCTACTGTTTATACCATAACTTTAAAGCCACATTAAAAAAATATCCTCCATCGGTCCCACTGCATTGTGTTGGCATGGAAGATATGAAAACAAAATGTGTGCATTCAGGTTAAAGATAAAATTATTTTATATATGGCAGACAAAGAGAGCAGATGAATGCATGTATTCCCTCTGCAGACGTGGAAAGTTGAAACATTGGTATGAGTACTATGCAGGGTGTAAAGTTGTGCTGATGCACACAAATATGTGACGCTCCTGCAGCTCACACAGTTTATTATGGTGATTATAACTTCTAATATAGCGGTGAAACGTGTGGAAACATGAGTTTATTCAACTTCATGTTCTGTTTTATATCACGTAAAATTCCAACATAAAAAACAAGAACTTAGGGCGCTGGTAGCACAGTGGTAAGTGCGTCCCCCTGTATGGAGGTTGTGGTCCTCCAAGTGGACGGCCCAGGCTCAAGTCCCACCTGTGGCTCCTTTCCAGCATGTTGTTAGCCGCTCTCTCTCTCTCCCTCATTTCCGGCTGTATCCTCTGTCCTATCTCAGGCTCAAAAAATAAATCTAAAAAAAAACAACAACAAAAAAACAAGAACTTATCCAACCTAACAGTGTTGCTCTTTTCCAATGTTTAAGAACGTTTTCAAATAAAATGCAGACCAGATTTCTGCTGCTGATCATAAGTTGATGTTTATGTAAGTTTATTTTAAAAATAGATATGGTATGTGTGACTGAAATTGAAATAAAATACAAATAATGCAGGGAATCGTGTTCTTTAAACAAAGAAAATGTAGTTTCTTTAGTGATGGACTTTTACAGGCTCTTCCACATACAGTCTGTTCACTTTCTCTTGTGGACAGTGTGCTGCTTTACTCAGCCATAAGGGACCTGACTCACAGACTCACTCGTCTCCTGTCACAGGGAGCTCAGAGGTCACAGACAGCTACACAGAAGCAGCTTTTGGCACATATAGAAGATACACACTGCTCAACAACGAGCCAACAATGTGAACGTTTACCAAGTTGTACACATATACCCTGCAAGTTCTTTGATGGACAGGTTGAGGGATAACAACAAGACTTTGTTCTTTTGAAATGTTTAATCCCATTAAAGCATCACCGTGACTCGTCACTGTTTCACTTTGTTATCTTTTTCTCTGGGAACCAAAGGAGAAATTTGTGGTTGAGCTGTCAGATATTATGAAACAAAAACCATCTACTAAAAGATGTAACAGCGTGTGCTCATAGAGATTGGCCTCTAGGTGGTGCCAAACTGCACCATGAGGGCAAAAAAACTCAGCACAAAATAGATTTTTTTTCATTATGAGTGTTCAAAGTGAGCATACGATCCAGAGGTACGACGAGCCAAACAGTCTACATATGAATCGGATGGATTACACAACTTATCTCAAACCATTAAGTCTTATAGTACACATTTATAAGATCACCAAGAGGCTGAGTGTGTTGAGTCTAGTTATAGTGAGGAAAAAATCTACAGTACAATGTGAGAAAAGAGGTGTAAGTGTGATAGGAAGGAAGGATCAAACCAAAAGAAATGCCCCCATATTGCATTGTGGGAACTGTAGGATGCATTTTATTGTGAAATATACTTAAACTAATTCAGGATATATCTGCCTCTTCTGTACTGTCTCTCTTGTGACCTGTGTTACTTAATTGCTGTAGTTCATTATATAGAGCCTTATATTTAATAACATGGTTCTTAATATGGAAGCAAAAGGGGCCAAAATAAAAAGTGTATGTATACAGTGAACTTAAAAAAAGTATTGTAGATTGTATTGTTAGACAGCTGTACTGATTGTGTTTTTATCACAATTTAAAATAAATGAGCAATTCTATTTACAATGTAATGTTCATATATGTCCACTGGTATTCTCAGTGTACAATGAAAAACGAAAAGCTCTTTAACACACAATGTTCTGCCTGTTGGCTGGATGATTTTTAAATGATACTTAATATGAAATTCAGAGTGCAGCTTCACCTCTTTACCCTTTTTTCATTTTTCAAATAACACCTAAGTGAAATTGAAATGCAACTCTTTAACCTCTAATCAGTAAAAAGAGATTCACATTGAATAAATAAAAAGATCACCTGTGTGTTTCTGTACATTTTTCTAGCATGTTGCACAGCCCTTATTATCAGGCTTGTCAGTGTGCTCTGTGTCATTACTCATGGTGTAATGGCCCTGTTACATTACCTGGTCACAGTCCCAAAAAGTAGTTTGCCTTTTTTAAACTGTGATTGACTCAAAAAGATACCATGTTCTTTAATTATTAGCTGAAAGTGTCAGCTCTGTAAAGCAGCTGCTCCACTGCAGCTCAAAGGGGCAAGAAGCTGCTCATCCCATTACGAGTAGAGAAAGCCTGCAAACAGACATATCATGTGTGCATATTTCCAGGATTAAACTAATTTTATTAACAGTAACTGACAAAGTTCAAGGTTTTTAAGAGACAGGAAAACAGTGGCTGAAACTGAAGTTTCCTCTTATAATCCATATTTAACTGTTGTTACTTGTTTTAGTCTGTTATTTGTATTCCATTATAATGTCTGCATCTGTATAGCATCACTGTTTCTGTATTTATTTCAGTCTCATGCTTCTGTTTCAATTCTAAAAGCCTTGCCAGGGACGAGGGTTGCAAATTAGCCACGGCTTTGAAACCTGTTTGCATAGCATACTTTGTATTTTACATAATAAGGCAATGATCGTCATGTCCCTGTTAAACGAACACAGAACCTTACCATCACAACAATGCATAAGCATCCAAACACTTTCACTGGTGTAGGCCACTGCTGCAGATTCAATCATAAATGAATAGTCAAAGAAATGTTTCTTTTTCTCTTTTTTTAAGCCCATAAGAGGCCTCAATGTCCAGTATGTGTTTTGAAACATAAGAGGTCTGAGCGTTAAATGAGGGAGAAAAGTTAGGATGATTCTGAGGGTCTGTAACTGAGGGGGCCTGAAAGTATTAAAATAGTTATTATTCATTACATAGCAAATGATTAACCCAATGCCATAGAAGAAGACCTTCTTCAATCTAATAAAACGTACATGTTTATTTGTTTTTTGCTTTGCTTTTATTGTAAAAAATAACATTCAGGCAGCCTCTTTTTTAACTTTAAAATAACAGATGTGTGGTTATATAGCTGTGCAGAGTCTGTGTGGGCAGTGGTGGTGGGGTCCGATGTGATCTCTTTCTTAGGGCCCACATTTGATTACTGCTGTTGTGTTAATGATCAATGATGTGGCTGGAGTAAAGACAAACATGTTACTTAAGAATATTAGTAGTGATTAACCCCCTTTCACAGGACAGCTGCACAGTTTTAGGCGTTAGAGTTTCTCAATTACCTGAGTTTGAATAACTGTTTTCTTAATGGGGTTTTATCATCCCTTATACCGTGTGATCCACAGTCACAATTAGATGCCATGAAGTTGAACAGGCTCCATGCAGCTGCTATGGCCCCCTCCCCGAGCCACATAAAAAGCAGGGAGAAGGGAGAGGTCCGGCCCCACCAGAGAGCACGGCGCTCCTCTTCAGACGACAACAGCAGAGGCAATTCGGCTCTACAGGAGATCCGCTTCGGCACCATCCCCGAGCTCACTGAGTCCTTTGAGAAGAGACTTTTTCTACGAGATAAGAGGACCACATCTCTGGTGAGCACAACTCCACGCTGTAAAGTTAGATGTGTACTCTTAAAGATTCAAAAGCTTTCATATCTGGACAGATTTGAACAACGTATTGCATCCAGACCTCATTATATTCATATTAATCAGCATTTTTTAATACTAAAAATATTATCAAATAATGATGTGGATATTAAAGGGCTCCATCACTGCTCATTTGAATTTGGGGGAATTTTAACTTTGCCAAATTTAACTCTTTTAAACCCGTTCTATGCCTTGTTATTTCAAAATAGGCAATCCAGCTGTAGTTATACTTCAAAACTATAGTTGCAGCAAAAACATTATTTAGGTTTTTGTTTTTTTTACAGAAGAGTGGTTTTATGTGTTTCTTGTCCAACAACACTTTCCAAACAAAAGCCAAGGTGCATGATGTATGTGCCAACTGAAGCTCTTTAAAACATATGTATTACAGTCCACTAAGAGTTCCAAAAAAGTATATTTAAGTCAATAACACTAACCATGTCCTGTGCCTTTAAGAGAAGTTAATGACCTGTGATCTGTGCATGTTTAAGAGTTATAAAGGATAGGATGTAGTAAGCAAAGGTTAATTATTTTTACTTCATGGGTCTCTGAACTCTCGTCAGTCATGAAATACAAATGAATCATGATGTCTACTTTTGAAACTGAAAACATGTGAAGTCTCATCAGAATCAGAATCGGGTTTTATTGCCAAGTACATTTACACATACAAGGAATTTGACTTGGTGTATTGGTGCTAAACAATTAACAAGGAAATAAAGCAGAACTGGCAACAACTTAAATAATACAGTATAAGAAGATATTACAATATACAAGATAGAATTAAAAAATAAAAAACATAGTGCAGTGGACTATGAGAAAAAAGAAATCTTAGTGTGTGTAACTACTCAGAGTGCTCATTCCATGCCTCCTCGATGTCACAATGTGGTTATCGATGAATGAAAGTGCGCTCTGCAGGAGAAATTTTCTATTACCGAATTTCTTATTTAGTCAAGCATCGTTTTCTGCACTATGGCTGCACAATCATACAGCTGAATATTAGAGAACAGGCTGTACGGTAAAGGGCGCATATAAAGTTCTAACTGAAGAGGACAGTGTTATCTGTCAAAACAAATGAAATGTGAATTTACCAGATAAATACAACATCACTGCAGTAATAGTCAATTTTTCTCAGATTGTATTCTTTTAAAGGGAAGGTTGATTATTTTCTTTTACAGAATGATGAAGACAAACTGTGTCTGATCTGTCATGAGGACATAAGGAAGAGCGGAGGAGGCATTCAGGAGCTTCACTGTACACACAGTTTTCACAAAGAGGTAAAATATCTTGCTTAATTCAGACACACTGCATGTCTCCTCCTTCACATTATGCTCACACTGCCAAAAGGAGTCTTGACTGGTTCACTCCCAGCTTCCCAGCATGTCAGATATCACATCCCCCGTGCCTGAAATCAGCTCATTCCTGGATGTGCATGATGTGAAGTGGTATGAAAGCAATCTGTCTACATCTGAATCTCTTTCCTCTGAAGCATGGAGCGAACTTTAGCAGCATGCCCCGCTTGAAGGAAACTTACTGATCATGGTGTCTCCATTTGGTGGAAAGGGGGCGCACAGGTTAGAGCAGAGTCGGCCGTGCAGCAGCAGTGAAGCAGCGGCCTGTCAGGGTAGGAGACCCTCAGGTGAGAGGAGGAGGTCTGAAGATGGACCCATCACCATGGAGAAGGCGCCAAACACACCACGCCGTCAGCTCTCCCTGAGGAGACATCGCTGAAATCAATCTGAAGGGAGGAGGAGGAGAAAACGGATGATTATTTTTAAATGCTCCCCTGAACTTTTGCTAAGTTATGGTGTGATGTAAAAGTGTAAGATTCTCGAGGGTCCGACTGTGCCTGATCTGAACCTGTGAAACGGATCTGTGGGTCCGACCACTAAGTAAGCTTTGGACGCATTACAACTGTCTCTTCGATGTATCTGATGGCCCAATATTCAAGTATCCGCTACACATACTTCATTATTTTCAAGAAAAATAAATGTCCAAACAAACAGAATTGTTGTTTGAACATACTGAGAGTACAGCTCTCTGATGGGAGACGGTTCCTTTTCTGTTAATTGTTTTTTTTTAAGGGTTTGTGTTTTATTTAAGGATGAGCGAGTTATGTTGTGTAGATAAACATTGGCTTAAAAATTCCATTGCTTAATGTGACACAAAGTTTGACAGTCTTGTCAATGGCTGGTTCTCACCCTTTAATTAAAAGGGGCAACAACAGTGTGCATAAAAAAAAAAGTACTGCATTAGACCTGCACTCTTTCTACTGACCTGCAGGGGGCAACACCACTGGTTGTAAAAACAAACAAGAAAAGAATACAATTACTGCAATTGGCACTTTATTTATGACCTTTCTAGAATCAAGCCTTGTCAATAAAGCATGATTTTAATTTTGTAAATTATTTTCCCATATATTAGAAAATAGATGATCAAGCAGGGGGAATAAGCATTAGGGTACTGCTTACCTGTGATTGACGCTCCATTAAAGGGATCACCTGCAATAAGGTGTTGCAATGCATCCAAATATGGTAACCTTCAGTAAAAACAATAACAATGAAGGCAACAGCCAAATACAGTTTACAAAAAACATGAGTAACATCACAGTATCTACATCAACTGTTAAATATAAAGTGTATAAAACTAAAGGGGGTGCATTTATTCTTCTTTTAGTGCTGACTGCCTGTTTGAAGAACTTGTCAAAGGTGCAATACCATCAACTACTGGACTGAAGTGGAAAAACAGAATTTAGGGCAAGAATACCAGGGTTAGTCAGCAAGGCCGCCCGTAAATCTTTCTTCTGGGGCCCAGTCTCATGGGAGGCCAGAATTGTCTGACTATGTATAACCATGCCAGGGCCTGCAACACTTTTTTCAGCCAGCTCCAAAAGCTGAAGTTCTGGGAGGCAAACGATAAAAGCAAAGCACAAAACAAAACACTAACAGAAAAACACTAGAATATTAAAATAGTCTTAGAGGTAAAAAAAAAAGTGTAAAAACACATTAAATATGACAAAGTAAATAAAAATGATCTTGATTGGTTGATGATTGTCTTTATTTTTCCTGTTTGCCCTTAAGTCTGGGGACTTTTCAGTATTTTTTGTAATTTTTTCTTAGTTTGAGAATCACTTTAAAGAAGTCCTAAATGATGAGGTGTGTCTTTTTGTTCAGTGTTGACTTCAGTGTCTGTTATTTGCGGTGTGATGACTAAAAAAAAAAAAAAATAAGTCTCTGAATAACCAAAGAATTAAATTGTTGAGTTAATACATAACAAAGGACATAATCTTTTCTTTATTTCTGAACTCTTTGAAAGTACAGTTAAAAACAGTAAAACAAGTGACAAGAGAGATAATCAAAAACTGCAGACGTCATAAACATCCAGATGTTATAATCTCTTTTAAAATGTGTTTCAGTGCATGGAGCAGTGGCTGTGGAAGGAACAGATGTGTCCCACATGTCGTGTCCATGTGTTCATGTCCAAGCCGCTCTACTGGTCTTCATCCAGCACAAAAGTCCCATAACGGCCCTCTAACCTTCCTATGTGTGCATGCCTGTGTGACCCACTGAACCCCAAACAGCCAACAATCCTTCTGCATGAGCGCTCCTTCATCAACATGACGTTGAGGGTGTACGCAGAACAAAGAGAAGACTTTTGAACAGCAATGTATTTTTGTTGAGACAGTTTTATGTGTCTTTACCTGTGCGCTGTGATTGGCTCAGAGCGCCACACCACTCCAGTAACGTCATAAACACGGAAAAATAAGATTAAGGAGATTAATACAGGAGGAGGACAGATTCTGTGCAGACACAACAATAAATTCTAAATTCTAAGTTAGTTTTACTTCAAGTCTATGAAAATGTTGTTAACTCAATATTATACGTTTATGTCACCTCAACTAATTGAAAGTTTTCCAACTTTGAAAAGTGATTCATATTAACTTAAAAAGGGTGAGCTCTATTTTCGTTTGAGAGGAGTATTTCTCCTACTCGTTGCAGCAAGGGGGTTTTGGGGATGTGGATGGAGATAGAGATGTACCTGTGCTGGGCAGTGAGTCTGAACGTGCTCTTTTGTAATCTGGAGAGTGGCTGGATTTCCCGGTTTTCTTGGTGAATGAAGTTGCAGTGCTCATGATGCCGAGTCTTTTGGAACAGTTGTCAAAAAAGTCGTCAAGATAGTCAAAACAATTGTCCAGGGGGTCCAGGTCGGTTGATTTTGTATTACGATTTTAGAAAAAGAAAATGGAGTTTGTCATGGTCAACAATATTTGTTCTCCCAGGATTCTCCTGGAAAACTTCTGAATTACAGATAGATCTCACCTGAAGCCTTTGGCTGTCTGGGAGGTAACTGAGATGGTCTACTAGGTCACTAGAGAGAGGTAAGTGTTGTTCATCCACTTCTTCATCCAGCACACTTCTTATTAGCATCACTTCTGTTTTTCTCTCAGCTCGCTGCACCCATTCTTTTAAGAGGTTTATGTGTAGTACCCTACTGGAGCGTGAGTGCCCTGGTGCTGATACCTGGTATGTAGTTGGCTCAAGTTTCTTTAGGATTTGGAACGGTCCTTGCCATTTAGCCAACAGTTTGTTGTCATCACTAGGTAGGAGCACCAGCACTTTCTGTCCTGTGTCGAAGGATCTCTGCCTGGTTGACTTGTCGTACCAGGACTTCTGTTGCTGCTGGGCGTCCGCCATGTGTGATTGGGCCAGCTCACCCATTTTCTCCAGCCGCTCTCTCATTTGGGTGACATAGGATACAACGTTAACAGATCCCACCCTCCCTTTGCCCCATTCCCAGATCTCTTTCAACAGTACCAATGGCCCCCGAACTTCATGTCCATACAAAAGTTCAAAAGGAGAGACCAGTGGAGGATTGGGGTACTTCTCTGTATGCAAAGAGGAGGTAGGGCAGCCATCGATCCGAGTCTGTACCAGTGTAATTTACAAATTTACGGAGCATCTTTTTCAGGGTCTGGTCAAAGCGCTCTGTTAGCCCATCCATTTGAGGATAGTATGGTCATGAGGCTCCTGATACCCAGTAACTGGTACCCCTGTTTCAGTAGAGTAGACATAAAGTTAGTTCCCTGATCAGTTGATATTTCACAAGGGAAGCCCACCCCTGAAAATAATTGTACCAAACAGAGGTATTGCTTTTGCCTTTATGGATTTTAGTGGAAAGACTTCTGGATACTTGGTAGCATAGTCTGTTATAACCAGCATATAATGGTTTCCTGCTTTGCTTCTCTCTACAAGACCAACAATGTCCATCCCAAGGCACTCAAATGAGAAACATCTCTGCACAGGCCAGTGGAAATCGTTTTAAATGCGAGCCATGGTTTCGTGTTTGCCCAGGTGGCCAGCCTCAAGGCAAGTATGGTGTTTCTAGCTGCTTGGGGAACCACTAGCTGCAACGCTGACTCTTGTTGACGATAGAGGATGCCATTTGCAGGATATACTCATCACTAATGTCCAACTCAGCCTCCTTCTCCTTTGTCTTCTGGAAAAGAGAGACTAAAGATGGATAAGTTTTCTGCATATCACTTATATTTCCTGGAACTTGAAACCCTAGAGGCTCAGTGCTGGTTAATGGTGTCACTACTGTCTTTTGGAATTTCTCCTGCCTTCTCTGTCTGCGGGTTTTCCGGGACTACCCAAGTGTGGTCTCCAACTCCTCATTGAAAAAGGGCAGGGCACTGAGAATTGCGGAGGGCTCATTGGATTGCTTGGCATGCATTCTGGTTACCACAGCATCACACTTTCTGTTTTGTTCTGGCTTCAACAAATCAAAAAGAACTGGTAGATCTCTTTCTAGAACAGCATCAAAAGGCAGATTATCAGCAACCCCAATGTTCAAAAGGTAAGTTTGACCTTCTACTGTACATGTCAGCTGTTGGATAAGTCTTCTCGTCTCCATGAACAGATAGGGATGGTGTCACTGTTGCTGACAATGTTGGGTGGTACAAACTTCCTGTGTCGAGCAAGGACCTAAGAGTGGTTCCATTAATTTCAATGTTCTCCTTTTTAATAGAACAGTCATTTTTAAGCTAATTTTCAATGTGAGGACGTGGTACAAAGCACATTTGTGTCATCTTCGCCGAGTTTTTCTTGCACATAGGTTTAGTATGGCGGTCTACATAGATAACAAATTAGGTTTTTGCTAGGGGAGTTTGTTGGCCTGCTAGCTGGCTGGTAATTTCACTTACTTCTTGGATCCATTTCCCAAAGAGCTCCTTGAGCCTCACATACAACTCTTTAGGACTTGACGTCAAGGGAGCAGAATCTTTGCCTGTAAGTCAAATGTCATTTTTAGCAAGAAAGGCAGACTTTACACTTTCATAATTAAGAGAGTCATCAATGTCCATATGCACAAAAGAACCTCTAGCCTTGCCAGTAAGGAGTGGTATGAAGTGAAAAACCCAATCAACTCTCTGACACAATACATTCTGTGTGACTAGGAAGTGTTCAATGTCGTCATTATCAGACAATTTATCCAACCTGGGCTCATAGTGAGAGTGAAAAGGACCTGCAGAGGCCTCAGCTTGGGCTGAAGGATAGTGCATGGTAGCCAATGCAGCCTCCACATTTGATTGGTCAGAGTCTGGAAACTGAGGATCAGGTATTGGAGTTGTTCTGGCCTGAACTTCTAACTGCAGAAACAGAATCCTATAGAATCAGATAAATTAATTATTTTCAATAGGTATACAGAGGAGGAGAGATTGCGATATCTGGTTAAATTGTCTGCTTTGTGTATTTATTTTCTCTGGAAGATAGCCATTGCTGTCCGTCTTCTCAATCTTTGACCTGGTGCTTTGCATTGTGGGAAACAGTCAGAGAGAAGACTGGTCTGATAAATTTATTGAATTTTTGGCCAGAGAAATCAGTATACTCAAGCATAGTAGATGTTTCAAAAACAGCCTGTTCAGAGACGAGAGGAACTTACTGAGATGACAGAAGTGAAGAAGCAGCAGGATGGTTTGATAACTCTGATCAGAACAGGATTACTGTCTTATCAGCAACAACAATACTACAGTTTGGACCACTGGAGGAGGACAGACTGGGATCTGCCTGTACCTGAAAAAAAAACAGCATTTCCACAATTAAAACTTTGGCACACTAGTGTTCACATTGATCGACTGATCGGGACCCAGACTTTGGGAATGATTGCTCTAGAGTGCCCTGGTGTTTCATCATTCTCATACATCACAACAACTTGGCTCTGCCGGCTAAAAATGTTGTTTCTCAGAGAGTATTACAAACATTTCAGAGCTATATCTCTTTTTTCTGTCTTTTGTAAATCTACAGACACTGAGGACGGCATAACAAAGGATACAAACATCGGCATCCTCCTGGTAATAGAAGATGAGGTCGTCCTGGAGGATCAGATCATTCAGCATGGCATGAAGGACTATTTGTATATGGTAGCTATAAGATAAGATAAGATAAGATAAGATAATCCTTTATTTATCCCACAATGGGGAAATTTACATAAGCTATGCTCATGGGTCTGCTGTATGCAATTACATTGACTACCAAAAGGAAGTGCAGTATTTATTAAAGTCATACAGAAGAACCTAATGAATATCGGTGGTGACCTTGAAGGGTCCATGGACTGAGAAAAGACTACTTCGTAAAGCTGTGTAGGCACTACACTGAGGTCGGGAGTTTTCTCAAAGCTGCCAAGAAATATTTGGACATTGTCTCAGATCTTTTCTGAAGTGTTTGTTTTACCACAGTAAGATCACCTCATTAAATGTGTAAATTATTGATTTCATAAGTTTATTGCATCTTAAAATGCTGAGAAAAGTGACAGATAAATGGTAAATGTTTTTACTAACAAGCCAGCACAGTACTTTAAGTAACAACATTTGTAAATGTTTAGATGTGTTATTTGATCTGATCTGCTATTAAAGGTTGGAGAACTTAAGTTGGTTGGTTTTTATGATAATGATAACCTGTAGAGATGATACTGTTTTTAATTGTTATTTGAAAGGAAGTTGAAAGTTTCCATAAGCAAAGAGAATCACTAAAAATGTATAAACTAAACTGATTTAAGTTTACTAAAATATATATATATATATATATATTCAATTTAAATTTATGAATTCATTTAACTCAATATTTTAGGTGGATTCAACTTTTGATAAAGTATTTTTAACTTTTGATTTTAAGTCAAAAGAAATTGAAAGACCATTTTGCCTCAACTAGATAATTTCACAGAAATTGAATTGTGATCAAAAGTTTTATGAACTGAAAGATTTAAGTACAACTGACTTGATGTCTAGAAAATTGTATTTCTTTGGAATAATTACAAATTTATCTCAACTTATCGTTTTAAGTTCGGTTAACTTAAATTTTTAAGGCAGCACGGACACTAACTTTTTTAAAGATTGATTTTTTTCTCTGAAGAAGAGCTAGGACAGTGGATAGAGTTGGAAATCAGGGAGAGAGAGAGGGGAATGACATGCGGGAAAGGAGCCACAGGTTGGATTTGAACCTGGGCCGCCCACTTGGAGTGTGTGTACAGTGTGTGCTTATAGTCTTTACTCTGTAAACATGAAGTGAATAGTGAGTCCTCATTTCCATATGCTCCATCACTCTGCCTTATAAGCTTTAGTTTTGCATGCGAATATTTGCATATGAGGTCTAATCTTCTTTCATCTCTTCACTTTTGTCTATCTTGCATTTCCAGAGTTTACAGCAAAATCTGATTGAATCTAGTATGATGTATGGTATTATTATTACATAGGATCGCTTGTTCCCCACAGAACAGATGGAGTGTTAGTTTAAGTGTAATTATATTCAGGGTTATCAAAGTCTTTTTTTATCTCTATAGTGAACATCATAAATGAGATATATTTAAATACATGTCTGCAGAAAGCTGACATAACCAGTGAAACAGTTGTAGTACTGTGAGCCTGCAGCTGTTACGTTCACTGTGTTGTATACAAACACAACTCAGTTTTCCACAGTTGTGATGTTGTACTCTGGCATTTTGCTTTTCTTTCTATACTTTGCCTTTTCTTTTTCTTTAAGTAAGAGATCAACTTGTGTTTACAGTATTATATATTTCTTTTTTTAGAGCAAAATCAGAAAATAGAAGACAAACAATAAAATGAATAACAGTTATACTACACAACAATAATCCCTGTTTAGCAGAGAAGCAGGAGAATTACAATACAACATAAGCTCTTTTAAATCTACAATTCATTGAGCAGACGCTTTTATCCAACGTGGTACGTCAGAGAGGATGTAGGCATGTAGTTCACTTCAGTCATTCTTCTATATAGTCAGAGCAGGCTCAGGTCCAGGGAATGGTCTGTGCCACAGGCCCGTCCATATATACCTGCTGGTTCTTGGCTTTATTATTTAATTGCTGTATTTTCAAGGATCTAGAGCGGAGGATACAACATCAGTGCAAACAAACTGTTTTAAGTCTGATCGGACACGCAGGTGCTGACAGGCAGTGAACGGATGGGAAGCACAACATCGACAGCTGTTCTTCAGAGTATCAAAACCATCCTAAATATCGTCATCCTTATTATCAAACAAAACCATCATAATCGTCATCAATATCATTAAGTGCGTAGGTGTTCATGAAAGAGCTGGGTCTTTCACTTTTTCTTAAAGGTGAAATGGGAATATGCAAATCAAATGGAGTTTGGCAGATTGTTCCACCACCAGGGGGCGACAGAGGAGACAAGTCTAGTCAGAGACTTTGGAAATCAAAAAAAAACCTCAATCCATCCTTTTCAACACTCATCAAATACATCACTCATGACTCTCAAAACAAAAGGTAATTTTTCCAGTACAAAAATGTAATGCATCACATTGAACCACTCAGGTGGTCCTTCACATCATTCATGTTTTTTTTTTAACTGTCTTCCAACATTACTCTGTAAGCTTTGGAAAAGCCATGAAGTTGAGGTGGCATTTATCCCAGATACATGACCAAAACAAAAATCAATCTTTTAAAACGTCTTCCATGCTGTCTCTGACGGCCTTCCAGTAGTTTTTTAATCACAGATTAATCCCAGAAGACCTTAAATTTGCTCTCGCTGCCCCACAACCTCTCCAGCAGCAGGCTGTCTGTCCCTCTGTATGCTTTAGTGTCGTCTTTATAAAGAATCAAACAACGTTTTTCTAAATAAACTCTCTCCAGGACAATAAGTTAGTAGACTTCCACTGCTTATCATTTAAGTTCTCCCACTCTACCATTAACCTTGCAAATGTACCCTCACTTTCCCATTTCTCTTTTATGTGCTCCCCCTTCTTAATTATTCAAAACCTTTGCATGTTTGGAGATCGTTTTGAGGCCGCTTTTCCTTTTCTAAATTAAAAATGAAAAGTAGTTATCTCAGTTTGTTACGCTTTCATTGTTCAGGTTAAAACACTACCAGACATAAGTCCAATAATAATAACAACTAATTGAAGGCTCATCCCGTAATAACAAAGGGCCCCATAATAGATCTTTCTATAAGGCGATACTAATATACCACTGTGAATATAACCATCCAGCCTGAGACCTGGAAGATTCTGTAAGCTTAGGTTTTCTTAGCCTTGTCAGATGTGTCTACATCTCTTTCTGCGTGGGCTGGTTTGGGTTATGCTGAGGCATATTTGTAAACAAGTAATAAGGCTGCAGCTGATGTGAACCATTCTGAATCCATTATCACGTCAATGCCAACATAAAGTCATGTTATGTGCAAATGGTGACTTTGGAAATACACCCATTTTTACAGCAGAAATAAATATGTTTACAGTCTGGTTCAAAAAAAAGTGGGGTTATGAAGGATTAGTTATTCATAATCATAAATAGGGGTGTGGCTGAACTGACTGACGGGCGGGCGCATTTGAGCTGTTCACCTGGAGGTGTAAGGCCTGGATCAGCACCAGCTCTTTGCCTGATAATAAATAAGTTTGAGACAGCATTTCCAATATGGTGACTGCCACAGATGGGCTTCAAAAATCCACTTCAAAAACGGGTGGCGTCACTGAGACTACATACATATTCATAGTCAGTCTATGATTATTGCCTGTAAATTTGTAAGTAGTGTTTAGTAACTAAAAATATAATTCTGCTATCTATAATGTGTCAAATAAAAATGTGAAATAGGCTGAGCACTTCCCCTGACCTAGACTGCTGCATCTGTTTTAGGCATGAACAACAACAATGTGAGACTATCACTGTTGTCTCTGATGGTACTTTTCTAAGTCATAAAGAGACATCATGATTCATTTCAGTGTGTTTCATAACCACACAGGAGCTCTGAAGGGGTTTCATCACTTTCTTGGTTCGACCCTAAAAGTTTGCAAAAATATCTGAAACAAATTGGCTATAGGCTTTAGTTAAACTTTTATATCTTTTAAGTGAAAATTACTGAAAAAAAGTATTTACAAATACTTTACAAATACTTTTTTAACAAAATTCCAAAATGAGTCAAGAAAATCTAAAACATATTATCGAAATAAAAGTGTGTTTTAAAACAAACTTTGGGCAACAGAAGCGATGTCATTGGTTAAGTAGTTGTTTAGTAGTTCCGTGAGCGGTACGGAAGTCCTCCAGCCGCTCACTCGGTGTAGGCCTACGTGCCGGCGGCCTCGTCCCGGTCCGGCCCTCCTCGGTCGGGATGGAAAGTAGCGGTTTGCTCCAAACGGGGAGGGAGGGACCGACCCGGGCACGAGCAGGCGGAAAGAAAGTGCACACGTGGACACCTGAGACTGACGCAAAATACAGCCAATCAAAGTGCAGACTGATGACGCAAGCTCCCCGAAACACACCAATAGGATCGTTTATTGGATGGTAAAAAAATCCTAAAGTGTTCAGAGTCGGAAAAATGAGAAGAAGGTTGTGAAACAGATGTGGAGGCTGCATAGGAGACATTTGATGCTTACTTCATGTCCTAACAAGGAACTGAGTAAATATCTGAATAAGTCTTTAGCGGAGGAGGACATGATTTGTGGGATCAGAAAGTGATGATGTTTTGATTTTTGTCGCTCAGACTACTTATCTTTTCCATCTCCAGACACAAACATACTTTGGTAAGCACCACTTTTTTTCTTGTCACTAGAGCTAACTATATCCTGTTGACTAACTTTATAGTGCAGTACAGCTGCTTATAGCATAAACAACGTCATTGAACCTTGAAAAGATTAAGCTTGTTGCCTTCAGAGTTCATAAATAGATCTTAAAAGTTGTTTTTTAAAGGTTTAGTCACTGTGGTTTAACCGCATATCCACAAGCTACAGTGCCTCTGTCTGCTCTTAAAGTGTTATTTTCTATCTGTTGCAGGTCAAAAATGACCTTTAAACTTTTCTAAAAGCAAGACCCATTGTTTTTCTGCATTTAATGCTTCTTATCCCTCCAGCCATGTTTCAAAAACGGTTCTTGGTTTAATTCTCCATGTCATATCTGCTGCAATAAACAAAATACCAGTGACTTGCTCTTACTGTTATCCCACGAAGGACAGTTTATTTCAGCGTGTTTGTAAGATTGTAAAATTCAATGAGTATTCAAACTTAAGTAGACTTTTGAAAACACGCTGTTAGTTTGGTGTTACATGTTTGGTTAACAGGTTATACACTTATCATCTTCCTTTTTTAAACGATAATAATGCTTAATATGTTATTTTCTTTTTCATGCAGGTCTACATCATTGTTACATTGTAAGCATGTTCGGTCTATCCTGTCTAAAATGTGCAATATATTTTACAAATGCCTTTTCTTTAATCAATCAGTCCATTGTATAATTCCAAACTAAATCAAGCCGGAAGCTTAACACTTTTTGTGAAGAAAGTATTCAGGTGAATATACCCATGATTCAACATTTAAATGACAAGTCCTGCATACAAAGTTGTACTTAATCAAGAACATGAGCAACAATTTTTAAAGCTCTAGTGAGGAGATTTAGCTTGTCATGAAGTAGACTTAAATTAATATGTATGCCTCTTTTTGACCTACAAATACAAATGAGCCCATCTGCATTCACACTTGTACCAAACCCTTGCAAATTTTTTTACTCTGACTTTGCAGAGTGTCTCCTGCCAGCGCCCTAGTTTTATTTTTGCAAGTTCGAGTGAGCTTATGTAAAAACTCAACTGCAGATATTATCAGGAGAATTCACCAAGAGCGAGTGTGAGGTGACATTAATTTCCTGCGATCGTAGCACGACTATAGATTGTGTGCACACCGGTACGATCCAGGCATTATATATATTAGTTGTTGTTACTCACAAGCTCCAAAGTGTCAAAACTAAAAGTACTCACTATGCAGATCCTATCATTGATGCCTTTATAATTGGAGATGGTGTTGCTTAAATTGCCTTTTTTTTTTACCAGTCATAGTGGGACAACCACTAATCACAGAGTTGGTGGTTCGATTCCCAGACCCTCCCATACACAAGTCTAAATATCTTTATAACAACACCTTGCATGATGAATGTCTTTCTCGAACTGCACAAAAATCCACAGTCAGCTGCACAATGTCAACATACATAAAAATATTTTGTTATGTAGGGGTTATTTTGAGTTTTTCCCAGACAGGGTGAGAGACGGAGCAAGGTGACGAGGGACAGATAGCAAGAGGAGAAACAGGCGAACTTGTGGCTGCAGTAACATATAACATTATTTAATACAACATTTATTATATTGATATAAATTACGTTGTCTTAAACATATAAGGTTTATTAAAAACTTGATATATTGCCCAGCCCTAAATCATAGCCTTCCTGATTAATCCTGAAAATGCAACCTATTAATTGATCATGTAAGTAATATTTATTGCACCTTACTGCTGCCTGATGTCTGTTTAAATTGTGAAATATCAGCCAAGTTGTAAAGCACTGAGTAAATATTTGTAACTGGCCCTTCAATAAAAGAAAATCATCTGGAGTTGAGTGAGAAAGTAGAGAAACAATGAAACCAAAGTGAACAGAAGACCTTCAACGCTGAGCTTAAGTACACCTACTTCAGTAAATCTACTTCACCTTACAAATATTACACACTGATCGAGTGTGAAATGTTTGTTTACTGCCACTCTTGAACTGAAAAGTGAGTGAACAGGTGATTCTGTAAACGTGACTGAACAGATGTTGTTGTTGTTGACGTCTCGAGTAATCAAACCAAAACACAGAGCCTCTTTCTGCCGCACTCCAGCGAAATGAGTAGGGAGCAGTCGTCATGGAAACTGAAGTGTTTACCCCTTCAGCTCCTGAGAGGTTGCACAGGCGCTGAGAGGGCCGTCCGACACAGGCGAGCTCATTTTAACATCTCAAACAATCAGTTTGTTTGGAGTGTGGGTCGTTCAAAAGGTTCCTCTTTGTCGCCGGGCAGAATATCGTCTAGTCATCTCCATCACAAAGGAGAGTGCAGCCATGCAGCTCGCTCCTAAACTCACTATTGATGTCCCTCCTGCTTTCTAAAGAATTGCCAAAGCCAAAGAGGTTTATGAAGCTTTTGATACCCTTTTTATTTGTACAGTGAAACAAAGAGGAGGCACACAATGGATGAAACAGGGAATGACTGATTTTGAAGCGTGTTTTTGATCTTTTCTCGGACATGTGTTTTGTTCCCTTAAAAGAATCAGGAGTAAATCACTTCAACGACATCGTGCAATCAGTGTCAGTTCCTTAAGTGAGCCTTAGAACATCCTGATCTGCTATTTTGTTTAATGCAGTGAAGCAGCAGAGAGGTTTACATGTTTAAAGGAGAAGAGGAAGCTTTGGTCTCTCCCTTTTTCCATCCAGACACACTCATACTGATGTCAGCTGGAGGGCGGTCGCACGCACGCACGCACGCACGCACGCACACACGCACGCACACACACACACACACACACACACACACACAAACACTACTTATCTCTGATTATGCGCTTTAACTAAATTGTAGGCACACGCCCACGTTTACCTGCACATGTCTTATTCGGTCATCTTTCCCAGCCTTGCTTGAACACTAGCTTTATTTAGACATGCTACTGGAAGATCCTTGTTTACACAGGATTAAATATAGTGATATTATTTTGTTTGTTTTGAAAAAATAACTACCTGTGTTTAAAGGGAACAAGGCAAAGATGTGAGTAAAACCGTTTATTAACAGAAGAGTTAAAAAAAACACAAGACCTGAAAAATTAACAATTAAATTGTTGTCGGCTGTTAGCTGATGGATGAAGGGATTGTATTTAAAATGACTCTTACATGAAGACAGACAGCTGGTGAAGACAGAAGGGAGGTCATTTTCTTCTTCTGCAACCTTTGGAGTTGCCCCCCGCTGGCCATAAGGAAGACTTGCAGAAAGAATATTCAAGTCACTTCTAATAAACAGAACTTATCTTACCAACGCAACGACTTGAAAATGTTTCCTTTGGGTTCAGGTGTGGTGCATCATGGGAAGCTTCAAAGGCCACGCTCTACCTGGGAGCTTCTTCCTGGTTGCGGGGATCTGGTGGACAGTGAAGCACTCTTTGTGGTACGCCACCCGCAGGAACAAGAACATCGGCTCCACACGGCTGTCCAGCAGAGCGTCACAGCGCCGCCTAGAGGTCATCGAAAGCTCCCTCATACTCTTTTTCTCTGTTGTTGGTAAATACGTTTTTTTTTAAATTATTTTTTATTTTAAAGATGTATTTTTGTAACTTTTTATGACTATATTAGAGAGGCAGGACAGTGGATAGTCGGAAAACTACATCCACTGTACTTGAGGCGGGCAAACTAACCACTAGGCCACTGGCGCCCTGTTAAATGAGGCTTTTGTGTTCAATGTGTTTTTGGAAGTTTAATTGTCATTTCAGAACAACTATAACAAAAGTAGTCGTGTTATAGGTTGACCTATTATGCTGATCCTCCTTTGAAAAACTCACATTTAGTGTCACACTGCTGGACGTCCATACCAAACGTGAGCAAAGTCTCACGAGGTAAACATATGTTAGGAGTAATCCCAGGAGAAGTCTGCTGAGCGCGCTAAACAGCTTGTTCTGCAAATCAAGAGAGATTTGATGAAACCAACCCTTATGTTTTACCCTTTACGTAAGCTGTAGAAACCTCTTTACATAGGCTTTCTTCTCCCAGCCAGGAGTGCAGCCCTCCCCCTCTCCCCTGGCAGCCCTGCAGTGTTCTGCCCCTAGAAGGACTCAAGAGAGCTGGCCTTAAAGAGACAGCAGCTGAAAAGAACCGTTTCAGGCAAAAGGCTAGAAGAGGGTTTTAGTTTGAATGAGTTTTATGAGCTGTAAACCATGCAGAGCTACTGTCAAGGTTACAAAAAACAAAGAAGACAAAGTACACAGTGTTCTTCCAGCTGCAGAGATTCTTCTTCTTGTGTATACAAAATAATATTTTAAAATCAAGTGGTTTCCTCCTCCGCTCTCCTCAGGGATGCTGTTGGAGCAGTTTGCAGCTGACGGGCCGAGGCTCCAGCTGTACGACTTTGCAGAGAAACACTGGGAGGACCTGATGAACTGGCAGCACGCCACCATGTATCTGTTCTTTGGACTGGCGGCGATGGTGTCCCTGATCATTCACACCACAGAGGCGGCCCCGCTGGCACTCGACAGGTTAATGCTGGCTGTCGCTTTCTTTAATGAGGGTGAGTAAAAAAGGTGTTTGTATTCCCCCTGTCTTGACTTGTGTTTCATTTTGACCAGTAAGTAGTCACAACCTTTTCCTGAAAGATGTCCTATCAGACACAGGTGTCATCTTCAGGAGTGCTGCAGACTTAATGGTTTCATTTAAATTTATTATGGCAATGTCATCAAGAGTAGACGATCAAATTTTTAGTCAAGAAAACCCAAAGTTGTCTCAGTTTATTTGTTGTACCAGCAGAAAACTTATTTCCAAACATCCCCTCCCCTAAAAAACAAAAATCATTCAAGATGAAGACTGATTACTGAAGATGATTAATGCATAAAGAAATTCAAAGCAAAAAAGGAAATTAAAATCAAGCTCTCTCTTTTGTTTCTTGTAAAACTTATAAATGAATCATTTACTGCACTATATTTCCATGTGTTTCCTGCAGAAGCACTACTGACTGAGATTCCCTGATGTACAATAATGCAGTTTATACAAAATGATAAAACAGTTCATCAAAATAAAAATATTTATTTAGGAGATTAAAGGAGACTCGTCGCCCATATTGTGCGCAAGGTTATGACCACAGTCAAGATGTGATTTAACAGTTTGAAACTAAAAGCGATAAATAGCTCAACATTACTCACTTATTTTCTTATCTTTTTGTTCCTGCAGGATTTCTTTTTCTCTACCATCTCCACGGCAGGAGCATGCTGGACGTCCACGTCCATCAGCTCCTTCTGTACGCCATCTTTGGCGACGCTCTGGTTTCCTTCCTGGAGGTTTTCCACCGAGGAAACATCATCCTGGAGCTGCTGCGCTGCACCCTCACTCTGCTGCAGGGGAGCTGGTTCTGGCAGGTAAACGTCGACATGTGCAGATGACTCTCTCCGAGTAGTGCCGGGTATTATTGACACTTACTGTGATGCTTAAAAGATGTGAGTCAGCTGTCTGAAAGGGATGGAGATTTGTTCTTCTGTAAAAGTATAAACATGTATGTGATTCTTGAAGGAGTACCAAAATAAACTTCTTCCATTACCTTCAGACAATAAAAACATTTTGGCCAGAGAATCTCTGTTGCTCCAAAGTTCTTCATTTATGATGTAATGGTGTGACGTTTTTTACAACTCTCCTGATTTGGATATTTAACTTCTGTATGTCAGGTTTTCTATAATATTTTAAACCGTTGTCCTGTCCTAAATCAAATGTAACAACTAATGCTTTCTTCTCTGTGGCCACAGATCGGTTATGTCCTGTACCCTCCTCGTGGTCCTGAGTGGGACCTTAAGGATCACAACAACATGATGTTCATCACCATGTGTTACTCCTGGCACCTCGCCTTTGCCATGCTCCTCGTCAGCGTGCTCTACTGCGCCGTCAGCTGGTAAGAAACCCGCTCCACACTGTAAATCCTGACCTTTACACATCTGCAAAATACACATTTCTTCACCTGGATGGTGTAGCGTAACTGAAAACGAGCAGGGGTCCAATTGGGCCCCAGACAGACCCTTAAGTCTGTCAGATAGTCTGAATTCACACAAAACCACGCTACGAAATACAATTAAATCAAAGTCAATTTATACATTAAACATAAATTCAGGACAACAGAAATATTTCATATTTAAACAAAACTCATAACTACAAGGTCAAAGTCCATGATTTGGCATCCCAGAATAGTGTAAGCAGCCTGAATCCTCCTTCTCCAGTTGTGCCACTACTCCCCTGTGCAGGAACCCTCTGTCTGTTCTCACACCCACTCTCCCTCTCAGGTGCAAACAATCAACAATTTGCCTCTCCTTGGCCACACCCCTTCCTCACAGCCCTCTGCTGTGCAGCAGGATGCAGCCTGCACCCTGGCTGCTACAATGGGTGTGATTGTGCAGATTATTGCAGTGCATGCTCGGGTGAGCTCTGTATTGGTCGATTTAAAACAGTTTATTTCACCAAGGAGACCCCTGTGAAACAAAGTATGACTGACAAATGATTTAGCTAAAAACTATGGTCTTTCTTAAAATAGCCAAGAACTATTTGGTGCCTGAGTTAAATTAAACTTGGATTACTATTCAAAAAGAATAAAAAATGATGTCAGAATTCAGACCCCTTTCTAAATAGACTTTTTGTTATTGCACAATCTTAATGTATTTTTTCACCATTTACCTGCACATGTTCCAGTTACATGTTAAGATACTTAGTTTGAAAAATAGTCAGGTTTAAAATGTCTAATCATCTGCAGGATTTCAGGGTTGCAGTTGTGCAAACATAATGTTATATACAGAGCAAACACCTAACCGTATCGTTGTAAATTCAGAATGAAAAACACTGAATAAAACAAACAGATGTAGTCAAATTAAGATATGAGGTCTCCTGTAACTTCACTGGATTATACTAGGAAAAAGGCCTTTAAACAGCTGTTTTGGTTATAGTTTTTTATCGTATCCAAATAGTAACAAGAAACCCAGATGAGAACAAGCATTGTTGGCTGTTGAACTGACCCAGAGTGACATAATCGTGTCTTTGGTTGCTCATTCATGCCCATCGAGATCATCAACCTGTGTGTCTCTAATCGTAGTTTATGTTTGTGTGTCTCTGTAGTGTGGTTCGCTCCAGATTAAAGAGGACTCCTCCGATTGAAATGGGGCTTCTGAAGCCCAGAGACAGAGATCTGGAGTCCGAGGATGAGATTTTATGAAGACGTCGTTGTACAAATAAACAACCAAATCAGGGATAAGATGTTGACGGCTTCTATCAGCAGTGCGAGTAAAAGCGAGGCAGAAGAAAGGACAAAGACTTTGTGCCTCAAAGCGTTAGAGACATTTCTCTACCTCTGCCTTATTTAATCATCTTTAGCCTTACTATTGTTGTTCAATGCTATTTATTTAACATGGCCAAATACTTTCCACTTACTTTGCCATATCTTTGTTTTTCTTTGTTATTCATTTGCACACCTATAAGGGAACATGAGCTCAGAAGCTTTTGAATCATTGCATGCTTCTCATTGACCTCACTGAACTCTCATGTCAGAGATTTTGGTGTTCAGTAGCACCATCCTGTGGTAAAAACGACCCTTTACATCAGCACATGATATATTTACTGTTTGTCTTCATATATTCTATGCTGCTTTGTTTGTTTCTGAATGTTCATAGATTGTTTCATGAGTCAACAAACCTAAATGCTGAAAAAATACAAGTTCATTCAAATTGTTTTAAATGTTTTTCATTTTGTTGTTTTACAATAATACAGAATATAAAATACAAAATACAACTCGTCTTTACTGCAGTATTTATTTACTATAACTCGATACAAAAACAGTCTGGAGGGACTCTGTTTGTTAGGAGACCAAATATGTTTTTTATTACACTTACGAAGTCATTGGAAAACTTACATTTAACTGATCAAATTAATTAAGTACATACATATATATATATATATATATATATATATATATATATAAATCTGATTTACTTCAGGCAGCAAATAACACAAAACAGTTCTTACATCAACATGATGTTAGACAACAAACAGAACACTACAAACCACAACGCTGTACGTTAAATCAAAAAGCTAAGACTGGACAGAAAAACAGAAAAATAGACAAAAAATAAAATACATACTGTTCCCTCATTGAATCAGTATTTTCAACAAAGTTACCAGAACATGTTCTGGTTAAAAATACTACTATTGGTTATAAAATACTTTTCACATCAGAACAGGAAGAGTATATCAAGGGTTCTATTTAATCCTAATTTTCCTTAGAATCAATTTATTTCTATTTTTATATAATGTTGTGCTACTTTATTAGAGTTTGTGGCGATTTCCCAAATGGAAACGATTTAGCTAAATTACATTTTTTTCTTGATTATGCTTATGCTAATATCCATATTTTAACCAGTAGAAATATTTGTATAAAAATATTAAAAATGTTATATCCTGCTCTCAATATATTATTTAAATCATATATCAAATATTCATGAATCAGAATCATCTCAGAAGCAAAGTGTTTAATTGCTCTTAAATAATATATTGTGAATTATAAACACCTCTTTGGATATGGTCCTTAACAAAGATTGTCTATTGAAGAAGATCATCCACTCAGTTCTTAAAAATGTGTCGCATGTCTCTGACAGCTTCCGCCTCAGGAATAAAAATGTCTCCTGCAAATTCCTGTTATCACAACAAAGAGTGTGGTATGCGTGAACATGAAATAATTGTATGTTAACCTTTCTTTTGATTCATTTTATTATTTTAGATATGATGATTTCATTAGGAATTATTTTTCATCGTTTTAGTATGTAACAGCACTAATCAACTATTTTAGTTTAACACTGTCTAAACTAAGGGAACTGTACATTATAGAATTTATCTTTAAAAAAAGGTCTGTAAACTATGTATCGAAAAATTAATTAAACAGTAAAGTAATTAGTTTTATATTAGACTTGTTTACTCTTAATTTAGGACTACATAAGATGTTTGGTAACAATTTTCTACTTTTACTGATTTTGGTTAACCATTTTTTTGCTGTGTTGTCAGAAACATTCACTGGTAATCCACTCGAGGGGGAAAAAAAACTCAGAGTGAGACCTCTCTTCACCTTACCTGCTCAGGTGTGAGTAGCTCAAGACACCCACCTGAGCAGGTAAGTTACCTGACCAGCTCCACGTGACGTTGTTATCCATCCGCTGAGATTTGAGGAAACCGGCAAATTGACTTTATCACTCCAGGAAACAAGCAGGTTTCTTCACTCTCTAGAGGATCTTCGGCAGACATGGATAAATTGAAGTCCGTTTTAAGCGGTGAAGAGGCGCGCAGAGATGACAGAACCATTTTAGAGGTAAAAACAAAAAGACGAACTTCTTCCCACAATGCTTAAACTTTGACTCATCCACGGATGAATGTGTGTGTGTGTGTGTGTGTGTGCGCAGACGGTGAATGACGCCTCCACTTTAGGCTGGGGGACTCGTCTGAAGGGCTTTGTCGCCTGCTTTGTGGTTGGGGCCGCGTGCACAGTTTTGGTAAGGATTCATAAAAGTAATTTCTACTAAACATATGATGTCATTTTCTGCTCCACACATTGAGGAAGAGCGCAGACGGGCAGAACTGATGTGGTCTTACTGGTTCTCCTGGTTCTGAGGAATGCAGATGTTCATTCAGTCACCAGGCCCTGCCTTAAAATAGAACTGACACGTGACACATTCAGATTGATTTCTTAATTAGAAGTAATGAAGCTCCTGTCCTGATGTGTGTGTCTTGTAGGGAGTGTGTTTGCTCTTCATCCCCAAGATTGGAATCACTCTCTTCATCGTTTTTTACACCTTTGGAAACATTTGTACTCTCGGCAGGTCAGTGTTCACTACAATATGAATATAAGAAATGTGTGATGGTTTATTTTAAAGAGGATTTTGGTTTGATTTAAAGTTATTAGGCTATGAATTGGGAACAAAAGCTACAAAATATTTAAAAATGTTGTCCAGCTGCATCAAAAGTTAGATTTTTTTTTTCTTCTGATTTGCAATTACTGGAAGTCTTTTCCAGCACTGAACTATTACTACCATACCCTATGTTTATTTGGCTCTACATTTATGTGGTAAAATAAACAGTTAATGTTTCCTCTCCCTTTCATTTTTTGAGTATTTAGTGTACATATAAGGTATGCCTTTTAAAATGTATTTTCATCTGTGCTCCAAAAGCACCATGTTTCTGATGGGTCCAATGAAGCAGCTGAAGAGGATGTGTGACAAAACAAGAGCGCTGGCCACAACAATAATGCTTGTAAGTGTTCAAGCTCCCGTAATCTTATTTGGCCCATTTTGCTCTGTTACAGTTTTATTTACAATCTGTGTGAGTAGTAGACTGATCCAGACTGATATGGGATCTTTGAGATCGATAAATTTGTTACGAGGGAAAAATACCCAGATGACATTGTACTACATTTTTTGTCGGCTAAATTACACGTTTTTAAAATTTAATTTTTGCAATTAAGAGTTTGTAAAGGCAGTCAGAATTCTTCTTTCTTAAAAAGTAACTTTATCATAGTATTTTTAACATAATCATGTTTAACTTATTTGTGTGTGGCCCCATAGCTAAATTGGTAGCTTTGCTGCTCTGCTACATGTGCTGCAGACAATGCTGACAGTATTATACACTATGGAGTCAGAGTGCCCTCTGCTGGACAAATTACATGATGCTTTTTTTTGTCATGTGATAAAAGTTTTTATAATTGCATATTTGATTATATCAATCAGTATTGACATACTATCTTGACCCCCAGGGGTTGCTAGACAGTCACGACTTGAGGAAAGAGGTTGGGATATGGAACAAAAATACAAACATTGATATACGGGGTACTTGGAATGGCAATGTTTGGGAATCCCTGAACTATACTGCAGAATTTGAAAAAGAAATCCCTCGGGGAAAATGTGATGGCATTGATCTTAACAGATAACTGAGAACTTTGTGATTGTGTTCCTTATTTATCCAGGAAATGTCCTCAATCACTGTTAGCTATATGAGAAGATATATTAGCAGAAGTTGAGGATTTTCCTCATTCTGTGATCTGTTTTTAATGGTGATGGACAAACTTGGTTGAATGTTTGAAACTTATATTTTTCCTGTTGTTTTGTTTTCTGTAGACGTGCCTTGTGTTGACGCTCTGTGCAGCTTTCTGGGTGAGAAAGCTCAAAACACAAGAAAAAAAAATACAAGAAATGTGATCTGATAAAAACAAGATACAGAATTTATGAATCTGACCTCCTCTAAACAAGATGTTTTTGTTTTTTAGTGGAAGAACTTTGGCCTTGCTCTTTTATTTGTCATCTTGCAAGTCTTGTCATTCACCTGGTGAGTCACAATTTGTCTTCATAGATTAGAGCTGATTGTTAATAATGTTAAAAGATGGGTTATTTTGTGAAATTAAATTTACATTGAAGAGAACATGGTGGACATATTAGCCCAAATGCCCCCCTCCCCTCCCATGTAACCTCCGTAACTTTATTTATGTGCTCCTCTACAGTACTTGTTCAATTTCCCAAGTTTGCACTGAGGGACTCACTGTTCCCAAGTTTGAAAGTTGTTCTTAAGACCTCAGTGTGTTTGTGAGCTTAAAGGAAATAATGCTGAAAAAAATGAACGCCACAGGGAATATAATATTTTATTTCTCAGAATTGATCAATGGGATGCTCAGTCGGTGGAGCAGGTGCTTCATGTATTAAAGGTTCGGACCTGCAGCCCTTTGATGCATGTCCTTCACTCTCTTTCCCCCTGTTCCCCCTGTTCCCCCTCAGCTGTCCAGGACATTCAGGCATATATCTGATTTTATTTGCATGTTCATTTTATGATCACTATTCAAGTTTTATTTCTTTAAAGGACTATAAAAAGGGGGAAAAAAGAAGTAATAAGTAAAAAACAATTCTTTAAAAAATGTTCTTGGAAGGGTTAGAAACACCATATGAGAAAATACTTGCATGCAAAATGTACATTGATTAAAAGTTGTTCACCAGTTTTCCGTGTGTGTGAAAAGGGTTTAAGTCTGTCACGTTTCTAGTCTTTATAAACTCAAGTTTATGGACTCTCTGTACCAAATTTTCTTTCATACTTAAAAGATTGTACTTATTTAAAAGGCCATGCATGAGAACTTTCCGAGTCAGGAAATAATTATTCTGTTTATTTCCACACCAAACAAACACAGGGTAAATTTACAGCCTTGTCCCGAGGTTGAAACACACTCAGTACTTAAATAGTTGCTCGTCCCCGGGGAAAGTTTCTGCCTATGAAACACAGCTTCCATCTATGTTTGGACAAAAATATGTGCTTTTTCTGTGCTTGTGTTTTATCCTTGTGGTTAATTCTTCAATCCTTGTGGTTAATTCAAATTCTGTCCTGTTCTGAGTATGTATGCTGCTATAGATGACAGGAATGTGTTTATGTTAATAACTAATGCAAACTGAATGTATTTGATGTATACCTTGTGATTAAAATGATTTTATGCTTTGTTTAGTATAACCTGTTAATGCCTTTGTTTGCAGGTACAGTCTGTCGTACATCCCATGTGTGAGGTTTGTCATTTAAACATATTTTATTCACATGAGCTGCAGAAACTTTCAGGATTAGCATGTTTTTTATTCATGAGTTGATGTCTGATTTATGATTTTAAATTTTCAGGGATGCAATACTGAAGTTGGTGTCGATCAGCATGAGGTGAGCTCGGTCGTTGTGAGGAGGACTCTGGTTGAATGAAGAGGATTTTATAAAAGAGGGGGCCCGGTCTCTTAAAGAAACTTCTGAAACAGCAGAGAAATGCAACATGTTTATGTCCAAAAATGTTGAATTTAAATTTGGATATTTTGATCATTGAAACGATAGATTATTTTGTATATATTGATTACTTTTATTATTTTTAATAAGTGTGGTCTTGGTTTGTAATATTTGTAAATATTGGTAATAAATGAGAATTATAATGATTTTGTAAATCAAGAAATGAGAACCTCATTATTTCCATTGAAGAGTGAGAGGAGAAAATGTGATGTGAAATCGACAACATTGAGGTGGAATAATGCAACTTATAATTTAGAGATATAAAATAAGGGGAACTGCCTATCGTATACTGTTATTTGCTGCCTGAAATATTATTTATTTTACCAAAGGAACAGTCCAAAAGCATAATCAGTTAAAATTGTGGGAAGTAGGCTAAATCAATCTTATGATTATTAATTACTGTAATTAAGATTAGGTCTGTTTTTTTAACTCTCAGATAAAAGTTTTTTTTTTGTTTTTTTTTTGCCTTTAATGGATAGACAGGACAGTGGATAATCAGAGAGAGTCGGAAATCAGGGAGAGAGAGTGGGGAACGACATGCGGGAAAGAAGCCACAGGTGGGATGTGACACCGGGCCGCCCGCTAGAGACAACAGCCTCCATACATGGGGCGTGCACACTAACCACTGCGCCACTGCGCCACCAGCGCCCCCCCAGATAAATGTTTTATCGGTAAGAAGTCAGCTCTTAATTGTTCCAATATTTAACACAGGAAAATTGACAAATTCAGTCCTTGAACATCTTAAAGAGGACATATGATCCCACTTCTCCCCCTTTTCAAACAGTCCCCCCTGTGGTCTAAATGAAACATCTGTGCTGTGCTTTGGTCAAAATATAACATGAATCAAGCACCAGAGGAGGTTTGTGACCCTGTATAAACCAGCTCTCTCAGAACGCTCCGTTTTGGTGTGTGTGTCTCTTTAAATGCAATGACCCCCCCTGAGTTTTCCCCGTAGACATCACTCCTCTGTAGCGAGAATAAAAATGGCGGACCTGCGCAAAAGTTTTGTTCTAGGCTGGAGGTGGAGACAATGGGTGGAGATATCAGGGGAGGGGAGGGGATTTTTTTTTTTTTTAACTAGAATCCCACTGTGACATCACAAGGAGAGTACATTTGAAATGGAGCATTTTTCTCTGTGTTGTAAGTCTTATGCAGACCACAAACAAAGGACTGGATGGGTTTATTTCACATTTTGTGGGTCAGTAGACACTCAGGTTACCCAAATACTTTTTTAAAAACACTGTAAAAGTGTACTTTTTTATAATTTGCCCCTTTAAAGTTTGTGTTATATTAGTCTTATATAAAGTGTAACATACTGCACAAAGGTTATCTTTGGAAGCCAAACCAAAAGCCTGATGTTTCACCTGAAGTAAGCACATAATATAGGCTACCTATATGCCTAAGCAGTGTATTTAAGTATAATTGTAATGTTTCATTAGCCTACAGTATTTCCATTAGGTGTTCGTACTGTTTCTTGCCTCAACAGTTATCGAGACAGTTATTCTGCGCTATTATTGACAGCTGTAGAAATGTTCTTTTTTATTGTATTTAGGCCTAACCTTTATTTAACCAGGAAAGAAACTCATTGAGATTAAACATCTCTTTTTCAAGAGTGTCTTGGCCAAGACGCGCAACAGATAGATAGATAGATAGATAGATAGATAGATAGATATAATCTTTATTATCATTGTACACAAGGACACAACAAAACTTTGTTAGCAGCAATCCTAAACAGCAGCGTTTACAAAAACAACAACAAAACTATATGAGAGAGAAATGGTCAGAGTGGTCAGAGCAATTGCTGTTCAGTGAATGAATGATAATAATAATAAATAAATAGACAGTTGTGGTGACTGAAAGAATATATACAGTTATTATTTTGCAGTGACTGATTAATTAAACAAATATAAATATAGAGATATAGTGCAAATAAGTGAAGTTATAGTGCAGTGAAAGAGTATATACAGTTATTATTGTGCAGTAACTGGATGAGTTAATAAACAGTTTTAGTGCAATGAATAAATAAACAGCACAATGAATGATTATTCTTTTGAATGTTTAACACTTAAACATTACATATAGGCTACATGTTAATAAGCCTACAATTACACATTTCTAAAAATATGGTTTATATTTAAAATGTAGGCTAAATCCGTTAAATTGAGTTAATAAATACATTTTTTAAAGATAATACCGTAAATGCATGTGATGTTTTTAAACAGCCTCGTCGTGTTTTTAGTTTAAATCTTGTTTTTAAAATACAGATATGCGCGCCTTTACTCCGCCCCCACGTGACGCAGTCCGGAAGTGGACTTCATAAAAACAGTGGAGACGTTTGTCTGTACATGTCTGAGCTGAAGCGGGTTGTGTGTTGGTCTGGACCACAGACTTTATAAAAACATATATAATTTACCTCTAACAGTTTGTAAACATGACGGACATTTTGTCTAAAGTAAAGAAGAGCGTGGGAGTGAAACAGAAGAAGACTGTTTCTCAGAGCGACCTCAACACGTTTGGTTTAAGAGGTAACTTTTTATTCTTACGAGTCCACTCAGGTACTAACTTTGAGCTGTCTGCATTCACTAACTAAAGGGGGTTTATTTGTTAATGATGTTAATAACTTATGTAGCACCTTTAAAAACAGATGCTAATAAAGTGCTTTGAGAGAAAAAGCAAAGGCAGGGACTCAGGAATAAAACATAATAAACATCATAACAAGCCGAGCTGTGTAGTTTGAAGTATACAAACTTTATACTGAAGGTCAACAAGAATAAATGCAGATGAAGAATTAAAGCAGAAACAACAGGTCTAAAAGGGATGTTAAAGCGAAAGCAATTTAATTCAGGAAGTGAATAAAAGCAATAAAAAGATTAATGATTATAAGACTATTATAGGTGACATCAATTCACAGAAAAATACATAAAAATAAAGGTTAAAAAATAAATATGTGTAGAAGATAAATGAGTAGGTAAACATGAATAAAGGAGGTTAGAGCAGGACATCAGAAGGAGTCGTGATAGATAAATGGATTAGTTACATTATATCACTCTTTCACTCTTATATCTCTTTCTGTAAACTCGTCTCCTCTCACTGATGATGATCTGTGTGTCCTCCTCTCAGGTATTCAGCTCAGGTCCTACCAGCTGGACGGGGTGCAGTGGTTATCTCAGTGTCTGGAGAACCAGCAGGGATGTATTTTAGGAGACGAGATGGGTCTGGGAAAAACCTGCCAGGTGAGAATTTGAAAGTATTAAAGGCTAGCCCTTGAGATGCAGCATCTCATTTTCAAAGGGGACTCACCAATCCTCATAATAACATATATTTGTGACATATGACTGTTTTTAAAGCAGATAAGAATATCCAATAACTGATTCAGTGATCTCTTTGGATGATAAAGATGCTGATGTTTGCAGAAATCTGTGCCTTTGTGTAGGGCTGGGTGATATGGACCAACATTTATGTCTGGATATTTTTAAGCTGAATGGGGATATGCGATATATATCTCAAAATGTATTTCTGTAAAGAAATAACAAAAGTCTGTTCTAAGTCAAATCCACCCAAAAGGGAAATGTCACACAGGCACTTTTATTATCAGCCAGCTGCATGATGTCAACACGTATACATGAAAAATGACAAAATAAAAATAAAAACTTCTCATATTGGTTGTTTCACGTTTTTTCAACTCATCATCAAATGATACAAAGACACTTTTGAGTAATGAATAATGTAGGCTATTGCCAGCATATCATTATTGCCTATGTGAAACCCGCCATGATCTAGGACTGCACAATAAATCACACTGGTATTGTTATCACAACGTGAGCTCTCGCTTCAAACGCCTCCTGAAGGTCTGGATTTATCACAATAAATTTAAAAATTATAATAATGGAAGGATGAATGATTTCTCTCTCTGTGTGCACTGTTCGATGGAGGCCCAGGTATAATGTCCATTCAACAACATCATGCTGATGGAGTCCGATGAAGCTCCAGCTAATTATCAGCGTCCCTCAGATATTTGGTGCCAATTTAGTGGTTACAAAGATAGTTTGTTAGTTTTTGTCTTCAGGAGTGACATCAGAATCAGAATCAGATTTATTGGCCAGGTATGCTTAAAAACACAAGGAATTTTACTTTGGTAAACTGTGCTCTCTATGTACAGGTACAACATTAAATATCAAAGTAGTAAATATAAGTTGCAAACACAAGCATTGAGTAAAAGTGTTAGGTGACCGTACTTCATATCATTATTGAAATATTGAACAAAGTAATCACAAATTGTACAGTTGTTTAACATCATGCAGGCCTATAATGTACATTAACAGCAAACTTCATTTCTGTATTATTCATATCACATTATATATGGCAGATTGAAAATATCATTATGTCCATTTTTTCCAACATCGTGTCGTCCTATCATGAACCACCTTGCAGAGTTTTATTTCCACAATAATGACCAGCTTGATTGCTGTAAACTATCCCATGTATTACACTGTTACATACAAAAGACATAACATTTAAAAAAATATTAATTAAAGAATCTATTGATCCAAAAAACATTTTATTGCCCGAGCTAAACAAATGATAGAATTGCATTCATTGCAACAGCCTGATAGTCACAGCTGAGTATGATGACGAAGTCTTTTCATAACTGCTGAATAAGGGAAGGAATCAAGACTTCAGATTTCACATCACGTCTTCTTTATTACATTTCGTCGTTTCAGACGATTTCTCTCCTGGTGTTCATGTCGGGAGCTCTCGGGAGGAAAGGTCCGTTTCTGGTGCTGAGTCCGCTCTCTGTCATGGAGAACTGGAGGAAGGAGCTGGAATGGTACGATCAAAAGTTTACCGTAGTTGAATTAAAACTTTAGATATGACATTGTTCAGCAAAGACTTGATACTACACAGATGATAATCTGAATTTTTGTTTTCCAGCTTTGCCCCGTCTCTGACCGTGCTGTGCTATAAGGGGGACAAAGAGACTCGAGCTGAGATTCAGAGGGAAACAGACACAAACCCCTTCCATGTTCTGCTCACTACATATGAGGTCTGTGACCATTTAATTCAAAGACAAAATGACCTCAGGTTTCATCTTTATCAAAACTGACAGTTTTGATTTGTACCTTTACAGCTGTGTCTCAAAGATGCTTCATTCCTGAGGCGGTGAGTGTGAGCTTGAGCTGAGGAATTAATTGATATGTGAATTAAATAATCCATCAGAAGAAGTTTGTCGTCATAACAATAATAAGTGACAGTTTTCAAACATGAATGTATTGTTTCCATGTTCTCAGCTGGTCTTTGCTCTGCTCCTCAGGTGGAAGTGGAAAGTTCTTGTTGTGGATGAAGCTCACAGACTGAAGAATCAAAATTCAGTGCTGCACAAAACTTTGACTCAGGTACTGAGCGGCACCTCGCTGTCCGATGTGTGTTCTTTCATCTTGATCCCATCATGAGCTTTGTTTCTGAACTCCATATTTCTGCTGTAGTTCTCAGTTGGATTCAGAGTCCTGCTGACGGGGACCCCGATCCAGAACAACCTGCAGGAGCTCTACTCCCTGCTGAACTTCATTCAGCCAAACGTCTTCTCAGCTGACGAGGCTGAAGACTTTGTCAACGCTTATTCCAATGTGCAGAATCAGCCTGCTCTCGGTACGACAGATATGGTTTTCTTATTTTTCGCGGTTTTCATTTGATGTTTATCCAAGCTGACAATGTTTGAGAAGGTTCTTTAAGCCTGCATGAAACTGGTTATAAATCCTATCACCTTCGCACGTATCCTTCATTTCTGTTTCCAGCTTCTGAGCTGCAGAGCATCCTGCAACCCTTCCTGCTCCGCAGAGTGAAGTCAGAAGTTGCTGTGGATCTGCCAAATAAGACGGAACTGGTGATGTACCACGGCATGTCGGCTCTGCAGAAGAAATACTACAAAGCTATTCTGATGAAGGATCTGGGTGAGACGTCTGAACTTTAGCATCTGGACTGGCAGAGTTTAAGTATTGATGTGATGCCGCAGTGGGAAAAGAGAATGAGATTGTCTTCTAGTGTTGCTTGAGATTTCTCTCTGTGCAATTGAATTGTAAAAAAAACCCTATTTCTGAGCATAGCATGTTTCATAAGCTGTTTCTCCTGAACATTTCTAGAGAATTTCAGGAGGACTGCCCCTGAAATCCTCCCGACCTAGTTGTTCACACATGCACCTCACAGGGAGAGACGATCCCCTTAGGACGGTTGGGAGGGCGGGTGTCTCCTGAGGCAAGACATGACATAAAAAAGTGCCTTTATATCCGTGCTGTGTGTACTTTGACTGAATCACAATATTAACAGCCGTTTAATTCAGTGCACTGAGATTGTTCGGGATGCGTGTATACAGTCTGTGGTTGTTCACTGATTACAGGATATAAACATAACACCCCCTCCCACTTGCTGGCAGGAGAAACTCTGGATAAAGTCCAAGGGACTTTGAGTGTTAGGATATATCAACCATGATACAGTCTGCTATCAACTCCAGCAGATACAAAGTATTATTGAAAAAACTGAGACAATGTAGCCATGTAAACATAACCAGATTGCTCCTTTTGGAGGGGCAGAAATGGTCATGGACTCAAAAAATCTCATCTCTTATGATTTTTTTCAGAGGTTTTTGAAAATCATCAGGGCAACAAGAACCGACTGCTGAACATCATGATGAACCTGAGGAAGTGTGTGGACCATCCGTACCTGTTTGATGGTGAGACCTGCTCAGTGATGAAAAGGATTCTGAGCAGTGACACACTGAAACAAATGTTATACTGTAGTTGTTTCCCGGTTTCTTTTGGTTAGGAGTGGAACCAGAACCATTTGAGATGGGGGAGCATCTTGTTGAAGCGAGTGGGAAACTTTGTCTTCTGGACAGCATGCTGACATATCTCCACAAAGGGTGAGACAGAGAACCTGCGTTTGAGCTCCACCTGGTGGCCGTTTGCTGATAAAACATACTGATCTCTTGGAGCTCACAGTGTCTTGTTGTATTTCTCTTCTTTCCCTGTTTGTGGGTGAAGAGGCCATCGGGTGCTGCTGTTCTCTCAGATGACCAGGATGTTGGACATACTGCAGGACTACATGGAGTACAGAGGTGAACGAGAGGGGATGCATAGGTCTTGTAACAAAGGAGAACATCACGGACGCTGTCTAACCTTCTGATGAGTCAGAGACTTTAAGAACATCTTACAATTTTTCCATGTGTCTTTGTGTCAATTATTTCATTTTATCAGCCTGTTACACCTTTTATTGTTTTAAAACACCCAGAAGAAACCTTACCACCCTTCTTTTATTATGTTTCTAATCTTTCAAAGCAACTTCTAAAATACGTCTTGTCTTCTTAGAAACAGTTTACCTGTAATTCAAAATTTGATTCATTGTTTTCATTTTCCTTCAAATAGTAGGGCTTATTGAGCTTTTTCCTCTTTAGACTTCAGCTATGAGCGTCTGGATGGATCTGTTCGAGGGGAAGAAAGAAATCTAGCAGTGAAGAACTTCAGCAGCAAAGATATCTTTGTCTTTCTTCTCAGCACTAAAGCAGGTGACTGAAACCTTCACTGCACAGTTCTGTCCATTTCAGTGGAGGATTAAAATAGAGATGAATAGATTTATATTCTGTTCATTTTAGATGCAGACTGTTAGGATCAAATATGATTTGCTTTTTTTAATCATGTTTGCTTTTACTTTGATGGCAGTTTTTCATTTGTCAGAAAAAGGTGTTTTAATGTATTTTGTTTCAAACTTTATTTTGCTAAGTTGTCCAAAACATCTTGTGCAATTTAATTTCTACAATTCTTTAGTTTCACAAATAGCTCACAGACACCGATGAGACAATTTTACATGTTTGGTTGAGGATAAGTGTTGTTTTTGTTGTACAAATGAAAGCAAAGTTAAGCTTTTACATGCGTAGTTATGAGCTGCATCTTCTGAAAAAGATTGTGACAAGCTTGGAGATTACAAAGGAAACGTTTTTTTTTTCTGAAAAGCCAGCAGTTTCTGACACTAACTAGCTTTAGTTCTTCTACAGCAGTAGCTGAGAGAGGAAAGGGGTTTGATCGCACAGAGATAAAAGTGTGGCAGGATGGCACTGATGTAAATAAGTCTATCTTTCATGCAGTGTGAAAGTGAAAAAAAAAGAAATAAAAAGCTGATTTCCTGTCAGATTTTCACTCTCTGTGTGTTACTGTTGTAAACATGAGAGTAAAGTTCTGAAATAATAAGCACACAAATTAAGATAGTTTTCTGTCTTTGCAGGGGGAGTGGGTTTGAACCTGACAGCTGCTGACACGGTCATCTTTATTGACAGTGACTTCAACCCTCAGAATGACCTGCAGGCTGCTGCACGCTGCCACCGCATCGGGCAGAACAGGTGACTGTGTGTTGGGATACACTTCAGTATCCTCTACTGATAGACGATTTAAGAGCTTCATTTTCCTCATGAAGATGTTTGATGTGAAGTGTGAACGTCCCACAGAAGTAGAGAGGCTTTGATAATTGCGTAAGTCTCACATTGAAATAATGAAGCAAAGTATCGTGAACATGTTATAAAAGCACACTACATTAAAAAATACAAAAATATGATGAAGACGATGTTCTGGAAAAAAATATATTTCACAGTATTTTTGGCTGACTAGATTTTCAGCCTTACTTATTTCAGTGACACAAAGAAATGCAGGAGGAAGACGGCTGGGGCTGTGGCTGCATGTGCACAATGCATCTTGGTGAGTGTAGGCAACTGCTCATCAAGTAGGACAGTCCAGTCATTAGAGCATGCACTGATGCATTGAGAGCTTTAAAGTTTTCAGTTGTGCCTCAGGAACACATGAAAGACCTCTGCCCGAGGATCTCAGGCTGTGTACTGACTCATAATGTGACCAGGAGGATGAATAGCCTTAAAGGTCAGCAGAAAGATCTAAAGAGTGATTCTGAAACATACATGAAGCTAGTGCGAAGACGCTAAAACAGGCATAACATGGTCACTTTTCTTGATTGTGGTTCAAAGTACTTCAGCTTTGATCTCCACAATCTGGAGACAGTTCACAGGTGTAAGGTAGAGGCGAGTGAAAAGGCAGTTGCAGTAATCAAGCGGTGGGGAAATGAAGGCATGTAAAATGGCCCCTGTGTCTTTAAAGGATGAAAAGGATTGTATTTCCCTTTAATTGACCTTAAGAACATCTTTAATTTGACCGACTGTGATTTGTTACAGGCCTGTGAAAGTGATCCGCCTGCTTGCACGAGACACTGTGGAGGAGATCATGTACTCTCGTGCTGTTTCCAAGCTGCTCCTCACAAACACTGTGATTGAAGAGGGACGCTTCTCTCTGCTGGACCAAGCTCAGTCAGCTGCTGCAGGGCTGCAGGTTTGTGAAAACACCAAATTAAAAAAAAAACCTCCGGCTGTCTCCGTTTTCATCATAACACTCTTTTTTTCTGTCCTCAACAACAGCTAAGTGAGATCTTGAAGTTCGGGGTTGACAAGCTTCTGTCCTCAGAGGAGAGCTCGGTGCAGGATGTGAAACTGGAGAAGATCCTCGGCCCATCCTGCGACGGTCAGTGGGTTGATGATGAAGACGTCAGCTCTCTCAGAGGAGAGGAGGAAGAAGAGGAAGAGAACGACTCTGAATCTGACGGGCAGAGTGAGTGTAATAATAACGTGCTGTGTTTCTGAACGGGTTGTTTTTGCATGTACACAATCTCACTTTATTTAGCTTCACACATTTAAACACTTCAAAATTCTTATTTTGGGGGGAGGGGTGCAGATTAACCTCCCCCTGTAGTTTCAGAATGACATTAACCATTGTGTGTGTCTCTTCCTTCAGCTCACATGTACTACTTTGAGGGCAAAGACTACAGTAAGGACCCGAGCGCCGACGACCAGAAGAGCTTCGAGCGTTTGTTGGAGGAGCAGCTGGCAGAGTTCACGGGAGCTGCAGGAGAGGGACGAGCTCTGAGACACAAAGCTGGAGTAAGACTGTCAGCTTGATTCTCTACTTTTTCAAAAAACACATTATCGGGGCGCTGGTGGCGCAGTGGTTAGTGCGCACACCCCATGTATCGAGACTGTCGTCTCAAGTGGGCGGCCCGGGTTCACAGCCCGCCTGTGGCCTCTTTCCCGCATGTCATTCCTCACTCTCTCTCCCTGATTTCCGACTCTATCCACTGTCCTATCTATCCATTAAAGGCACAAAAAGCCCAAAAATAAATCTTAAAAAAAGACCACACATTATCAAATGGCTCAAATCCACACTTGACATAGTAGGTTGTGGATGGTTATGCTAAAGAAAATGTACTTTTTAAGGTAAATTTTCCTTTACGTAAAAATTTGCTTCACATTGTCTCACATCATCGTTGGTTTTGTTTCTTCAGTTTGTTCATTCTGAGCAAGGATTGAAAAGCTATTAAAACCCTGCGCTCGCAAAGAAAGGATGGAAGGAATTAAGTAATAATTTGTGTGAAAATAATTAGAAAAGGAATCAGTCAACATTTCCTGCTGATGGGTGATTCTAAATATTAAATTAGGCTGTCAGTGGAAACACATTCATCTTGATGAGATTAAAGGTCACATATTTTCTTAAATCGTAATAACCGCATGCTATTCTAAACTTGTGGGCAGAGCGTAGGTAAGCCACCACAGTGTCTTGATGTTGTCACAGTGATAGACACTCCTGGGAAGCGTGCAGTTGTTGAGTCAAAAAGGATATCTACTTTGTGACATCAACCATTTCACCTTTTATCATTCCTGTTTTCATTTACTTTTTGATCCGTTATGAGCTCCTTTTTTGTGGATAAGTTAATGTTGTAGCCTTCAATCTACAGGCAGTTTCTTTTCCCTTTTATTTCAAATTAAAAGCAGGGTCATATTCAAACATGAAGTAAAGTACCCTTAGCTTTGAACAGTACAATTCTTCAAAACACAAATATAAAATAATGGACTCTCGAACATGCGATTAAAATGAGATTAATTTTGAACTATTGAAATTCAATGATTAATCGTCAATTTAAAAATGAATCATTTGACATCCCTTTTTATTAAACTATTTTATTTTGTACTCTGTGTGTTTCCAGATTTCCCTGTCTGCAGCCCTTGGGATTCCGACGAGGAAGAGGAAACCTCTCACTGAAGCCGAGCTGGAGATGCGACGCCAGAGGAGAGAGGAGGCTGCAGCCAAGAGAGCCAAACTGGAGGAGGAGACGAAGAGGAGACAGCAAGAGCAGAAACACAAGAAAAAGTAAAGATTTATCAACTTAGTAATGCTTGTTTGTTTTTTTTAGCTTTTAGTATCTTATTCCTTTTTATTTGCACACTTTATTTCATTATCCTGCAGAATGGCGTGGTGGGAGTCATGCAGCTACAGATCCCGCTGCCTGCCGTCTGCTGACAGTGAAGAGGACGAAGAAGAAGAAGACGAGGAGGAGGATGACAGAAGCGTTTGTTTCACGGACTCTGACAGCACGGCCATTCAGTACGTTTTGGGGGATGTCACTCATCCTCACACCGCAGAGGGAAACGCCATCATCGTCCACTGTGTTGGTATGATACCTCTGTACCATGACTATGTCTCTTTTATGGCATACTCACTAAATGCAATACAGTGCCTCTTTTACCACAGTGTTTCCTGCATTGATCAAAGCAGTGTTTTTTGAGTAGATGACTCAGGACGTTGGGGAAGAGGAGGTCTGTTTACGGCTCTGGAGGTGAGATCAGACGAACCACGGAAGCAGTATGAGCTGGCAGGAAAGATGAAGGGTGAGGTTCAATATGTTTGTAGAGAAATATTCATGCAACATTTTTACTCAAAGACTAGATGAGAATGAAGTCTGTATATGTTATTGTTTACTTCAGATTTGGAGCTCGGAAACGTGCTGCTCTTCCCAATAGACGACAAACAGTCGAGATCAGGCGGGCAGGATCAGGTAGGTTTTGTTGAAGAGAAAACTCACACCTCATTTCTGGAAATAAACACTCCTTTTTGGTAGTATTGATGATTAACCGTGTGATGCATGGACTGTGACTGATTACATGATGCCTGTTTTTTTTAATCTCATTCCTGTCACCTCAGTTGGCCCTGATAGTGGCACAGCAGAGAGACCGAGCCAACAACCTATCTGGGATCCTTCTCACGGCTCTCGACGAAGGACTAAAGAAGATTTACACAGCAGCAAAAAGACAAAAGGGTACAGTCGAGCAACGAAAATCAAATCATATAACAATTAATGGACCATGTAATCGTGTGGTAAATTAGAAAAATCAAGACACTTATGGAGTTAAATCCTCCGTGCAAATATAATCACGTCAATTGTAGATAATTAAAGCTGAGTGGATGGAAAGAAAGGAGTGGCACGCTGTGTTTGATTATTGTTTGACCTGATTGACGAGGTTTAAAGAACGTACTGCGTGTTCACTTTGGTAGCGTCAAGTTGTGTGCATAGACCAGTAGTTCTCAAACTTTTTAGACTGCGTACCACCTCCGAAAATATTTGGCTCTCCAAGTACCACCATTATATTAGACGTTAAAATACACTGTAGGCCTATTTCAACACACATTTCATGCAAGAGGCAAATTAATTCATAAAAAGAATATTATTTATTATTGACTGCTGGCAGCCACACTAGGTCGACTAAGGGCTAGTGTTAGAACTTGCCCACACAAAAGTGCAGAACAATAAAAATGACAGCTTTATACCAACAACCTGTTTGGAAATATTTAGTCTCCACTGTTTCCCACACAAAGACTATACCTTGGCCCAAGAATATTTCGGACCTGTTCTCATTTAATTTTTCATTTATTCATAAAATTGCTGCGTGCCTGAGAGAGCGAGAGCGCGTGAGAGTGCAGGCGCGCGCTCCGCAGGCTCGGTTCAAACAGCGCCGCTTTATTATAAGTCTCTGCGTTCAACATAGCAAAACTGCCTTTTTAAAAAATCCCTCTTGACTCCTACGGAGAGTTAAGACATCAAAAGAGAGCAGAATCACATCTTCACAGTTTCAGAGCAAGAGAGAGAGAGAGATAGACGGAGGGGGAGCGATAAGGTCTGTTGTCCGTACATGCATCAAAACTGATGCTTCTCATGGCTCCATTTTAAAAATGTTAATGTACAGCTGCTTGCTGCGGATTGTGTGCTGAACTCCAATAAATAACAGATATTCTGTTAATGTAGGTCTACATTAACAGAATATCTGTAATTAACAGAATATCTGTTAATTACAGATATTCTGTTAACTACATTAACAGAATATCTGTTAATGTAGGTTAATATAGGCTTACATTAACAGATATTCTGTTAATGTAAGCCTACAGCTGCTTGCTGTTGTTTCAGTACTGAATTATAACGGAATATCGAGTGGAACTTTTCAAAATGCGAGGCGTACTCCTGTTGTTGTTTATGTCTGTGCGCGAGCATAAATTGAGCAGATTAAAGTTGTTCGTTGCAAAAACTAGATTAATTTAGAGGGGAAAACACATTAGAGTAGACAGATAAGAGTATGACTAAAAAAAAAAAAAATTGTTTTATGCTGAACGGGTTTGTTTTTTATATTGTGGAGATTTCTTTGCATACCACCACAGGGATCCCACGTACCACCGGTGGTACGCGTACCATAGTTTGAGAACCACTGGCAAAGACAATTACTGCAGAACAATATATGAGAAGACTGTCTTCATTCATACCATAAGAGCCCTTTTCCCCATGCACTGCCCCTTTAAAAAAAAATACCGACACTTCCAGGACGGATGCATGTGTGAAATGTCCAAGTTCCTTCCATCTCGCCTTGAAACCGTGTGTGAAGTCTTTAGCTGATGGGTGAACAGAGCGGGTTTGCAACAATTACTATTACGTTAGTATTGCAAAAGTGTCCTTATACATGTTGTAGTGATATTACCACAAAAAAAGTCACTATAGCTGTTTTCACACATGCACTCCTGAAAATGTCTAGAGAATTTCAGGAGGACTGCCTCTGAAATCCTCCTGATCTGGTTGTTCACATATGCACCTCACAGCGGAAGACTATCTGTGTTGGCAGGAGGAGGGGGAGTAAAACATGACATAAAAAGAACGGAGTGGATGTGGTGGACGAAGCAACACAGTCCGCTATATGACGCTCCTGAATATATCCTTTTCTCACATCAGCTCACTCGGATATTAGGGGGCTGGCAGGAGAAACACTGAATAAAGTCAGAGTAAAACATTTGACTGTTTGAGTTCAAACATCCAGCTCAACCCAACATCTTCTGACAAGTTTTTTGCAAATATGAACAAGGCATAAACTGAAGACTCCTCCTCCTTTTCTTGCACGCCCATTCCCCTTACTTAAACCAAACACGGTATTTTGAGTCGTGAGAGAGGGTCTGAATATCCAGCTGTGAGGTGCGAAAAGAGCTCCAGTCTCATGCTTGTGAAATAAACATTATACTGTAGGTTTATGTGCACTATGGTCCTCCTTCACTGCAGCTGTAGATATAATAGAAAACAGAAATGTCACACAGAACCTCATTGATGGTTTTCCTGAATTGTCTCCTTCTTTTTCCCACCAAAGCGAGCGTTCATCTTCCTCGCATCGGTCATTCCACCAGAGGTTTCAACTGGTACGGCACAGAGAGACTCATCAGGAAACACCTGGCTGCCAGAGGTGTCCCCGCGTTCATGTATCCTTTAACCCTCTACTCCACACAACATGGATTTGTATATTCAACAACAACACATTTCTCATCCTGTTTTTGGGGGATAAACAAAAAGAAATCAAGTTTCTATTTGTAATGTTTCTCACTGAACTAAAAGTGTCAGATCATCCCTGCATGGTGTTTGCTTGGTTGCATTGATCTTTTTTAAATTGATTCTTCTACAGTATGATATTGACTTGTTAATACACTAAGTTCATATACTGTATGTAGTTGTAAAAAGATGAATTAGGAATGTTTTTTTTCTGTCTTTCAATCTAATTTTGTCACTTTCCTTAAAACGCAGCATCGTCAACATCCCAGGGTATGATCTAATGCTTGATTAAGCTTCATTTGCCCATAAAACGTCCCTGTGTCCTTTCTGTGAAAGTCACAGCATGTGTGTAGAAAAACATTAGTCAAACTATTTTCAGTGTACCAAGGTACCTAACGTTTTTTAGGATTTTTCTTTTAGCCTTTATTTGACAGTGGATAGTGTAGGAACTTGGGAGAGATAGTGGGGAGGGACATACGCAAAAGAAGCCATAGGACAGAATGGAACCTGGGCTGCCCGCTCTAAGGACTGCATCCTCTGTATAGGGGGCATGACCTAATCGCTCGGACATCTGCATCGAATCCATCAGTATAGTAGTGTACCCTACACAGTAGTACATTTGGGGGAAACATGGAGAAGAGTGAGCATCAAAAGGAGGACATTATCAAGCAGCTTAGGGTTAAACACAGGACATTTTAAAAAGTGCTTTATCTCTATCCAAAAGCTTGTTTTTATTTTCTCTGAACCAGACTGACAGATACTATCACAGCAGAACAGCAAAGAACACAGCTCCACCTCAGACCTCCACCTCAGCTCCCTCCACCTCAGCTGCATCAACATCAACGTTCTCTCCAAAACCAAAGCAACACAACTCTGACGGTCAGACTGACGAGACAGACGCACAGACCCCGGGACCCTCGGCCCCCGTGCAGAGCCCCGGCCCTGCAGAGCTCCCCACCTTCATGGGAGGGGTCCGAGTGTTTTTCTACAACCTGCTTGCATCAGAGAGGAAGAGACTCGCTCGCTACCTAATCACATATCCTTTCAGCCTGGGCGTCTCCATCACACTAATGTTACAGTGTAATTATCTCTTGATGTGAGGTGATTCATGGTGTACAGCTTTTATGTCGGAGCATGCATCTTTTAATTTGAAGAGGTGTTGTCTTTCCGTGCACAGCAATTATCTCCTGTGTGGAAATGTGTAGAAAAGGGTATGAAAAACTCTGTATTAAATAATGACATGTGATTATAGAGTGTTGCTCCTTAGCTGCAGTGCACATATGATGGAGATGAAGAGGAGGTCATGAGTCCAGAGGTCACTCACATTGTTGCAGAGGTGGAGAGCAGCATCCACACACAGGTTTGTCTCATTCTCAACCATGCTCACTTTACTTTTCATTTGTCATTGGACAGGAAGAAGGAATCATAATTAATGAATATCCCTTAGATGCACATGGATTGGACCCTACACCCTTGCTTGTGTTCAGTGTTATTTTTTGGTCCACACCAGAAGATTCCATGTTTGAATTATTTAAGGTCGATTTTGACCAACTTCTGCATCTAATGATATTCTGCCAAATATTTTCCAGGGGACAGGATTGATTCAATTTAAATATTTAAATGTAAATGCTTTAAATCAGTGTCAGGTGGGTAGATGTCAGACAAAGAGATAAACATACAAGCTGCAGAAACAGCTATTTACCTTTGCATAGATTTTGGATGAGATATATGTCTGACTTTTTAAAAGACAGCAAGATTATTATTTTTATTAATTTATTTGTTGTTAAAGGAAGACTACTTAAACATGCATGAGGCAAATATAGCAAAAAGATAAGACGGACCACTTTTGTTTACACGGGGCCAAAACAGACAGACTGCAACAAGTTTCCTTTTTTAAGACTTTCTGTAATAGTTAACATTAAAATGCATAAATTGGAAATTACATCACAGTCCTATTTTGTGTCAAAATAATCAAAATAGGGTTTCCCCCCTTTGATTATTATGGTATTTCCTCTGTGAACCAGGAGCTCCAGGATCTGCTGTGTCAGTACTCTCAGGCTGTCCCGGTGCAGAAAGACTGGCTGGAGTCCTGCTTCTCCAAACAACGCAAAGTCAACACTGATCCTTTCATACATCCGCTTAGATAACACTGCCTGCCACTGTGTTCCAATATTTTAAAATGCTTTTGAGTAAAACTTGAATGCAAGCTGCTTAAACATGCACTAAATGTTCAATAATGTTAAAATGTTTGGATTTTTAAATGAAAAAATAAGTAAATAAATGGACATTTCTCTTCTACTGCTGCTGTGTTGGAGGTTTGTGTAATAAATCCAGTGTGTGTTTGTTGAGGAAACTGCAGCCCACACACACACACACACACACACACACACACACACACACACACACAGTAGGTAAAAGGTGGAGTTTGAAAGGGGCGGTGCTGCTGTGCGGTGGAGTGAATACAACATTTGTCAAGTGCCTCAATCTTTCATCTGACTCGGGAGCAGACATCACATGAGAGGTACATGTTTGTACTCACCTGGACGTCGTTTTAGGGTTTATCTTTTCTCTGGGTTTTTTTTTTTCACGTTAAATCAGTGAACGCGCACGAGACTCACTCACCTGTGGATATACAGCAGCGACGGTGAGTGACTGTTTACTTACATAACATGTTACCTGTACGAGTGTTTGACTACTAGGTAGTGGTGGACACTTTGTTTAAGGCTCATTTAACCGAACAATTTCTCACAAGCGAGTAGGCAGAGGTTAAATACAATTTGAAACAAATATTACCATTAACTCCGGGAAAATCGAGTTGGAAAGATGCAGCAAACTTCAAATAAGAGCTCTTAGTAATTAGTTTGAATTATTATTTTGTAACATGTTTTTGTTGAGCAAGTCATTGTGCCTTCACTTTTCATTGTTGTCCTGTCATCGGGTGGTATGTAGGCTATAGGGTCGATTTCCTCGACATTATGGACGGTGAAGGAAAGTAGTTTTTAGGATTTGTCTTTGAACTTTATATTTTATACAATGTTTTTGTTTAGTATTGTTTAATGAGTGCCGAAGTAGAAGGAAACTTGCGCTTCAGCAACAGATTGATGTCGGTGCTCTCAGAGAAGTCCATTGCACCTTAATAGATGTTTCGTAAGTGATTTATGTGCTCCAGTACTTTCTTTGGATCCTGCCTGTGTGAATGAGTCCTTTGAATAAGTTTTGATGTATATTTCGCCTTTCTATGTTTACATTTTAAAGTCGATTGTTATAGGGTTATATATTTGGTATCACCTTCGGGACATTTTAAATGTTTGTCTACACCATCATAGTATATAAGCCCATTTGTGTTGAGTGTAAATACGGATTGTAACACCGATGTCAAAAATGATCACCTGAAGAAGAAGTCTGGTTGAAACGAGATTGAATAAAAACTTTTTGAGCCAGTGTGCACATGCTCTTCTTCAGTCATTTGATTGACATAACAATGTTAAAACGCCTTCATTAAACCACAAACAAATATTGTTTACTCTTCTAAATATTGTTTACAGTAAGTTTCTCTACGACTTGTAAAGACAGCTGTTATCACTACCCAACTTTTGGAAGTTTTGTGGTTTTATTTTCCATCCGAGTCTTTTTTTTTCTGCCATGAGAGGCATTATTTCTTAATTCCCACGTGTGAGTGAATTTGTCTTCTGAGTATGAAACACTTAGAGAAGAAATCCCCTGTGTGGGAGACACTTTGTCATGATCTCAATCTGCTCAAAAAGGTGAGTGGGCTGATGTCAAAGCCACTTCATGGCGCTCTAAAATTCTCACTGATCTGTGTTGATTGGTGCATTATGAAGATGCAGGTATTTGACTTAACAAAAACACACGTCACCTTTCTTCCACAGAGTTTAAGGAACAGCTTTAAACCGACACACATGGACGTCAGGAGGTCCAGTGATGCTGCCCGCTTCAGTCCACTCAGCTTCAGCACCATATAGGTGAGCATAAAAACAAAGTTTCACCCCCACCTCCCCAAAAGAAATACACCCACCAGTACGGCCTCATTACCACAGAATAACATGCAACACAACTCTTCTGTTGAAACAACAACAAAAAAATCATACAAACTTCTTTTGCTTTTATATCAGCTTTTCTACCACAAGCATTTTTTTTCTATTTATGGCACTCCACTTATTAAGAGTAATATATTTAAAACATATATGACTATATTCACATGCACACACTGTACTACACCAATGTGCCACATCAACTGTTGACCTTTAAAAATTAACACACGATACTTGGGGCCCTGAAAGGACAATAAGATAAGCGGAGCGCTCACTGAAGAAACTCCTCGTCCCAATGATGGCCCTTTTACTTTTCTGATAAGAAACATAACATATCCTATATGCTCCCTAGTTGCTACAGCAACCAAAACAACATTGCTACCTTCAAAAGACCCAGGCTCTGTTTATGCAAGCTAACCAGGTAGTTACAATGTTGATACTATACCTACCCTACATGGACCCTATTGGACCCCACAGCTCAATTGATAGACCGATGGGCAGAGCCAGGACATCACTGAGGATGTCAACTGGGAACCTCCTTTCTCTGGTGTTTCTTTGAATTAGTCCCAGGACACCTCGGGAACTATTGAATAGATGTAGTGTTTTTGTTCTCCCTGGTTAGAAAGTACTGTACATTGATTTAGTTGTTATTGAATATGATTGATGTTCTAAGAAGGCTTTACAATCTTAATTAAGAATATATTTGACTAACATCTGACCAAACACAGAGGATTGTCCAACAAGGTACATGCAACAAAGGTAAAACTAATCAAGCTGTCGACACAAGTCACGGCTGATTAATATTTAAAATGTGTTACAAATGATCTGCTGGGTGAAACCATGCCTTGATGTTCTTTTAGGACAGGAATGAGCTGTAGCACTTGGGTGTAGCATAAGTATGCCAATGAGGAAAAACCACAGACTGAATAAAAAGCTCACATGAATTCATTCTTCAAGTTGGTTTGTCAATCTGCCTTTCTGAGTCCTTGCATTGGTTAATGTTGTGTTTTTTTGGAGCCAGAAGTGAGCATAATTTGGACGAGTAGATAAAGCTCAACAAGAGCAAATGTTATGTTATCAAAGTTATGCACATGGCTAATAGCTGGTGAGTGAGCTTCTTTTCCATCGTGTTTCACACTGATTGATGCTTGGTGCTGGCTGACTGGAGTTTTTATTTATCAGACTAAAGGAGCTAAAAAGGGGTGCAGATGGCCCAGTGGCTACATCGCAGCCCCATGTAAGGAGGCTATAGTCCTCCAAGTGGACGGCCACGGTTGAAGTCTGAAGTTCATTCCTTACTCTCTTTCCCCGGTTTCCATTCTATACACTGTACTATTGGATAATGGCAAAAAGCCCCCCAGGAATCTTAAAAAGAAAAAAAGCTAAAAGAGTTAATGAAATGTAGCAGACATACTACTGGTGAACAAAAACAAACCAGCTAACTCAAAAATAACCAGTTTTATGAGCAGTCCTGCAGAGGACAACAGCAATCCTGACTCCTGTGCATAAGATGACATAATAAATCAATGATCTGAATACACTGAATACACTGCTAGCAAGCAGGTATGACACAGATAGGCCTACCTGCTAATTAATGCTAACATATCAGCTCTAAAGTTTATTTTCTCAAAAAGCTGGAGCAAAGACTTCTTCTTGTGCAACAAATTTCTTATACATGCATAAAAAATATTATTAAATGCACAACACAATCAAAGAGTAGCGGTTGAGTGAGGTGACTAAATTAGCTAAGATGACACCTAGCAAACAGCTAGCCCTGCCATTATTAATGTGTAGCTTTAAGGCTTTTAATAATTTAAATGGTATATTTATGTATAAATTTACCTCTGAACATAAATATAAAAAATAAGCTACAGAGACAAAAACAAATCACATGTTCAATTCTGTTGTAAAGTTTATAACTTTAACATGTGGCTCTTTGGGGATTGACTCACTTCTGGAATGTGCCTCAAGTGGGCACTTGATGAATGGCTGTTTTTGGACTTCTTTGTTGGCTTCATTTTTAAGACAAAGAAGTTTTCAACTTGGGAAAACAGAAACTTACAGAAAACCTGGTTGGTCTTAACTCCACAACATAACACAGACACAATAAAGCTTTTTTAATATCTTAAACAAAGATAATAAATCACAAAGAAAAGGCATATTTACCATTTCATTATTCAACATTTACTCAATATATGAATTTTGTTTTTCTCTTACAGTCACGTCAGCCAGCTGAGCAGGTACCTGAGCAGTCACAACACACCTGAGGAGGACGATGAGACAATGAGTATGGAGGAGCGAGAAGCCAGAGTCCTCCAAAAGCCAGACTCTACCCTCCACCCAGATCACCCCATCTTCCCCGATGAGTCCATGTTCAGCCGACACAGAGCTCAGGAACATGCTCACCCTCCACCCGGCCCAAGCTTTAACATGTATCAGCATCCTGGCAGTCTGCCTGCAGGGTACAGCCAGCCCACGCCATTCCCTAGCCAGGCCAATAACTCCTGGCTCCACCCGAGCCTCGCCAGCAGCTGGTCGGGTTATCCCAGCAGCCTCCAGTCCTGCAGCCTGAGCCAGAAAGATTTCTCCAGCTGCTCCGGGGAGAGCTGTCTATCTGGGTGTAAATCTGTGTTACTCCCAAGTAGAAACAGCTCCATTATGAGCAGCTTAGAGCAGCCACTATCTCTGTGCTCCAACCCGCCCTCAGCCAACCTGTACCACCACACGCTGCCACCGTACTCCTGCTCGCCACAGGGAGCTGCATGCTGTGCTCAGTGTCCTGCAGACGAATTCAACAGGGGGCCGATGACCAGCAAACAACCCTGGCCTCCATATCAGCAGGGTAACAGTCAGCACTGTAAGTTTGATTATGAATAAGATTACTCTTTGTGTTTTATTTCAGACCAAACAACTTTCATACAATCCAAAACTTAAACTGAAAGTAAAATACATTTTCATGTACAAAACTTTTTGTTTGAAAAAAGTTGTTTTACTCATGGGTAGGACCTGTGCTGAAAGATACAAATCAATGCGATACATTATGATTCGATCAAACAAATACCATCTAAAAAATATGATAGAACATGATACATTATGTTAAGATCTGTACGATACAAAATAATATCATATATTAAGATATTAAGACACAATACAGCACGATACATTATGTTTAGATACGGTACGTTACAACATGATACATAGCAAAATGATAGATTCATTTTTCATGCAGGTTTCTATTGACAAATCTGGATCGGACAATTTTATATATGAGAAAAGGTGTGTTTAGCAGGAAACTGACGAGACAGAAAATTGACGAGCAGATATGTTTCTACATAACTTCCCTCTAAGTAACAGAGAGGAAGTGGTTCATTTTGCTTTAGGCCTGTTTTTTTTTTTTTCAATAATCCAACACTGGTTTTGCTTTCAAATTGTGTTGTGTTGTATTATTTAATCAGAGTTTTGTAAACTTAGTTATGTTAACAAAACTGTCTAAGAGATGAGAAGCTTCATGATAGACAGCCTGTGCATGTAGCATAGCTGTGAAGAACATGTGCCTAAAGATAGCTAACATTGTTTGTAACTACCGGCGGATGGTGTAATAAGTTTTCTTTTTACCTGTTGCCCCCCCCCCCACCACCACACACACACACACACACACTACGTTAAACCAGATCAATCAACATGTACCTGTATGCATAATATATGCATACACAATATATAGCTGTGTATCAACCTGCTTATTGTTTTCCTTTCTTATCTGCTCACACTTCAAACTACCTGCCTGACAAACTAAAGCCGTTTTCACATTTGCAATCCTGGAGATTTCTAGTTAATTATCCTCCTGATTTGGTTGTTCACACATGCACCTCCTGACGTTAGACATGACGTAAAAATAACAACACAGAAATGCAGATGAAGCAACAGATTCCACTTAATGACACTATAATTAAAATATTTGCCTTTCATATCTAAGCTCTGTGTAGTTTGACAGAATCACAAAATCAACCAAAGAGTGGAGAAGAACAAACTACTGAAGAGAAGACCAAATGCACAGAGGTCGTACAGGTCGCATGCTTACAGTCTATGGTCGTGCAACGATCCCTAGGAATTAACTAATGTGAGGATATAATCAGGAGAATTCACATCAGCTCACTTGGACTTTCTGCGGAAAATATACTGGCAGGGCTGGCAGGAAAAACTCTGGATAAAGTTAGAGTGAAAAATTTGACTCGCTGGTGTTCAAACGTGCAGCTCAGTCCGAAAAACTTGAAGAATTATTTGGGAATTTTGTGCTGGTATGAACACACTTTAACATTAGGTAGTGAAAGGTGTACCTCTGATTGCTTCTCACCTATAGAGGCATGTCTTTGTTAAATCAGGCCCAGCCAAGCAGAGCTCAACTACAAATAAAGCGCTGTTTTTTGTCATCATGCAACATGTTCTTTATTCTGTCTTTGCTGCTGTAGACCCCGGTGACTACAGACTGCCTGGAACTCGATACACACACATGTGAGATTCATTTAAATTCTGCATTACTGAAATATTGTTTGTTTGAGACGATGTAAAAAAAAAAGGTTGTTTATCTCCTTTCAGTGGTTTCAAACCTCCTGCTGCAGAGAAGCAGCCTCAGGGCAGCATGCCACTATCTCTGGAGCAGAGTGAGTGTTCACCTGCAGATTATCTAGCCAACTCCTGCACACTCAGTTTCATGTTTTTGTAATCTACTCATCTGTTGCTTTTGAATACAGGGAGGGTCTTTGTCACTTATGAAGCTGACAATGACAAGCACGTCAACGAGATCATCAACTTTGTTGCTCTGCTACGACACAACGGCTTCGATACGCACGTAAGAACAGTTTATTAAAGTCTGAGATTACCTGCAAAGCTAATGATGATGAGGTAAACTGTTGCAGATGGATAGAACATCATTATTTAATTATATGTCTTTATTTTATAAATGCCACAAAAACAATGAAATGTTTCAATATAGTGATTGATTTCCTGTTTTTAGTGTCAACATAATGAGTTGGTGTCTACCTTACTTGTGTGGAGCGTTTTCATAGACCTAGATTCAAATTTATCTAACTGTATATTTTTCTGAGTTATGGGGCTTTTATCGAGGTGGACACAAACAGATTTAGGTTTCTGTTGCTTCAGAGCTGCAGTCAGCCAATTAGTTGTGCAATGAGTTTGTACAATTAATTGTCACATTTATTCAAAAATAAACGAGATATTGACACACATTGGGAGGTTTTGTTAAGGGTTCAACTTTGTGGTGTCTTCATTTGTTTCAGATTGATCTTTTCGAGCAGCAATTCAGGAGTATCAGCAAGATAGACTTCATGGAGAGATACCTCAGTGAGGTATAAAAAAGCATCTTAGTTAACAAATCATCTTTGATGTTTTCTGAAGTGGTCTTAAAGCAGCACATGAATAGTATTTTGTATGATTCCCCTTCACTCAGAAAGAATACCTGATCATCATCATCATCAGCCCAAAGTACTACGAGACGGTGACGGCCTCACCTGTCGGTGTGGAGAACGACGAGAGGACCTTCAACACCGTCTACATCCACAAACAGGTTCAAATACTCAAATATGTTTATGTTTTTTCATTCAGTGGTTCTCAACTGGTGGGTCAGGATCCAAAAGTGGGATGTGGAACTGTTTTCAGGGGGTCGCCAATGTGTGCCTGGAAAAGAAAGTGCTCTTCAAACATGTTTGTTTCTTTGTTCTCATGTTCTGCACCATCTGAGGTCCAATCTACACATTTCATTAAATCAATCTGACTGGTTAAATAATAACTAAAATGTTAGTCACCTTTTCTCACGAAGGAGTTGGTGGTGGTTCCAGAGGCTAGACCGGTTGAGAAACAATTTTTTAATTGGTTATGATGATGCAATTGAAGATAATTCAAATACAGAGCAGGAAACTTGCGTGGTGCACAGAGAGATTTTAACTATTTGTAATTTTCCTTTCCTGCGTCAAACTTTCACATGCATTTCTTTGAGTATTCAGAAAGCGCTATGTAGGTCTTAGTCTTCTTATATTATAATGCTGTTAAAATTTACAGCAGAAGCATGTCATAGTAAGGTTCTTACATGTAAGACACAAATACACATTAATGATTAAAAATACCATAAACTAAACATGACATAAACCTCTAATTATCTCTAATAAACTCTAAGTTATCTAACTGCTGTGTCGTGAACTCTTTCAACTAAAACAGGATAAAAACCAATCACAAGATAGCAGGTAGGACATAACGTCGGGAGGAAAAGCTAAAATAGTGCAGGATGAGTCATCAGACATTTGAAAAGTTTTACAGGAAGAGAAAATACAGTTATTAATTTGATATAAAAAATACTCAGGTAATGTTCATTTCATGGCGTCTTAAATTAGATTTTCCGCTGATGATGTGTTTCAGAGTTGACGCTCGGTTATAGAGAACGCTGATAATCTAAATTTAGATCTAGGATGTGGTCTGTATCTTTTCACGATGTTCCTATACTCATTCTGTTTACTTCTTGCATTTATGTGAAGAGAGGATCTTCTCTTCCTCATTTTGAAAGCCTATTTGATGAATAAAGAACCACATTTTAAGAATGTGACAGTGATGCCAACAACAAGGCTTTGCATCCATTACTTTCTGATTTGTACATTTCTGATAGTCGGTGGTGGAGTTATGAGTCATACATTATGAGAACTGAGAGTTGGGTTGTTCACTCGGGTTGATTTGGGGTTGGTGAGCAGTGCTCAATTCATCTCAAACAATATTTCAAACTCCTCTGACATTTATATCAGATTTAAGCTTTTTATCTTCAATTATTCCCTCCAAATGTTTCTCTTTCTTTGTCTCTACTTTACATCTTGTATTTTGTAACAGAGCATGAACTACATTAAGATAAATAAATGCAAACTCTTTGGACACAAAAGATCAGAGATATGACTGAAATAGCACAACATGGAACGTAAGGCATCCTGAAGTGTGGGTTTTATGAACACAGCAGCTCTAATATTCTAAAAATATTTATGACGTTTAAGACGGCAGACGACATCCAATGATGACTAAAATATCATAAAGTGCTGAGCCAGCCATAAATTAAAAATAGAGAAGGAGGATTACATGTTGAGAGTAAAGAAATACTTCCAGTATGCCTGGTAAAAGAAAAAGAATCAGAGAAGGATTTCTTTTTGATTTCTTCTTAATCATCAAAATGCAACAACAAAAATCCTTTGACTGTGGGAACTGTAACAGATGGATAAGATGTAAATCTTTATTTTTTAAATCTTTTTTAGACTTTTATTGTGCCAGAAAACATTTGGAAAAACTTCTAAATAAACAGCATCAACAGAAATATGCATTTATTCAGTTTTCCATATACTTATACACAACAATGATTTATTTGTTTTTTTATTACCAACAGAAGGATGTAGCGTTTACCTTGCTTGTTTGGAACATTTTAATAGATCAAGATGCAGGTTCATCTATTTAAAGTCATGGGTCTTTAATCATGACTAACATTTACATGATTCGATTGGCATTTCATTCTCAACATCTTGACTTTATTCCAAATATTTTGACTTCATCATTAAGATACAAAATAGAAGTAACAGAAATATGAACTTTGCAATATGTTGACCTTTATTTCCATCGTATTGATTCTCTTTTGGGGCAGCTGTGGCTGAGTGTTTGAGTTGGTGGTCTCAGAAGCCCAGTTCGCCCTGCTGCTGAGTCAGCGTTGTGTATGAATGAATAATTTATATTGATTAATTCTCTTTTTTTGTTTGTGTGTCTTTCAGCTCCAGAACGAGTTCATCCAGAATGGCAGCAAGAATTTCAGGTTCATTCCCATCGTGTTCCCCGGGGCCAAAAAGGTTAGAGCTTCTCATTAAAAGATGAGGGAGGGAATATAAGTCTGTTATTGTCTCTGCTGGTTAACACATACCACACATACCACCATCAACAAAACATCGTTGGATGATTAAAGCCACTTATCTCAGCCGTCTCTGTGTTTTTACAACCGCAGTGTCATGTCCCCAACTGGCTCCAGAACACACACGTGTACGCCTGGCCGCGCGATCGAGACGACATCCTGCGGAGACTGATGAGGGTGGAGAAGTACAACCCTCCGCCTGTCGGGGAACTACCCACCATCGTCTCCATCCCCATATAGACCCCTGATCTCTGAGCCCAACACACAAAGACCTGAACTGTTTGCTGCTCCTTATCGAGGTGAACGCCTGGAGCATGTGAATGATTTTTTTATTTTCTTTTACTTCTTGAGTGTGAGTTGTGATGTTTCAGGTGTTGTGTGAACTTGTCTCCTGAGTTGTGTTTGTTACATAATATAATGAGTTCTTTTAAAAGGCATGTGACGCACAGAAAGAGCCGGTTTATTAATGAAATGTTTATTCTCTGCAGTTCCTCAAAGTGCATCACACGGTATGTTTTAACCTGCCTGCAGTCTGTTAAACCAGCTACAACACCACGAGTCACTTGAACTTGTGCTACTCACATCACCTCTGCAGCCCATTACATGTTTAGCTTTTTAAAAGCACAATATTAAGGTCCTGCATGTCGTAGCAAATGAAAACTGTTTTTATTAAGATTCACGTGTGCATGTGCTGTTTCATTAAATACTTGACAGATGAAATGAATAACCTGTGGTCTGGATATTTGCAGAATTGAACAGCTGAGCTTTCATTTATCAAAAGTAAACACACAGATGTGTCAAGTGCACGCTGCTTGTGATATTATCTGTTTATTGCAGTTTCTGTCTTATGCAAACTGCAGCCACACTGGATGGAGTGACTGTTTGTAAGAGATACCAAAAAAAGACATATTATTCTCTCTGTCTTTATGCAGTTGGTGCATGCTGCTTATTGTTAAGAGACACATTTATTTTGCTGTATAGAAAGTAAACATTTTCTCTTTATTGGTAAACAAGGGTCAGACTTTCTGAAAGCTTTAAGAGTAACACTGTTTTTGCACATTGAAGCCATTTTAAAACATATGGGAAAGACACAATGCAAGCAGCTCTGATATTCACTGACAGAATACAGAAATGGAAGGGGTGAAACATGCAAAAGATGTATAAATCCACTTTAAGCAACTAGCCATATCTATGATAACATGTCAACGAAAGAGTTTGAGGAAAAAGTTGCAGTTTAAAGGTCACTTATTTTTCCTCCTTTTCAACAAGTTCAAATAAGTCTCAGAGGTCTCCATAACATGTCTGTGAAATCATCAAATACCGCACATGAATGTTAATGGTACATCATTTTTATGTGAATTGCGATTGTTTCTGATGACCACAAGTCCCTGTAAGTCTCTCTTGTTCTTCGCTACTCAATGTGTAGGTGTTAAAAGACACAGGAGCAGGAAAGGTCCAAACCTAACCTGCTACTCAGACACTTGAAAAGACTCTTTTTAATCTTAGGTTTGACATTTTGACAGTTACAGGGTAGGGAAAAGATTGGTATACAAACAGATTATCTTGTTTTCAATCTCTGGTTTGTATCTACATCTTTGCTGACAGGGTCTTTTGGCCTTAAAGGTTTCATAATACACTTCGGCATGTTTTTCTAACACTAATACTGTATGTGTCATTAGTCTGTCTACAAACCCCCATTTATGAGAAAAGTCTATCCTCTGCGTCTTTTGCCTGCTCTGCTTCTCAGAAAATGTGTGCTCAAACAGGAGATTTTCCCTTCATGACATCACAAAGTGCAGTAACCTCTACCCCAGGTGGGTGACACTCCCACAGCTCGGTGTTTGTTCTGCCCTCTGAGTCTGCCTTCTCACCGTAAACAACAGGGCACGGAGCGAGAAAGCCCAAGCCACATCCAGAGAGAGGGGCGTGGTCAGACACAGCTCATTTACATTTAAAGGTACAGACACAGAAACAGCCTGTTCTGAGCAGGGCTGAAATAGAGGGGTTTAGAGACATGATCAAATACAGGATCAGTGTGGATTCAGAACAAGAAAATTCACACACGTTTTGGGGAGCTCTGAGACGTAATTAAACTTTTTGAAAAGGAGGAGAATATGTCACCTATAAACTTTTTCTCTCTCTCTCTTTTGTTGGCGTCATAGATATAGCTAATCATACCAAAACCTGCCTGGATCATCTATGGACTTCAGTAATCTCAAGTTATTATGGAGCTATTTCATGTCAATATTCTAAGGAGTCATACATTTCTTAAGATTATTTTGGGGCTTTTTGCTTTTAATTACAAGACCACTGAAGACAGACACAAAATGTGGGGGGGTAGACATGCATCAAAGGGTCAAACCTGCGGCTGACGTGTCAAAGACTGAAGCCTCTGTATAAGTGCTCCTGCTCTACCCACTGAGCTAAACACGTGTTGTGCTTAGAAATGCGTGCACCTCAAGAGAGAGTGGACAATATGGAAGACACAAATTCTATGCTGCCGTATTTTACATCCCCCCTTTGAGTTCCTCTACAGACACTTCAGAGTCAAACACTGTTTGTACGTCTTATTTACACAGGCTAATGAAAATGGATCTTCAACTGAGGCTACAGGACAATAAGGACTCTTAATGTTTATCATGTATAAACTTCAGATATTTTGTCATCACTGATCTGCCCCCAGAAAAAAAGTTATATTGTTTTAAAACTGCCAAAAGGTGCAAACAATTCTCGGCTCTGCACGCCAGAAATTTTACATCAACTTTTGTGTCATAAGGCTCAAAAATTTAAATAGGCTTACACATTTGTAACCAAACTTGAGGTGTGAGGTGTTCTAATTGAACAAGCTAATGAATTCTGAATCTCAAAAGCAACACATTCCATCATACAAAATATTGTTAAATCAAACATTTCTGAAGATAGATATAAGTTCCCCATTAGAGCATCAGCATGTAGTGTAACCATGATGAATCGTCCATTTAAAGTTTTTCTCTGGTCAATTAAATGACAAATATCCTAATTCTCAATCTGCAGGACCCTGATCACTGTTGCTTGAGGCTCCTATAGATATAGATAGATTGTAATGTTTAAGGTAAATTGAAAAAGAGAAGAACTGTATCTCACACTCTCCTTGGGAACATAAATCAGTGTTTGTGAAATGAACCTGAACACAGGTTAACCAAAGACAAGCAGAGACCTGTTTGCCTGCAGGGCAGCGAGACATTTTTCAAACATCGAGCTGCAATTTTGTTTTTGGGATCGAGGAACCTGACAGCTAAGTTTGAGATTTAATAACTAATCATTATGGTATTCTGTATGGTCGAGTTGGCTGGCCTGCATTGTCTACTCGTAGACTAAATTATTGTCATGTCGTCATACTTCTGTCATTTTATTCTTTTGAAACATGTTGGAAGCTCCAGTCTCCAGGCTCCAGGCTCTGTCACAAAACATATTCTTGTTATCTGTTCCCAAAGTGCGTCTTGAAATGGGGAGAATAAGTTTCAGGTACACTGCTCCTGCTGCAGGAGGATTTGCATCTTTAAATCCTCTTGTAAAGCAGATTGAAGGTGTTGGAAGAAGATGCATCAGGTTGTAGATGCTTCGACTAATAACTTCTGCGCCGTGATCGAGGATATTTCAACATGTGTTCAGTAATTATTTTGTGTTTTATGTTTATGTTATTTTGTTGAAATGTACTGCTGCCTGTCTCAACCAGGACATCCTAATCTTAATGTGGTTTTTCCTGATTCCTAGATTTACTTTACATTTTTTTAAAAATGTAATGAGTTTTCAGACATTCAGGTGTCCGAGGAGAGATTCTAGCAGAGTTACAGTAGAGTCTCTGGTGGTTTTGTGTGGAAAAGCTAAGACAGGAAGTCGCATCGAGCTGACGCAGCTGCCTGCCTACCGCTCAGTAGGGCTTCTTAAGAATCTGCGAGTTTTAGACTGAAATGGGTCAACACAACCCGTGTGTGGTTAGAGAACAATCATGTGTGACACACTTACAGAAAACCTCTGGTGTGTGCAGAACAGGCAGAGGTGAAATAGGTCCAGCAGTAACGCTGATTAAAACGGCGAGGCATGGTTTAATGGTTTTATCTTCACGAGAGGTAACACTGCAGATGTTCATACAGACATCATAAAAAACAATCTGAATACAGTGTTCATATATTCATCCTTATATTGAAAAGTACATGAAATAATATTAATTTTAATAACATAACAAAAAGACAACATCTGTAATAAAAGTGGATTACAAAGTGACATTTGATGTAAATAACTCTTAAGAATTAGGTAACAGAAAACAAATCAGTTCCATTTGACCGTATGTAAAAACATTGAAGTGCTATTTGTTCAAAGCTACAAAATACACTTAAAAAGCAGGAAGCGTTTCTCTTAATTTCCTTCAAGGAAAAAGTACTATAAAATAAGTTACAGTACAGTGAATCTGTCCGACCTTTGTTCCCATCATCTTCCAGCTTTTTGTAAGCACAGACAACAGAACAGACAGGAGGACAGAGATGTGGTTTCCTGGTGAGAGACGTCGTCCTCGTGGGGGAGGGGGAACAGGGGGGGGGAACGAAGCTGTGCTGCTGTCGTTAACTGTTCATGGTGTGTGATTGAGTTCATAAAAGCCTCACAAACTTCTTCTAAAAATGTGAAACCTTCTTTATCTTCAACATGATCTGAGTGTCGCTCCGCCTGCGTCCGCTGGTAGAAAGAACTTTGTACTTCATGAGCTCAGAATATTCCACAAATACTTCATGTTTAGTCACAAACACAGAGGGATGCTTCTCATACGTCGTCAGCCGGCAGAGGAGGTATGTTGAACCTTGGTCTTGTGAAAAAAGCCATCTTCTCTCTGCAGAACAAGGAAATATCACACACACACAAGGAAATATCACACACACAGTTTTTTCTAAAAGTTAGAAAAACAACATGTTTCATAACTTCATGTCTCGACCTCTGATTAACGCAGGCCTGCATCAACACAACCCCTTATTGGGAATGCAAATGTATATATTTGTGCATATTTTTCGATTGATTTAAGGTCTGGATGAAAGAAAAATATTATTCCAGGCTCATGATCAACATTTTTATTTTATTTTAAAAAATTTATTTATTTTTTAAATCTATTTTTTAGTATCTATTTTTTTGTACATTCTTATTTTTTATTTTTTTATTTAAATTGTACTGTGTTCACTTTTTGTTTGCAATCTTTGCTCTTTGCTGCTGTAACAATGTAAATTTGCACTTCCTTTCTTCTGGATTTACGTCAGATGGCAGACGTCTCTGTCACTATAGGTGTACATGTTTTGGTGGCTTCTTGCTATGCTGAGCTGTTCTCGCTACACCACTGACCGTTCAAGCTGTCGCTGTGTTACTGCATGTTGCTTTAAATCTAAGAGCTCTAAAGGTGAGTAAAACATACAGAACAGATTTTTTTTGTCATACTCGGGTACAAATAAATTATGACATGCAGGTATTGTAGCAGTTTAAATACTGCTTGTTAGCTGGCTATTTTGGTCTACACCTTTAAAAGAAATTGAGTAAAATGCACCTGGCTAGTTTGTTACACCTCCAGGATGCACACATGCTGTGTTTGTTCAAGAACAGGGACTGTAAACAGAAACTTTGTATGTTTACAGGAACCCTCTGCAAGGCTCTTCAATGTTACTGTTCTCACCAAATGTTTTCAGTCTGCGACCCATTTCCACATGCTAGAGTTTCTGACTCGTGTTTTAAGCTGCCAAAGAGGAAACAACTTTCCTCGACATGTGGAAATAAATTACAGGTATGCACCAGTGTCTTTGTTGTAGAGAAAAAAACAGAATTAGGATTCATTCAATGTCAGGCCCAGTACGGTAAGGGCAGACTGATCACTGGCTCACTTTTCAGATTACTGAGACTAAACTGTTTCAGCTCCCTTACACTGTGACTTCATCAGTGTGAGGAGAACAGTACCCGAGGTTTAACGGTGTGAAAGCGGATCAGGAGTCAGCTCATCCCCACCTGAATGTCTGCACCGGCAGCGGCTCCTTCTGGCTCTGCCCCCTCATCTTCAGAACTTCTTTGGAGGCCTTCCTCAGCCTCCTCTCTGCCGCCTCCTCCTGACGCTGCTCCTGCTTGCTTTGACCGGCCTGCAGCAAATAAAAATGAATAAACACAGTCAACCTCCACTGTGTGTGTGGCCTAGCTTCACATGATTCATAAAGTCACAGCAGCGCTCACCTGTCTCTGGGCCTCTCTGAGCAGGCAGCGGAAGCGCTCGTCCCTGAGGGCCCAGTGGGGGAGCTCTGTGTCCTCTCTGACCTGCGGCTCCTCCAGTCGCAGCTTCAGCTCCCGCAGGGCGCTCAGCTCCTCCATCAGCTGCCTCTGACGCGTCCTGCAGGCCTGGAGATCCAGCTCCAGGTCCAGCGACGTACGTGTCGGCTGCTCGGCCAGGGAGGAGCGGTAAGACTGCTGCTAACATAAACACAAACACTGTCCACTCAGAAACTAGATACTACATGTTTTTACTCATGCAGGCTTTCTGTAAGAGAGGCTTTACCTGTTTATACCGCAGCGTTCTTCTTTCCAACGTGTTCCTGACAAAGGGAGTTTTCTTTGGTAGAGTTGAGCTGTCACTGTCACTGCGGTACAACTGAAAAAGGACATGCACAAAACGTTAACAGATGTGCACAAGGATTCAAAAATGGAGGTAGTAGAAACTGGGGATGCACCGATTGAGAAAATCCAGGTCAATAACAATTTTGCATCACTACCTATGTTTTTCAGAAATTAAGTGGTGTAGCTTTTTTTTTGTTGATTAATTCTTCCATCTGGGCCAGTGACCAAAATAATCTTTATTATAAAAACATTGTTAAAGTCTTTAAGGCCTCATTTCAATATTTTTAAGTGAGTATAAAAAGTTAAGCCTGCAAAATTACAAAACATCCTTTAATTTAACCTTCCTTTACACACGCAAAATATATTTTTTAAACGTCTTTAGTGGCTTTACAATCACAAACTGTGTGGGAAGCAACTTTTAGTATTTTGTCTTCTTCTAAAAATATACTTCCCTAGTACAAATAAGACTCACCCTGCAGACATACTGACTGCGAGCTCCAGGTGAGAAAGTCTGAGAGCGAACGATGGTGCTACCTCGCATGAAGGGCGAGGCGTGACCCCAGCGACCCCCCCTCTCTTTGGCGCGGACCCGCACCGGTTCTGGGAACAGACCCTCGGTCATGGTGGCCTTCTCCACCTGCAACATCAAACCAACAACACCGTGAATTCATGTGTGGTTCAAATCGTCTTCTGGAGAAAACTAAGCATCTGAACACATCACTGCTGAAGTTCAATCATCCTGGATTCATTTTCTTCTTGAAGCAACAGCAGAGCTGATGAGGCAGGTGTTCTAAAATCTCTCAGTTATAGAGATTTTTATTATATGTGCTAATGCTGAGTCATGACTTCAAAGTGTTGTCATAGTCTTCTACTGTTTTTCTCTCTTTTTTTAAAGATTTTAGTAACATTACAGTCAGGAGCTGTTTTCATATACAGTACGCACTCTTGTCTAGATCATTTCATGAGGACTTCTCCTGAAAATCTCTTGACCTGGTTGTTCACATATGCGCCTGTCCTGAGACAAGATGTGAAAAGAATGATGCAGAAGTGGCAGACGAAGCAACAGAGTACGCTTAACAGACGAGAATATTTGCCTTTATATCAATTCTAAGTGTAGTTGGATGGAACAATATTAAAAGAACATACTGGAGAACAAAATACAACTTTCTGCTGAATAATTGTGATGGGTTTGGCAGGAGAAACTCCGGAGAAAAATTCTGCTGTTTGCGTCCAAGAAGTTTTTCAGGCGAGTGAAAACCCTGACAAAAATGTTTACTTAAAGATATCAACTTTTGCATCCATAAAACAGGTGACATATAACTCATTAAATCACAGATTCACCTGCAATAGGAGCGTCAATGACAGCGAGTTCAATCAGAGAAAGGTCTCAGATAAAGTACATTTTAAGAATAGATTTGAAAAGTGGTTGTTGAGTCCTCTGCCTGATTTATTCTTACAGTTTATCTTTTCAATATGCATTTTTGGTATTCAGAAATTCTTCAAGAAGCTTTCTTTTAGAGTCAAATGTATCACTCGTGAACATTTGTTGTGGAAAATGGACAATAAAGGGATATTTCTACATAGAAGTTAAGGGGGTCCTGTTTCTTTTAGGAATGGAGGAGTACTGAACATGCAGCCTCTAAATCTCCCTCCAAACAAAGTGTCCACAGATGCACATGAATAAGATTCCTGGATGTTTTGCACACCTGTAGTGCACTGTAACATGTTGGAATTGGTGCTGCAAAAGGACTGAGCAGAGAAGAGCCTTTTACCTTAACTGTACACATTTTGCTTGTTGTCTGATCACAGCGCCCCCCGGTGGTGTTGCAGATGCCCTCTGCACACAGGCCCTCTGAGCATGCAGCTGTGAACGCTGTGCTGTTACTGCAACCGCTGTCCACTGACTCCGCCTGCCAACTCCTACACAAACACAACAGCTCTCACTTTAAGACATGCTGGAGGTAATAAGAAGTGGAGATCATAATCAATGTGATATCAATACTCTCACCTCTCAGACGCCACCTCCACAGGCTCATCTCTCTTCTCCACCTCGGCCTCTCGCTCCTCCAGGTGGGTGGATGTGTTGGTGGTGCGTGACAGCAGCATGCATACAGTGTCCTGTAATGTCACAGAGCAAATGAGATCACACGCCATCCCTCCCCCACAGTCAACATTCCTCCTCAGCGTGTTTGTCCTGTGATGCACATTGCTGTCAAACAGTCACTTTAACGAGCTGCACACCTGAAACACAGACTGGCTGAGAAATGCTCTGCAGGAATAACACCTCAACCATTTCAATGCAGCTGATTAGCAGTGGTTGATTTTCACAGTTTCAAACCTCAGGATAACTAAACCTGTAGCACTACTCCAGCGGGTGGTTTGCATTACATGACTTGTCTCTCTATTCTAGTCCTGACATGTCCTGACCCGGGTTCACATCATCTCCTCACTCTCTCCTGATCAGTCGAGCCCTCTGCGTTCTTTTCATTCCTGTCTGAGCTCTCACACCATAATCAAAGGGAGAGGGGACTAAATTTGCCTTGCCAAATATTCTCTTTGTTTTTGCAGTATTTCTGGGCGGCGCTGGCTCAGTAGGTAGAGTCGTTGCCTCTCAACCGGGACATCAAGGGTTTGATCCCTAGCTGAGCAACATGTCCTATGTGTCCTTGGGCAAGACACTTAACCCTGCATTGCTCCCTCTGCTTCGGTGGCGGTGTATGAATGGATTAGTGTTGTACTTACTCTCTGATGTACGTCGCTTTGGATAAAAGCGTCTGCTAAGTGAATTGTAGAATTGTAACATTTCTAAACTTCTGTATATTTGATCTTATTAATGACAAATAAAAACATTCAGATAAAACTGCATTACTAAAGAAAATCACTACTTGTCATCAGTTTTTAAGAAATACTTCTCTACTACATTTCAGCTTGTATCAGATACAACACAAAGTATCACATGAAGGACTTTCAGAGCTGAGAGAAAGTTGAATTTAAAGTTGTTGTTTTTTTGCAACAGGGCAGAGGCCGCTTCGATTCTCTTGAACTCTCCTGGTTCTTCTGTAATATTCAATGCTAGACTTTTTTTTAAATTTAATTCCTTTGATTCGTTTTTGTGCTTTATTTCATAAAATGTAGATTGTAAATCACAATCATAGACTGTTTTGTTCTTTAATTTGATCCAAGCTACACTGAACTTAAAAGTGATTCAAAAACAGAAACTTTTACAAGTTGACTTTATGTGATAATAACTGATGCAACTATAAGATGTAGTTGATATTTGTTACAACACTCACTTGAATGTTTATGTTAGAAATAATTGTGTAACTAAAATGAAAAACATTTTTGAGAACACTTCATTTATAACATTTCCACAATCTAAGACCTCTTCCTGTGCTGTCGTGCACTTACTCAACATGCTCTCATTTATTGAACATATCAATCTATGTCTGAGTGCTCACTGTAGCTCTGGGCCGTTGCTCGTCCTCTTGGCTGTCTTGCTGTCTGCGGTGACTGAAGCTCTTCTGTTCAGGTCGGGGTAGCTCGGTTCCGCTCAGCACCTGAACCCTCAGCCAGTGATAAACCATTTCTACACTCCCCTCACACTCAGCCAGGCTCAGTTGGGCCGTACCCTGCACATAAACACAGAAACATAAATCATTATTTTAATTTAAAAAATAAGCACATCAGTGTCTCTGTGGAGCTGCCCAGCCCACTCAGACCCACCAGCACTTCCTCCTGAGCCTGAGGTCCCAGCGAACAGACGGACAGCTGCAGTGCACACACCGCCAGGGCGTTTGGAGGGACAGGAATGCAGAAGCCTTCGTTGAAGCTCATATGAGACTGTGGCTCCAGAGCCGTACAACAGTAAAACGCACAGGCCCTGCCGGCATCCAGCGGAATCAAGTGCACCTTCACATACCTGAGCATCAGCAGAACAACACGAGGTTACAGGTGGGAACATAAAATAAAAACAATAGAGCCTCACATCAGGCTTCAGTGATACTCACACTTTATAACCGTCTCTCACGATGGACCTGTTCAGACTCTTGAGCTGCAGCAGATGCAGACGGAGAGACTGAGAACTGGACTCCCACCTGTGAAGAGGAGAGTACAGGAATAGGATTTAATAACTTAATAACTGATTCAACATGCAGTCAAAATGCAGTCTACAATCACACAGTACTCACAGCAGTCCCAGTTGGATCTGGGTGGGCTCGCTAACAGACGTCAGCTCTTTCATGTACGACATCTCATCAGACTCCTCGGCCCTGACGAACGTCAAAAATATATAAATAAAATACATTTTTAATGTAAGAAGTTTATTTGCGCTAACATCCTGAAGTGTACCATTCTTCTATTAATCTTATTTTATAAACATTATTTTCTTTACTTTGTATCTCATTGAAACCCCCTGGCAGTTGGAGTAATGCTGTTCACCAGCTTTTTACTCTTTTCTTTGTTTTTTCACCAAAACCCCGAGACAGATCAGATTCTCATGAAGTTTACTACTAAGGGGGTTCTGGCTCCTTAGCTGGATGGATTGTTGTGTTAGATTTGATCCGAGCAAGACGGCTCAACACAATACACTTTATTGTCCAAACAAAATGTGTCTTTTAAATATGATAAGGACAGGCAGAAAGCACCAGCACATCAGTTTGAGTAGCAAGAGATGCAGTGCCACCAGAAGTTTGCAGCCATGTAGCGACGATGCACGTGATTACAACCTTTACAACAACAGTATGCAAACAATAGAATCATACTGACTGGTTACTGCAGCAGCAGACCAGCAACTTTTCTGTTCTGCAAAGACTGCATAAGAATGTTTATTCTCAAAAAATAAAAATAAAATAACTTTTCATTTGACCAAAAAGGTCTGTAGGATCAGAAAACTGAGCTGGTCAGCACTTTGGTCTGCAGTGCATTGGACCTGTAAGATGAAAGTTTGGGTTTGGCTGAAGCAATCTACATAAGTAGTTAGCCTTAGAGCAGACCTTTCAAACTGAAAAGATGTAAAAAAAGACAAAAGAAAAAAAGGGCCCGGGTTTTTAAATTCTTCTTTAAGAATAGTCCATTAAGTTGATGTCTTGAAGAGCAATCCTAATTACGTTACTCTATACTTGTATATGTGTAATGACAATAAAGTTGAATCTCATCTCATCTCATCTCATCTAATGTTTATATGCCGACCCAGTGACAGCATGTAATCCCTCTGGGCAGAGAATACAAACTGTCAAAGCTGAACATTGTGATTTCATTATTGCTTTTGTAGAAGAGAGTGGTTATATGCACATGAAGTAATTTTGATTTTGTGTGGCACCAAAAATATCTTTCACCTGATGAAGACCATCATCGATTAAAACATTGTGATTATTAAACCTTTTTTGAGGGTAAGTGTGCAGGCTTGCCATCCTTTTCTTGCCGGATGAAGTGTGTTGCAGTTTTCTTAGCCGTCACAAGGAGGCGCCATTGGTGTTGGTTTGTGACTTCTAATTTTAAGGGTTGGACCTGGTCTCACCTTCTGCCCCAGGCCTCGAATACGCCGCTGTCAGTGGCCAGAGCGTCCTCGGAAACGCCTGCAGAGACCCTCCTGGCTCTCCTGCCGCTTCTGTTGGCACTGTTTCCCCTCAGAGTCACTCCTGAAGAAGAAAAGACATTCATCATCATTTACCATCAGGAAGTCTTAATGGAGTGATTTGAGATCTGTTCTCAGTCTCTGACCTGTGGAGGTGAAAGCCCCCTGAGCAGTGCTGTCTCTGTGACCCACAGCGTCCTCACTGCTCAACATGGCGCTGTGTGACAGCGGCTGGGACTGAGCGCGCAGACCCTCTAACAGCCCGCGACCCGCCTGCTCCATGTACTCCTCTGTCATCTGGGTGAGAGGGCAATCCTGAGGGGCCGAGTGGTAGGGCGTGTCCATCGGAGAGCTCGGCGGCGAAAGAGAAGAAAGCGAGGAGCGGGAGGAGAGCGAGGCGAGGGATTGCGGGGTGTCATGAGAGCGTTTGGGTTTACTCTGGATCAGGTGGTCAGGAGTGAACATGGAGCAGTCTCTCGACACGGCCTCAGGAGGCAGCAGGTAGCGTAGATGGGGGTCGAGCAGCTCCCCAGACCCGTCGTGGCGCTCGTACTGGGGGACGCCGTAGATGTCGCTGAAGCTGATGGAGCTGAGGGAGCCTCGGCTAGACGCCAGAGAGCCTCGGCTGGAGGCCAGAGAGCCGCGACTGCTGCTGGAGGACACCGTCAGAGAGCTTGCCGACAGGCTGCAGGTAAAATAAGAAAAAGAGACTCCGTGAGAAAAGACACAGAAGAGCCCTGAAGAACGATTAACAGCTTTGGAGAATGAGTGTGTGCCGCACCTCTTCAGCTGGGTGTGAAGGTAGGTGGTGATGCGTGTAGCCTCCTCCAGCTGCCTCAGCAAGACATTCCTCTTCTCCTGCTGCAGGATTCTGATGTCACATGGATGCAAAAGTCATTGCCTTACAAAAATCTCTCCAAAATATGTGCAGTTATCTATTTTATATGTTTGCTGTTTTGCATTGCAAAACCCAAAGAAAACATGAGAAAGACTGGGGTATATTTAAGAGATAATATAAAATAGTTATGGCACATAAAAATGTTAAAAAAGTGCATGTACAGATGTCATCCTAAAAAATGCAAACATCTTCATCTTTCTCACCTCTGATTGGCTCCCTGGCTCTGGGAGATGTGGGCTCTCTGCACCTCCTCCTCCAGCCTGCAGCGCTCCTCCTCCAGCTGCAGCAGCGTCTCTGGAGAATGCTGCTGTTTGCTGACCAGGATGATCTCCTGCAGGAGGGCCTCCTTCTCACGCAGGAGCTGCATGAAGTCTCTGTCTCTGTCCGCTTCGGCCCGCCCAGACCAGCTCTCACTGTCCAGCTGTGCGAGCTGGTGCTGGATACTCTGCACCCTTAAGAGAACAGAGAAGACATTCAGGGCTAGGCAAGCTGTTAGTTGGTGACAAACATTAGTTCACATAAGCTTAAATGGAGCCAAATATTTACACAACTAAAATACAAAGGGCACCAAGTTCTTTGGTTTATGTGATCGAAACAATAACAAACAAATAAAGAAGTAAAATCAACGGCCATTATCATCAGCTCAGACTAATGAATATCATCAAATCTGAAGTCTCAGGGGCATTTTGTGCGGGACACGTTTTCTAAGAAGCTATGATACAAAGAAACTTATCAGTAGGGCAAAGGGGGCACACTTGGGCCTGGGGGATTTCTTCACTGAGCTCTTATCCCTTCATTAGGGAAAAAGTATCGTTTTTTAATTATAAATGCCAGTTTGTGATGAACAGAGTCTCAGTGTTTTAAAAACTACAGCTGTTACATCATTGCTAGTCTATTGAAAGAAAGCCACATTTGGTTTATTTCTGTAGTCGACCTTGATCCAACTAAAATGTATACAACACAGTTGGGAACATCATTGGGTCCCTGTATATAATATTAAGTCTCTTATTTGACTCTTTTTAAATAAAAAATGTCAATAACATTTAAACTGTGTGGGTTTGGATCTCTTGTCTCTTTGGGGTTTTTGGAAATTTGCTTTCTTGCTGCGATAAAGTTTGTCTCCTGTTGTAAGATGCACGTGTGAACAGCTGGGTCAGGAAGGTTACAGGAACAGTATTCCTAAAATTTATGAGAACATTGAATTTTCTCCTGCAAGAGTGCAAAAGTGGAAACAATCATGGGACTTTGCCATTTGCATTATATACATAATCAAGCATTTTTACATTTTGCATCATCTAGTCAAAGCAAATATATATATTTGTGTGAGAGTTTCCTGAGTTAAGTTAACCTGCAGAGTTAGGTACAGCCTCTGTGTAATCTGCGTTGCAATATGTTAGAATCAGCTGCATGTAAAAGCACATATTTGAGCCAAGCAGACACTTCCTGATAAGACAGTAATGACAACATTCAACTTTGTCATTTGTACCTGAGCCGCCTTGCTGCTTCAGCCTCAGTGGTCTCACAGTGTGTGTGTGTGTGTGTGTGTGTGTCAGCAGATTGTTCATTCAGACTGTGTTAAGACAGATCTCAGAGCCTGCGACCCAAACTCTGATGAAATCATTGTGTGCATGTTTTGCTGGATTTCAGACAAAGTGACTCAGTGACAGAGCATGCAAGTTTCCACAGGTCTCCCCTCTCTCACACCCCCCCCTCCCTCTCTGATGTCATAGTTGGCAGTGCCTTTGCTGGGTCACCACAGCAACATGAAACTTGTCAAGCGTGCACAAGCCAGTATAATAACGAGGTTACTCCTGATGCTGCAGCTAGCATCACACTGCTGGCCTCTGAACACTCACTGCCAAACTAATATGATAGCACACAACAATGTGACATACCTGTGGGGGGTGCACAACTGATCACAGTCATAGTAATACTTTAAACAGAGGATTCAATTAATGGAAAACATTTTTTTTAAAGTGTAGTTTACGACTGGTTTACTGTCTGATCGTGTAACCTTTGTTTTATTGCTTATATTCTGAATATATTGCTTTTCTTCTTGTCCCTACATTTGATAATTTCTCTCTTTGCATCCTAAATTTTTATTTTTCTGTATATCAATACTCTCATCATTATAACTTTTATTTTTCCCTCAAAAGTGTTGAGAATTAGCATGTGTGCTAAAACACTCAAAGAACGCATCTGGTTCGTCCAAGATTGTTGTGGTGGAATTTCTGTAGTTATTTAGATTATAATGTACAGACGTATAACTACAGAAATTCCACCACAAATTTGATGTTCATCACATGCATTACTTTTAGTAAAAAGCCAACAATTCAGTCTTCTTTCAGTGTTGACTTTGTAGACACATCATCTATCCTGCACTATAGGAGCAAGCTGGGATATATTTAAATGGAGAGTGTGTGTATTAAACCACCTTGCGGAGGAGCGGGCAGTGGGCAGTGCTCTCTCTGGCTGCTAACACAAAGACAGCACACAGTCAGCAGCAGCGGCAGCGGCCAGGGAAGAATGTGACCACCCAGCTCATTCCTCTGGCCAGACATCGCTCAGCAGCCATGGCCACCATGCGCAAATACTATTCATAACACGCCCTCCCACTGGACGATGCACAGAGACGAGGAATGAGTCTGAAGGAGGGGCTCTTTGAGTCAGAGCAGCATGCCGGTGTGTCACAGTACTACGACTCACAAACAACAAAGCAGAAGTTCTTACTTTTTCTTGGCTTCCTCGTACTGCCAGTTGACTTTCACCTTGTCCACTAAATGGGAGGAATCCTGGGATCCATACTGTAACAAACATTTTAAAAAGGGGGTTCAAATTACTTCAAATAAAAGCAACATACGGTTGAAAACTGAAGGCAACAGTCCGTTTGTAGCCAGAGCCCCCTACATGTAACACAGACGGCCTAGCAGTTAGGTCACGCCCCTTTTAGGAGGCTATAGCCCTCCGAGCGGGCGCCACAGGTTCAGGTCCGGCCTGTGGCTCCTTTCCCGCATGTCATTCCCCACTCTATCTCCCGTTTCCTACTCTATCCACTGTCCTGTCAAATAATAACAAAAAGCTCCTATTTTTCAACTTTGGCAATAAACTATGGACAGAAAAGTAGCAAGAAGCTTCATCTCATATCGAGCATCTCTCTTTACTGAGGTTAACATAAACAGCTCCAGAAAACAAATAACTGCAACAACATGTTTGTCTCTGGTTCTCCTTTCCAGGTAAAACATCAGCATTATGTTGTTTTAAGAGTCTGACACTATCTGCCATCCCCCTAACATCATCCTCTGTTTCAACCTTATTACCAGCCCATAAGTTAAGTACAGGATACCTCATAAAAAGGTATCCCCCCCCCCCCCCAGTTTGAAGACTTTACTTTGAGGGGGAGTCAGGGAGGAGCAGCAGTGACTCTCACCTCTCCCATGATGTCAGTCTGACAGCCGGTGTCACAGTACTGCTGCAGACTGCACGAGTCACCCGCGGGCCCAGAGCTGTTCACAGCCTCACTGGACGAGTCACCAATGGACAAACTGCTCTTGAAGTTCACCGTCAGCTTCACCAGACTCTGGGAGATGGAAGAGAATTTAAAGAAAGTACAATATATCAATATCATCTAAATATTACAATCAGACAAAACAATATTTTACCTTGTCTCCATGAAATAAAAAGCTCAAAGTCTGACAAAAATGCCCCCGTAAAAAGTCAAAATCTGCTTCTGTCTCTTGTTTAAAATCATTCATACATTTAGAGCGACTCCTGTATTCATTCATAAAAAGATTGCAACAATGCCAGGAAATGATTCTGCAAATGTGGCCTGACCGTAATGACTGAATCATCGTCTATTTTTTATATTCAGATTTTTTGCTTTTCTTACAAAGACGTATTCAGTGATTCAGACGTCTGGAAATGTGCTTCATTAAGAGACAAAGATGAGAAGCAGCAGGACAGTTGAGGTGAACAGACACTAGAGGTCAGCAGAGAATATCCCAACAACAGTTATTTCAGCAGGATGTTGGAGGAAAGACTTTTTTTCCAGGTACCTGGATGAGGTCCTGCCTCTCCTTCTCGCCTGTGCTGATTGCCTTCTTGATGCTCCGCAGCTCGGTGAAGATGGCCTGCGCCTCGTCCAGCTTGTAGTTAGTCTGACTGCAGGACATCTTCCTGTCAATCCTGTGGGGACGGAAAACACAAATTAAGATGTCTTCTTAAACCGCATGTGTTCTAACAGCTGGATTTGTTTTTCTTTCAAACCGCAGTCTTCACTGATATCTAAATAGAGTTCACACATTATGCAGAATGGATCCAGCTCTCTGACAACACTCAAACAAGTGTCAATCAAGCAAGTTCATGAAACGCTATTGGCAAAACATTGATTTCCTTTTTCTGCTTTTGTTAGAACATGTTTTCACTATTGTTTTTATGAGTATTACTCACAACATGGAAGGGAACTTCTTGTCAAGAGTGTTTGTGCATTAAAAGCTTTTAGTAATGAGGCCAGTTTAAATCAAAAGGGGTTCATGTTTCCCCTAATAACTAGCGGTGCAACAGATCACAAATACCACGGTTTCATATCTGACCACAGATTCTTGTCATAGAGCGGAGCAGTTTTCAGAGTTGCAAAAGAAGGTATTCATAAAATAACTTTTGTAGTCCTCAGCCATGGCTCTAATGATGAATTTTAAAAGAACTACGATTCAAAATGCATCTCCATAAATATCCATATTGTATAACATCCTCTGTTTTTTACTATAGGCTATACACATCAACCCCAGATTTGAGGCGGTATTAGAGCTATTGCCAAAACTGGTATGTGTATCAGAAACAACTGCAGTTCAATGTGTTCGATTTCAAGCTGCTTTATGTTGGAAAGTTAGTCACAAATAAATCACCAGATAAATGGTCAGATATAAATACTGACTCTATGTATCACAATGTCTAAATGCTTATCAGTGTTTGTTTCCACATGCTCAGATGGTTTCAGCCTTTATTGTGCTGCTTTCAAAGACTCTCATTTTTAGGGGGGAGATCTCTGCTACATGACTTCTCTTACACCTGAGATTACGTCACTTTGTTGTCAAACTATTTAAGCACCTGCTCCCATATAGAAGGTGCTACTTTAATACATTTTATTCCTATAAAGACATGAGACCCTTACATGTACTAAAAGTGAAATAAATATAATTCATGCTTGAGTCATCTCTCTAAAGTTTGTAAAACAGATAAAAGTGTATCTTCTTATATTCCTCAGTTTGGGGGTTTAGGAGTAGGTTGGGGGTTGGTTTTGTTTGGTTGGTTTGCTGGTTTGGAGCTGGAGGGAGAGCGGCACGGTGCCTCCTCCATCACTGGGCCTTGTTGGCACGTGGCCCCCACCCTGCTCTCACCACAGCCCGCTTCCTTCACTCTCCTTCAACAGCAGGTACTGTTCATCCACCCGACCCTGCCTCTTCCTCCCAAAACAAGCTCTGCTTTGTTCCCCCCGCCCCATTGGCAGGGCCTGAGAGTTTATATACTTAGAAAAAAAAGAGGCAGTACCCACCCCTCAGTGCCTGCCTGTACTGAACCCTACACCCTGTGTACTGTAAAAAAGGAATATACTCAAGAATTTTCCTAACAAATTTGCTAATTTAGGCCAAATTTAAAACTTGTTTTTGAGTTATTATGAAGACAGTGTTACGTTTGAAGTTTTGTGTAAATGGTCATTCAGAGCTGAAAACAGAAGAGCAGAAAAGATGGCGTCAAACAGAGATAAACTCCTTCAGTGTAGTGACGATCAACGGGAGCATCTGTACGTCAGAAGATGTTTGTTTGCTTTATCTGACACGACACAGCGAGGAGAACAATTAGCTATATTGCTGACAGCAGCTGAGATTGGAAAAACAACAGCCGTAGGGTCCCTCCTGCTTGGCCTGGGTAAAACCCAGGAGAAACAATAGGACACACACACACACACACACACACACACACACACACACACACACACAGGCAAACAAAGACTCAAACACACTTATCTAGCACGTAAACACACACACACACACACACGCATTCACACAAGAGGAGGATGCGTCCATGTTTTCTGCAAGCTGTGTATTCTCCGTCTATTCTGGGAGTCACTCGACTTGTGTATTATCTGAGAGATAAGGGACTCTTTGCCAGGGCTCAGGAAGTGCTGAGGAATTTGCTGCCAGATATCTCTGTGTTTTTGAAACTTGCTCTCGGCTCCACACCTCCCCCCCCTCCCCCCTCCTCCTCCCCTCCAACTTCCTCTCCAGGCTGAGCCTTGGCTCCCTGCACTCCACTGGTGCATCCTCTTCCTGAGGTGGAGTCCCCTTTTCCATCAAAAAAAACTCCCTACATTTGCCTTTTCTCAAACACTCTCTTTTTTTTCCACTTTGAGAGGTGGAGCTTCTCATTCTAACATGAAATTTGGAGCAGCTCGGAAATGTTTCCAGCACAAAAAAAAAACGTGAGGTGTATTTGTCTTAAAACAGCACAAACTAAAGGAAAATGGGGAAGTGCCTCTCTTAGGGGAGCAGAATAAGAGAAGAAGATTCTCTATATGAATCGATGGGACTTTGCTCTAACAATCTCAACATTTTCTGAAAGAAAACTGATCTATGTTAAATTGTATCGTGGGCTGTTGATAGAGATTCAGGGATTTAAAAGGCCTTTTTTTTTAAAACGAGACCTTGATGAGCTTCATGGAATATTTTTGGGAAAGGAGAAACATCAGAGACAAAGAGTTTGTAAAAAAGCCTCAGATGGAGGACGAGTGGGAATAAAGAAGGGAAAAGGCGTCTGTGCTGTAGGAAGGAGAAGGCCGGCCGTGGGAGGAAGGGCGGGCCTGGGACACAGAGGCGGAGGGAACACTCACTCCTGCAGGGTCTCCACTCCCATTTCCTTGTACTGCAGCTCCTGCTTCACCTGGGCCAGCTCCTGCTTCAGTCTGGAGAGCTGCGGACAGACAAGGCCAAGCACCCGGTTACCATGGGCTCACAATGAGCTTCACTCACCACCACCACCCAACAGAAATGCTTAGTCAAGACAATTCACTTACAGGAATGCTGTGTTTGTACAGGGACACACGTACACACATACGTGCACGGTGGTTCACATGCCAAGGCTTTAATTCCTGCTGAAGATGTCTGATGGGGGGGGGGTTACTTTGTGGAAAATCTTTGCGTGCAGTCTACTATAATTCATTTTTCTGATATATATCAACATGAGAGAAACACCTTTAGATATTAGCTTCAGTATATCTGTCACAGGTGGTCCATCAGCCTGTTTAATGGATAGGAAAATGTCTTCAGCTTGAGATAATGTCATGATGTTGTTTCTCTATACAAAATCAAAATAACATAAAAGCACATTATTATTGAAAACTTGCTCAACTGTTCAGGGTGTCCTCTTTTATACATTTGAAGAGTGTGCAGTAAAAACAGCTAAATCAAAATGTGTTTTTATAACAAATTCTGTTGCACAGCAGCATACAGCTTTATATAACGTGAGGACTTTAATCATTTCTTTATGATTGGAGGAACTGACATTTTAAAACAACGATTGTGATAAGTCAGATTATTAAATTAAACACAATTCATTCCCCTTAGACTTTGACTGTCTGTAATATATTTCATGCCTTTGCATTCATCAGATTAGCGTCTCCACTTCCTTCATTTGGTACAAAGCGCTGCTCAACTCATTGAAGGAACAAAGAGAAATGATGACTTCCTACTTCATTTTAACCTTATTTTACTCGCTTTGAAGGCTTTACTCCTGAATTCATTTCCGAGCTGCTGATCGGCCCTATCGACCGCTGCAATGTGTGGACAGAGCTCTGAGGGCCTTTGTCTCCTCTCAATACTTCTCTGTTTTTGGAATGAATAATATATGCATTCATCATTTTGGTACTGATTTAGTTTGCTTAATTTTATTGTCCTTAGTTCCTCTGTGATCATTTCATTTATATCTTATTTTGTCTACATTGTTTTTAATTTCTTTTAAAGCAGATTTTAGCGTTATTCTTAAAGTTTGATGCATTATTGAAGTTATTCATATTCTTTTATTGTCTGGCTCAAAACTGACGATGCTGATGAAGATATTTAAAGAAATAATATTAACAAGGAGGGACTGTTATTGTAAGCATTGCTGCCCATGAATCGCTTCAACTGAGGTCTTCACTGACTAAGTGAAATGATAAAGGTAGATTTTTGGGTGTTTTCTATGAACAAGTAGATCGGGAACTTAACGGATCATCATTAGATTAAAGGGGACAAAATAAAAATACTGAGTCATACAAAGTTAAATATAAAACCCTAAGACATATCAAAATCAGAATTGTTGGATTCACTGGATGGATATTCATCTTTGAATTAAAATGATGTCTGTGTTTGTTCACATCCACATTAAAAAGTAGTCCCACTCATCTTTGGGGTCTCAAACGTCCCTGATGGAGGAAACACCCTCACTCATGTGACTGATCTCAGAGAAATGTCCAGCTTGTCCCTGTGAGTCACTGACCTAGCCTCCGCCTGACCCTTTGATGATCTCATCCTCATCCTCTCGAGGCCCCGGGCCAGAGCCACAGTATCCTGTAGGGGCCACACCCTAGCCCCCTTTATTTTTCTGCCCAAAGAGGGCCCCTTGCTGCAGCCCATTGTTCTCCTCCGATAATGACTTACCCGTTCTCTTCTACAAGCTATTTCCACTTTAATTTGGTCGGGGTCGTATTTCGCGTTTGAAGACGAGCCGGAGAGAGCTGTGAACACAGAAAAGCAAAGAACAGAGAGGATCAGCAGTCAGCCCGTGGTGATGATTTTTAAGGTTAACTTGTACTTCTAAGAGAGTCAAAGGGGGATCCGATGTCGTCTCCCATCCTTCGCTCTGTGTGGACGCCCTCTGGACGCTTTGTGTGCGACAGCTGGCTGGAGTCAGAGGGTAAACTGGGTGGAGGTGGATAGAAGATCTAAGATCAGCACCCCCGACAGATTTGGTTCTCATGCAGTCTTTGAATTCACACTTCTCTCATCCTTTTTATTATTCCTTTATGTATGAACTCAGAGGTTTTTTGTGGTTATTAAATGGAGCTGTTTGATTATGAAGATGAATATTTCTAACAGGGCTGAGAGTGATGCTGTATTCACATGGATTCAGGCACACAGGACATTATTTTAGTGGATGAGAGCAGACTTGGGCAGGCCATCAGAAGAATAGTGGCAACTTTGGCATGCATAATAACATCAGTGATGGTTCAGTAGAACTTTTTGAACAGAGGAATTCGTCATTTCATGTTATTTTTTGTCCCACTCATTTTTTTTCCTGATACAGAAAACTTCTTAAGCCCCGCCCACACAAACACATTTTGATCATGTGTGGGGCCCCTCAGACCCCGCACATAATGACAAGCAAAGATAAATTCAACTGTTTTGTTTAAATTTTGTGCGGAGAGTAACAATGTGACCAAAACAGAACACCACAAACTAATACGTTCTGGACGACAAACCTCTTGAATCTACAAACAGGAAATATCGCAGAATTAGTCCAAAGTGACTTTTGAGTAAACAGACATGACGGATGACAAGCAGGAAGTTTTTAAGAGTATTTTTAAAATAAAAGAAACTATGGACGAAGTTCTGGAGATAGCGGTGAGTTAACACTGATTTGTTGTTGTGCTTCCTTCTTCTGTCGATTCTCAATTGGCTATTATCATGTTCACTCTACAATCCACGTAATGTGTGTACTGGAAAGATAATCTTTAGGTCCATCAAAAAAAATCTGGATTTTGGGGCTCTGACGGCCTTGGGGTTAGGTCGACCCCTTGTATATATGGAGGTCATAGTTCCTTAAGCAGGTGGCCTGGTTCAAGTCAACTCCTCTCTCTCCTGATTTCCCACTGGCCTATCTAAATAACCTCAATTAAACCAGCAGCTAAGTCACTGATTTGAAAATGAGTAGTTAGCATGAGCTAGCTTTCACTTCATTTCCAAGAAGATATCTGCAGACTGCTGTGTGATAGGCTGTTAGAGAAAGTGTCTCATTTCAGTATATTAACCAAAACTGTATTGTGATCCCTTTTCCAGACACTCTTTCTCCTAGCCTTGATTACATTGCATGGTTTTTTTTTGTAAGAAAACAAAGCCAAATATGATAACAAGAAGCTGAATATTTTGCAGTGACTGTTTTTAGTGGGGCGTCCAGAAGGTGTTGATCTTGTGAAGGAAAAGTGAGCTGAAGTTTAGCGTTTCTTACTGCTGGTGATGGAGCGGTTGTCCTCAGAGAGCTCGTGGAAGAGCAACATTTCCTGCTGAGCCAGCTCCAGTCGCTGCTGCTTGATTAGGTACATCTCCTTCTTGGCTTTGAGGGCCTCCTGGGCCACAACAAGGTACTCCTTCAGCATGCGTTCCTGCTCCTGTCGCCATTGAGTCCGCGGGTTCTCGATCTGGGTGGTCTCTGACAACAGGACACAACATAAGTCACACAAGTGAGAGTTAAATAATACAAAGCAAGTCTGATGCAAGTACAAAGTTACTTTGGCGATACTCTAGCAAGTCAAGTCGCTGCTAGTCAAGCAATTTGTCAGTCACTCAACAATGCTAAGAAGAAAATAATCCAGTAAAAACACATAAAACATAAAAAGCAAGATGTCCCAAAGTCCTTGTTACACTGTATCAACATCAAGCTGTTATTTCTCCATTGTGAATCTATGTCCATGTTCATCTCCAAATGTATTTAAGTGATCTGAGATAAATGGGGATGTACTCACTGTTGATGTGGTCGATGTAGTAAACTCCCACTTGCTGGTCGTAAACTTCCTCCCAACCGAGAGGAAGTTCATCTCCAACACAGTCGGCAAACGTCAGTGGTTTGGTTATCCTGAAATGAAAAAAAAATAAAAAATCTATATTCAGTGGAAAAATCACCTTAAGGATTCACTTCAGATCCATCCTAGGAAATAACAACATACACATAGCTATTCTCCTTTCTTACTTGTTATGTCATTTAACATAAAGCGCCCTGCACGATGCTCTGCTTCATTTCTCATGCTTACAAAGGTGTGTTCATTGTTAATCGAGGAGATTTTTGTTCTCTCCCACAGTACAGATGACATATAAACTGCATCTTGGAGCAGAGGAGTAGTCGTGCCTCTCAGTGATTATTATCAGAAAGGGAGACTAATTAAACAGTTTCTGTATTTATTACAGAAATCTGTTACACAACCATAACATGACAAATATAAACATTAGGTGAGTCATGATAACTACGTTTCTAAACTTCTATATGATACAAGTAAAGATAAAATGATACTGATTCAACACCACGTCAACATAAATAGAAGTCAATATTACAATATTGAGTAATTTCTTGTTTTTAATTCCCAAAAACTGAAGTCAAAGTCCAGTTAATCTCCAGTGATTTATGCACTTGTGTTATGAATTAGATGTGGTTTTTTAAAGCGTGGAAACTTTTCAATACTGCTTGTATATATTATAATATATATTAAAATAATAGACATTGTGTAGTTTTAAACACCTGGGAATTGGACAATTCTGAATTCACATGGATTGTATGTTTTTGCATTACGAGATTAAGATTTTACTTTTATTGATCCCCGCAAGGGGAAATTTCAGTTTTTATACTCTGTAAATCATGAACACACAGATAGGCTGAAATATACACACACATGCAGAAACAGGATCCTATGGACATGCACTAATGGAGAGATGTCAGAGTGATGGAGCGCTCCTGAGCTGGTGGTGGGGAGGGGGTTTGGTGCCTTGCTCAAGGGCACCTCGGCAGTGCTCAGGAGGTGATCTGGCACCTCTCCAGCTACCAGACCAAATTCTATATTTGGTCCACACCGGGACTTGGACCGGCGACCCTCCGGTTCCCAACCCAAGTCCCCACAGACTGAGCTACTGCTACAACACATGTTCTAATAATCAAAGCTGTTAAGTCCTTCACATTATATCATAATTCAGGCCAATGCTTTCTCAGAAATAGTGTGTCAGTTACACGGACGCTTGGGAAAAAAAAAAAAAAAATCAACCTTCTACTTTAAGTTTGTATTTTTACAAAAAGCTTATCAACTCATATATGAAAATCATTATACAAGATTCAGAGGAAAGGTCGGCATAGCTGATTCATCAGCAGACACAGAGCTTTATTTGGCCTGAAACTATTCGTCCTCGGTTTTGTGATTGTCACGTTAGATAGCTTGTGTGTTTTAAGGGGTTACAGAGGTGCTCAGTGTGGTGCTCCTCAGGGAAGGAACAGATCAGTTCAGGTGGTCAGGAGACCAAACTGTTGACTCCAAAATAAAACCGGGAGATATTCACCCGACATCATACACACTGAAAGGAACATCACAACCCAGCAGCTACATCTGCCCTACAACACTTAAACACAATATCTAAAAATCAAAGGTAAAAGTCAAAGGTAGCGAAGCCTATTATGTTAAATGTCAAATCCTGTCAAAGCTAGTCAGAGTTAGCAAGTGATAGCCTTACTGTAACTTACTTGTACTTGTTTTTTCTCTTCTATAAAAATAATATCTTTAGCAAATTAACCAACTTGTGCGTCAATTTCTTATTTAATAAAAATAAGGTAGTCAATAACACAGTTAATACAAAGAAAAAAGGTTCAAGTAGTAGTGCTTGAAAAGTTATGAGCCAAGTTAGCAGTGCTGTAGTTTCCTGCCTAATTCTGTGATTGGCTGCTGTGTTTGGATTGTACTACTTCACTCTGATTGGCTAGTACTGTTTCCAGGGTCAGGGAACAATTTTTGGAGTGTTTAATTGAACAAGCAACTTCAACTTTATTCCTTCGTCCCTGAAGGGCGACCTTCTGATAAACCTAACCAAGTCCTGCAGGTGGACCGCAAAAGGACTTGAAAGCTCTCCTCTTTAAAAGAGCCTTCTCATAAAGACTTAAACCACTGCTTTTAGATCTGGTTTTATGCTTAGATTCTTAACTCTGAATTTACCTTTGACTACTGCTACTGTTTTTATGGTTTTATTGAAATTGTAGCACTTTGAGATTTTCGTTTAAATGTAAAGTGCGTTATAAATAAAATGTATTACTATTATGATCAATCTGAAGCTGTTTCATGAGATTAACCCAGTACATTAAATGTTTTTTGGAATTAAATGAAGTGTTCTAGTTATATGGCTTCATAAACATAGCCTTGGTTTCAGGATTAAAAACTGAAATGGATCTGAATGGGTAAATTTACTTCCTGAACCAGAGCTGCTGAAAAAGTAGGCGGTCACTGTTGAGCTGTATTGTCTTCACTTGAGATAAAAAAAAAAAAAAGGTCCAAAAATGTTACTCGTAATACATTTACGCTCTGAACTGCTTTTTGTCTCTGCCTGCAGGATTGAACGGTTATTGCTCAATTATTTTGAAAAAAGTCTTGTTATGAACACTATTTAAACAAAGCTTCTGGCACTTAGCAACAGGCCATAGATCTACAAAATGTTTGTTTTTAGTATTAAGTGGTGGTGTGGTGGTTACATAAATACATCTCTTACTTTGTCAATCAAACTGGGAATGATTTGATGTGTGGTGGCAGAATGTAGATTACATTAGATACAAAAATACAAAATAATAATGTTTACTTTAGCTTCTGAATCTCATTTAGCTGTCAAAATTGTTATAAAAGACGTTTATCAAGTTGAATTAAAACATTTCATAGATTACATGTCAACAATAAATGACTGCCAACTGTAATGATTTATGAAGGAATGTGCGTGGAGCTAATGACATCACTTCCTCTTTTAATCTACACACATCAGCGAGCCGTGAACCAGCCGGTCTGATGACAGCAGCGAATATAGTAACTATCTGATTACCATCAATCAGCGCAGACAAAGGGGGTCCAGTGGCAGTGACCCCTTCGACCACAGAATGCTCGCGATGCAGACGGTGCACGAGGCCCGATTCTGGCAGAGGTATGCACACAATGAAGGGACGGCCCAGAGAGAGGAGCTGAGGCATCCTGCCCCACATTCCTCAGGAGACAGACCAAGCAGCAGCTCTCCTCTTTGCACACAAACACACTTCACTGAAGTTTGAAAAGACGCTTTTAATCCGAATGATGATGATTCATACGAGTTGGAAACTCAGAGGTACTCCAACTTTCTCCAGACTCCGCTGTTCACTTCACCGCAGACACCTTTAGTGTGGTGTATTGCTGAGATCTGTTGTTTTTGGCACATTTGAAAACTATTTTTGTTGGTGATCAATCACACAGGCTCGTCAAAATCCTTCCACAATACCTCAAATTCAATAAACTCCCTTAGCATTTCACACATTTTCAGGGGAATGCCACAAGCTACGTCTCTAGTGTGCGGTTTCAAATGTTTGTTAAAAACTAGTGTTTACCATTTCATCCTGGGACTTCACTCTGAGCAAACACTCAGACTAAAGTAATCCACAGATAAGAGATTAAATAAGAGACACAAGAGTCTGCCACAAAATTGGATCTCAGGTACTTTCAAGGATACGATCTTCTAGCAAAAGAGAGAAGTGTATCTCGCAGCCTCTTATTAAGAACACAATGTCTAAGTCGATCAAATTTGAGAATAAAAAGATTCTTTTCCTCGTTTGATGGTTCGGAGGCCTTTTTAACAAGAGAAGTCTTGAAAAATAAAAATCCTGAAAAGTAGTATATAAAAGTTTTCTTTTTTTCATCTCTTGAAACGATACATGACTCTTTGGACTTCAGCCTGAGAAACACTGGACAAATCAAATGATTGCCTTATCAATACAGACCTACATTACCCACAACCACTGTGTAAAACAGCACTAATCAGTAGCAATATGAAGTCGTAAATATTCCCCAAGAAAAATATCTCACTGGAGTAGTAGCATTCACTTATATAACCACAAATATACGGCAGTGAGTGGCTCAAATAGAAAAGGATTCTCAAACACAGCCACAAGGACAAGGCAAACACAACCACACTCCCCAACACATGTCTGTGAGACAAGTCAAATAATGTAGAACTGCACTTAAAAACCCCTCAGACAGGGCAGTCACAACTTTATCCATCCAGGGCAGTTTAATTAAAAAATGACTGAAGGAAAAAGCACCAAGAAGAATCTCTTTGGCTGGTCAATATAGGTGTCACATAGTTTTGGAATCCAGTCACATTACTTTAAGTATTAACAGATGTAAGGACCGGATAGATAATGAAGAAAGCATCGCCCACACATTAACAAATAAAGGACTGTGGTTTGTAAAATACTGAGCTTGGAAAAGTTCATCAGTTGGATTTTGGGGGCTAGACCGATAAACTTGCATCTTATTAAACTTTAGTTATATGAGTCATACGCCTTTTCACATATTCAATCCTGAAACTTGTTAGGGAATTTCAGTAGGACTACCAATCAAATCCTGAAATGGTTGTTTACACATGCACCTCACAGCAGGAGGCTATCTGCCTTTATATTAATGCTACGTGTAGACAGAATCCTAATATCCACAAAAGAGCGCAGATGAATATTCTGGCAAACAGAAAACATAATGCAGCAGTTTAATGAAGCGCACAGAGATTGCAACATGCAGATAGTCTATAGTCGTGCATCGATCACAGGGAATTAACGCCACCACCCCTCTCCACTCACTCGAGGTGAATTCTCCTGATTATATCTTGCTGAGTTCTCACATCAGCTCACTCAGACTTTCTGCAGAAATAAATACTACGATGCTGGCAGGAAAAACTCCTGATAAGGTCTGAGTGAAAAATTCAGCTCTTTTCATTCACACATGCAGCTCACCCTGAAAACTTCAGGATTTAGTTATTGTAGGGTGTAGGTTATGTAGGTGCTGTGTTTTACTAGCCATTATTTTAGTTCAACCCATCTTGACC